AAGGTCAGGATCTCTCGTCCAGGAGTTGAGTTCAGCCACCCCGCCGGGACCTGGAAGAGGCCTCTGCCCTGGGAGGCATTTGTTGTGCTCGTGGGTGGCGCTCCGAGCCCGTGGGCTTGGGGCGCCCCCTGCAGGAGGCCCCGGGGGACGGGCGCGCCCGCAGGGACGCGGCGACAAGACCCGGGGCCGCGGCCCAAGCCGCGCTGAGCCGGCGCCCGCCGGGCCCGGTGAGGGACAGCCTGGCGCTGGCGGAGTCGGCCACAAAGGGCGCTTTGTCCACCGGCTAAAACAGGCACTTCCCCGGGGCCGCACTCCCGGAGCGGGTGTAATAGGGTGTAAGTTACCCTTTGACGGGCGGCTCCATCCGGCCGCCGCGCTCCCCGGGGCTCGATTCCCGGAACCAAGGCCCCCACCGCCCGGCGCGCATCCACCACCCGCGTGTCGCATGGGCCAAGGGGAGGCGGGCGTTGCTGTCATTGCGGCCCCGGCTCCTCCTCCTGTGCGCGGCGATTTTGGAGGCCCACGACTCCGTCCGGGAGCGCGAATGCGCCCGACCAGCTCTCGGCGCGGGCGCGCCAGGGCCGGGCCCCCGCTGCGGAGGGGCCGACCCGGGCCGGGGTCCAGAGCCCCCACCGCCGCCTGGGACCTGCGCTTCCAGAGCGCGGCCGCTGGGCCCTCAGACAGTCGAGCGCGCGCCTTTACAGGTTAAATAAAACCTCAGGAACTTGGGGCTTTACAACTCGAAATTTAAAACCCAGGTGCGACTGCAGTGAAGGCAGGACATGGTCAGAGCCGTCGCGAAGAAAACTGGCGAAGGAAACTGGCTCCGTAGCCCCTCTGGTCAGGATGGGTCGCTGGTGGGCGCCTGGCCTGCCAGCAGCTCCTGCACAGACCGGCCTTGACCTACAGCCGGCTGCAAACGATGGGCAGGGCTGACCCATGTCCCCTCGGGAACTTGGACCAGAGTAGAGGGAAGGCGGCTGCAGGCAGGAGGGTTGTGTGGCTAAACGTCACATGGAAGACACAGGGGTCCCTCAGGGCAGGCATCCTCTCAGGTGGGTGGGGAGGGTGGGGCCAGGACAGAGGGACAGGCACCAGGAGGAAGAAATGCTGACAGATCTGGGTTCCAGGAGGCCCAGGGTGCCCGGCGCCTTCCTTGGGTTCCCTGGGGACCGTCTCTCCGCCCAGGCTGCCGTGAGGGGACAAACTCTCAGGACGCATGTCTGTGGGACTGGGGGGCACTGTTCCTCCAGCCTGTCTCAGGGCGCAGGCAGAGCTGGGAGATGAGAGGGGCTGCTGTGGCGTCGGGGGGCCCCTTGCAAGAGACAAGGGTGGCTCTGTGTGGTGCGTCTCGTGTGGGCCAAACGCCCGCCCCTGGTAAGTGGAGGTCAGCAGGCTTTGGCTCGCAGGCTGGGGCCCTGGGGCCTGGCTCCTGAAGAGAGTGACCCTCGTGTGTGAGGGGCCTGGTGACCGTGGGGAGAGCCGGGGTAGGGGAGGCAGGGGGGCAGGGTGTCCTGGGCCGACCTGATGTCAGCGGCATCTCTGTCCGTGTGCCCGCGTTTGGCCACAGCTGGGGACTGGACTGGAGCCTGGCTGGAGGGGCAGAGCACCGGGCAGGAAGGCAGGGCCCCGAGGCCCCAGCTCGATGCCTGATTCAGGCTGGTGGTCGGTGGACAAGCCCAGCCTGCAGGGCCCACATCCAGTTCACTGGCTGGGGGGCGGGGGGAGGGCACTGCAGGTGGCTGAGCGTTTTGCATAAGGCTTGGCTCCAGGCGTCCTGGAAGGGCAGGCTCTTCCAGGCCAGTGGGTCTCGAACGTGGGTGTGATGAGGCCTTCCTGACAGGCCCTGGGCCCTGCCCTGCAGCAGCGACTGTGGCCTGGATCCCATGTTGGGAACCGCCGGGACTGGACTGGCACACCTCGGACGGAGCTGCGTCTGGGACCAACTGCCCCGGCGGGATGATGCTGCTCTCTGGAGGGGGCTGTGCTGGGAGCCGAGCCCGTCTCCTCCCTGCGGGGGCGGGGGCAGAGCTGTCCTGTGCAGATGGGGCCTTGGAGGGGGCAGGGGGCCCAGGGCCTGGGTGACCTCGCCTCCAATGGCGGGCGGGCAGGCGCTCGATAGCCCGTGGCGCCTCCACACGCAGGGGGACTTTGCTGCTGCTCAGGCCCCTGGGTGGGTGCCCAGGAGGCCACGGGGCTGGGTGCACGGGAAGAGCAGCTCGGTTTCAGGCCGGAGACGAGATACCAACACAAGGCTTCTGTCTGGGCCTTTTCAAAGCAGAGACAGCCTGGCCTTCCAGCGGCGTTGCCTGCCATTGTGCGCTGCGGCGAGGCTGCCCCCAGTCGGCCCCCTGTGGGGTGGCGGCGGGCCGCCCGCTAGTCCCCTGGGCGCTTCAGGGCCCCGCAGGCCTGTCGTGACACGCCAGAGCCACAGGCTGGGGCGTCTGCTCGCCTGAGGGCAGTGCTGGTGAGGTGGGTGCGGTGCCTGATTCACAGGGGTGGAGAATGGGAAGAAGGGACCCAAGGAGAGGGGCACAGGCGCCCTGCAGGGTGAGCCGCCCGTGGGGACGCGTTCCCCGTCGTCCGACTCCGCGCCGGGGGGTGGGGCTGTGCCCACCGCCAGCACAGCCCGCTCGGAAGCAGGCGGTCGGACTCTGGTCCCGGCTCTCCGTTCACCAGATCAGCGAGTTATCCTCGAATGCAAGCTGACCGCTCTGTCCAGCCCCCTTGCTCATCTGTGAAATGGGCGGCAGCAGGGCTCATGGGGCGGGGGCAGGTTCGGTGGGTGCCAGCAGGCCTGGGCCTGGCACAGGGCATCTGGGACCTGCCGGCCGGGGGCGGCAGGAGGCATGCCCTCCAGGGACTCTGACTGGGGTGCAGAGGCCTGGGACACAGTGACAAGAAGGCACCCTTGAGCTAAGGTAGGGCCTCCAGAGGCCGGGCCCTGCCCTCCTCCCTGGCTGTTCCAGTCCCGAGCACCAGGCTGGGTGGGGACAACACGTGGGTCTCGGACCAGACGCCTGTGCGACTTCCCACCGGCAGGCGAGGTCGAGGGTCCCTCTTGGCTGCTGCAGCACCCCGGCCCCTGCTCGTCTGCAGGGGGTCCCCTCTGTCCCCAGTGCCCGGCAGTTCCAGGCAGCTACCACGTCTGTGCTGTCACACGGGTGCCACCTACAGGCCACCCCAGGGCATGACCTGCTTGTTCCCAGAGCCCTGAGGACCGGGAAGCAGCTGGGGCAGCTTCCTGAGGTGCAGGTGCAGCTGACCCCTGGCGAACTTTCCCGGGGCGGGTGGGTCATCCTTGGCCTCCTCCAGCTGCCCTGGGTCACTTACCTCCACGTCGCCACTGGCCGCCACCAGACCACGCTACCCCTCAGAGGGAACATGCAGTCTCAGCTACGTTCCCCTCAGGCCGCCTGGTACAGGCGAGTCCACGGTGGGTGACAAGCATCTTTATTCATTTTAGGGGGGGCGGTGAGCGAGAGAAACGCGGACTCGCTGTTCACTCGTCAGCGCGCTTGCTGGTTGACCGCTGCCTATGGTCTATGCCCGGACTGGGGACCAGCCTGCAGCCTTGGTGCACTGGGGCGCGTTCCAACCCAGGTTCCCGGCCAGGGCTACAGCTTCTTCGAGGAGGCAGTTTTTATTCACCCAGATGACCACAGCTGGACGCACCCCCAAGGAACACGGGGCCATGGTCCCAGGCCACGCGCCAGCCCTTCTGGCCCCTCCCAGGGATACTTCCCTCGGACCTCAGCGGCTCCCTCCTTGGACGGGTGTCCAGGTCCTGGAGTCCACGGCCCAGGCCCAGCACTGGCTCGGCGACCTCTGGCACACCACTGCCCTCTCGGCCTGTTTCCTCCTCCGCACGCGGCCCGCAGGTCTGCCTCGCCGGGTTCTCGAGCTGACGTGCAGCGACGTGCTGCAGACCTGGCGTCTGGGGCGCCCCGGGGTGCCGTGCGGTGCCCCAAGGGCCCTGGTGGGTGCAGTTCTCCGCATGGGTCAGTGGTTTCCCAAGTGGAGCCCCCTGGAACGCAGCCCGCGCCCCCAGCCCCCAGGCGATGCCGGTGCGAGCTCCCGTCCGAGGCCAGGGGGCCTGGGCCAGCGGTGTCTGAGTCAGGGTCTCTCTGAGCACAGCGCCCATTTACCCCCGGGGGCTTCTCGGGCTGGGCCTCCCCATCCCCACAGCGTCTCTGGGGCTGTGCAGTGCTTTCCCGCCCAGCCCTCCTGGAGCCACGAGGCCCGTATGATCCCACTTCACAGGAGACGGAGGCACGGACACCCCCAGGAGGCGGCAGTCGTTCGTCAGACCCCGACCGCGGGCCAGGCCTGCCATGACACGCTGGACGCGCAGACACCGGGAAAGGGACACGGGCGAGGCCAGCCAGGCCCCCCCCACAGCCTGCGAAGACCCTGGCTTCCAACCAGACTCCCTTCCAGGCCGGCGTTTTAACGTGCGTTTCCAGGGGCCTGGGTCACTGCCTCAGACGGAGACAAATACTGTGCAGCATTCATTCGGTATTAGCTGAACTGGAAGAGACGTCAATCGATTTTTGTTCACATTGTGGACTCTGCCTCACAAGTGGCTGCCTGAGGAACTCTCCCGAGGCTTGTAACCCCCACCGTGGGGTCTGAATGACGTATCTTCTGAAATACCGAGCTTCTCCGCACCTTCTCTCACTACCTTCCTATGACGCTAAGTTAGAGCTTGCCCATCACCACCTCCGCTTTCCAAAGAGACCACGGAGGCTCGGAGGTCACACGACTACGTCGGAGAATCACCTGGGTAAACACATTTATTGATATTGAACATCCAACGTGTGAGCGCCTAGATCTGACCCCCCACTCCTACGGCACCGAAATGCTGACCCCCAGGTCCTGGGGATTCCCAAGGACGGGCCGGCCCCGGAAAGTCGGAGGGCACCGGCCGCCGTGCACACGGTCGCCTCGGGGTCCGACGGGCACGCGGGGGCGGCGGGAGAACACCGAGCAGCCCGGGGTGTCTTACAGGTGCGTTTATTCATGCCAGCAAGGAAACGGCACCCCCACAACGTACAGCGTGCCCCGCGTCCCCATCTAACAGTGCTCCGAGGCGCAGCCAGCACGACGCTCCGCCGCCGGGCACTCCAGGTCCAGCTGCTCAGTGATGACCATGAGCGGGTGCGGGACTCGAACCTTTTGAAAGAAGCAAAAACACGGACCCGACTTAGGACGGACCAGCAGGACCAGGCCACCGTGCAAGCGTTAACGGGGCAGAGGCAGGACGCTCAGAGGGCTGCCTCCCTACAGGACGCCAGGGAAGGGACGGGCCTGCGGGGTCGGTTGTGCGGGCGCGCCGAAGGGGGCGGGCGGCGGGGGGCGCCGCCTCCCACGGGCGAGGAGTGGCCCCGGGTGTGCAGGCGCGGACAACTAGGTCCCGTCGCTTGGGGAACAGTGGAGGGCCGCCCTCACGTGGCGCTGGCCTTCAGGCTCGCCACAGCGCAGCGCGCCGCCCGGCCGCCTGCCTGCCCCTGTCTCCATCAGGCCCGCAAGCAGGCCTTTCACTTGGCCCATGGGGTGAGCGGTGGTTTTTAACATTCAGGCCACAAGGAGCAGAACTTGACGTTCAGAACATCCCTGTCGTGCCTTCTGTTGGGCTGACTAAAAAGTCCATTACGTTTTCTCCGTAAACTAAGAGACACACTGTTCGTGGTCACCAACACCTTGTCTGATTTGGTATTTCGAGTGTGTCAGCGTCTCCCCCGCTCCTGGCCTCCAGCGCATCAGACAGCCCCACCGCATAGTTATTTGGCCAAAACGTCAACAGTGCAAGAAACCTCGCAGCCACTTCTGACACGTTCGAGCAGTCACAGCACCTTCTCTACAGACAGTGCAATTTTTTTGGTGTGTATTAGTTGCATTTTACCTCTCTTGAAATAATAAAGAATACGCGGAAAGTGTTGTGTATCTTCTTCCATTTTCAACATTAAAGTGGTGACACAAAAATTCACCAATTTTGATGAAGTTTTTCTTTTAGGGTTTTTTTTTTTTAAGAGAAGGGAAGGGAGGGAGAAAAAGAGGGAGAAACATCAACGTGGTTGCCTCTCATGTGCCCCCTGCTGGGGACCTGGCCTGCAACCCAGGCCTGTGCCCTGACTGGGGATCGAACCAGTGACCCTTTGGTTCTGGTTCGCAGGCTGCACTCAATCCACGGAGCCACACCAGCCAGGGTGATGTTTTAAAAAAATGCACGCTGACATGACAGCTGTCACAATACAATCTAACAAAATTGTCTGGAATGCGTAGTGGACTTTTTGGTCAACACAACACGTTTACTGAACCTGTGTCTGCGTCAATTCAGGGCACTGACATGCCCCATCCTGGATCAGTACGATGGTGTTTTCATTCCCCACCCAGTTAGAAAGCGGAAATCTTACCTTTCAATGCTTTGCTTCTTTTATCTAAAATACAAAGAAGGAAAAATGGGTCACATCAATGCTTTACAAAAACCCTCAACAAAATTCACTGCAGTTCTTGGTGTCTGGCCGGCCAGCCCAGCCCGTGTGGAGCTGCCGCAGGGAGCTCCCGGAGGCCAGGAGCTCCCCGCACCTTTGTGGCCACGGAGTAGGGCCTCTCCCGCGGGTGTCCTGGGAGTGGCGAATGGCTCCCCACAGCCGCCCGGCCCAGACTCCAGGGCTGCAATTCAAAGGTTTTCCTTTCTCTCCTCTTTTTGACCCACTGATTATTAATGTGATTGAGCCCCATTGCTGCTCTGCTGAGAACCAAACAGCTACCCAGCTAAAACTTTTAACGTGAAATATCCCCAACATTCAGAATGACGGAGGAGGAGCAGCAGGACACTGGGCACCATGACTCCGCCCCATGAGGTCTAGCCTGCACTTCTTAGAGCTGAGGGCTTCCCTATGCGTTCGAAAGAACCACTGCCACACCTATGGAAAGTCACAACTCCCTGACTTCCAGGTCTTGCCCAAATTTTCCCGAAGGTCCCGTAATGTCTCATGGCTGGTGTGTGGACCCCCCCCCCCGATTTGAACGAGGGCAACTGGTGTGCGGATGGTCACGCCTAACTAAGAACCACGTCCTTCAGTGTGCACTCTGGCTCCCGCTGAAAGGGCCTCTCTTCCTGGCCTCCGGTGAGTCGGGCGTGGAAACTTACCAGCGCTCCTGATTTTGTAAATGATGAAGCTCATCAGCCCCATTCCCACCCAGATCTCCTGGTAAACCTGGGTGTAGTAGGGCTTCATGGGGACCCAGACATTCTTCACGAGGCTCTGAAACATCTGCAAAGGAACGCAGCGATGAACTTTAACATGACCGTGGTTTTAAACTGAACTGGCAAGGGATTTCCATCTGCTCACGAAGTTCACCCTATTTCCCACAATGGCACATCAGGGGTCTGTGGATGCGAGGCGTGCCCCCCGAAACCGCAGCCACACGGGCTCCGGCTCACGACTCTGGAGCCCACTCTCCCCACGACGCCCCGACGTGGCCACTGCGGCAGTCACTTCTCATCGCACTGTCCTGCTCAGAACTAGGGGCGTTTGAAGCTGCAACAGCCCTGGCTGGCGGGGCTCCGCGGGCCGCGCACTGGCCTGCGGCCTTGCGTTCAATTCCCAGTCAGGGCACCTGCCTGGGTTGCGGGCCAGGTTGCCAATTGGGGCGCGTGAGACACAACCACACATGCATGTGTCTCTCCCTCTCTCTCAAAAGAAATAAAATCTTTTAAAAAAGCAGAAGAAGAGCACGGCCAGGGCACGGGCACCCGGTGGGACCGAGACCTGGTTCGCGCTCAGCGCCCGGCCGTGCCCCGGGCTCCAGGCGCCCTGAGGTCTGACTACACGTGGGAGCGGCAGCCGCTACGGCACACCTTGTGGCGAGGACTTCATGCGCGTGTGCGCTGGAGGATTTCCTGTGCGGCAACTCACACCCCCCTCACCCCGCGTCCGTTGTCTCGGCGCTACATCCAGCGCAGTTATTAACTACAGTCGTGCTGTTATACGTGTATCTCAGTCTACAAGTCCATCCCTAAATACAGAGCAGCTTAAGACGACAAGGTCACGTCCTAAGAGCTGCAGTTATCACATGACTTATTTCATGAATAAAAATATTGAACCAATCATGGAATGTGATCGGTAAAAGCCACCCATTTCTGCATTTACACAGTTCACCTTTATGTGCAGGTCCAAACTAAGGTTTTGTTTTGGTGTTTATGGTTTACTGCAGACCCTGAACGGGACACGCACACTTTCATCTCGATGAGGAGCGTAACACCTGGCCCACTGCCCACAGTCATCCCAGCCGCCGACTGGAATCTCGAGACCCCCGTCCTTCCCATGTGGCACGAAGATGCCCCTTTGCCTCTAGTGTTGCAGTCTCACCTGACTCCGCCCTCCCCTCACCTCACCGCCCCGCCCCCCCGGGGCTGCCCAGAACCCAGAACCGGCATCTCTTCGTTGGCTCTGGTCCTCCTCCAGGGAAGCCCGGCCCTGCGATCACCACCCGTTCTTTCAGCAAACGTGACCTGAGCCTGTGGCCCGTGCGCCGAGACCCCCGGATCAGATGGAGCCTGGAGGGTGGGGCGGGTTCGGAGGGAGGCCCGGGAATGCCGGACCCCACCCCTAGCCCTGCCACGTCCCAGCTCAGTTAACCAGCCTTGGCTTCCACACCCGTAAAACACCGCTAAACACTGTGCCCACCTCCCAGGGCTGTAACAAAGACGAGTTACTCTGTGTCAGGCATTTAGTGTCTGAGGTCCTCTATGGAGCGCTTGTTCTATCCAGTGTCATGGCTGGACTAAGGAAGGGAAGGCGGCCCAGGCCATTTAGGGCCTTGGAGGCCACGATCAAGACTCCAGCTTTTAAGACTGGCACACAGATTCACCAGCATTCACGACACGCGTCCTGTGCTTTCTCTTCTGCGCTGCTCCCCGTCCCACCAGTGCGAACAGGAGCAAGCTGAGTCCGCTCTTCGCTCCTGCCCCAGGCCTGGCTTCCGGCTCTCCCCGAGGAGAACACTCACTCAGCCTGGAGCTTGGTCCTTGCAGGAGGGGCCACTCCTCCACCTGGAAGCCCTCAGTCCCTGTCCTGAGATGGTACCGGAACCAAAATGCTCTGCCAGCACGAGGCTCCAAGAAACCAACAACCTGCCTTGAGAAAGGCGCCTGGGAGGCTCTAGCAAGACCCGAGGCTGCTGGACGCCCCGACGGGCAGAGCTCAGAGGCACGGAGTGCTGGCCTCTCCTCCTTGCACCCCGCAGTTGGGGGGTGGGGGTGCTCCAGGAGACCAAGGGGTTGGAGGCCTGGGCTGTGCTGGAACCAGCGCGGCCCGCTCTGCTCCCGGCCTTGGGCGAGCCCCTGATGCTGTTGTTTCAGAAGTTTTCCCTTCTGTGAAACAGGACGCTCAGTGGGACTCAAGAGACACAAAACCCAGCCTAGTGCCTGGTGGCGTAAGGACTCGGTAACCGACTGGAGCAATAGCAGAAAGAAACCCTACGAACACCCAACTGACTGCAGTGTATCTGATGAGGATAGCCAGGACCAGAGAGCGGCTCTCAGCGAGGCCAGGTGGGGCCTCCTGAGCGAGGCTCACCGAGGATCTGAGGGGGCAAAGCAGGCAGGTGAGAAGGGACCAAGGACACGTCCGTTATCCTGATGCTTTGCTCAGGGCCCAGGTACCCCAGCGTCATCTGGTCACCTTTAATTATCCTGGTCTGCTAACCATACACTGAAAATACTCACCTTTCTCCTCCAACTTGCCCTTTAACCAAAGTTGCCATATGGGGTTGGACAAGTGACACGATCTCAGCGTTTAGTAAAGTAAGGCCCCTACTTCCTCCGCCTGAGTCCCCTCTGTCCCTCCAGGCCTCCCAGCTCTGTGTGCAGGTTTTACAGCACCGGAGGCCCATCCTACTCAAAGGTTAATTGGGTGTCCACCGTGTCCGTTGAGGGTCTGCAAACGTTTTGGCACTTTAACAGCAAACTGCTTTCAGACCGCCCCGGAGGGAACGAACGTCTGACCCCTGGCGCCCCAGGTCGGGGCTCAGAGGCCGAGTTCGACCCCGTTTTGGACCCGTTCCCCGCTCCTCCCTGGCGTACACACAGTTCAGCCTAGAGACAAGGGTGCTGCGGGAACCTGAGGGTCGCGGGCGAAGGTTCTAGACGCCGTAGGTGTTCTTCTTTGGACTATGGCTCGTCACCGGCCGCGGCGTGACCTCCGCTCGGCGGCTCAACCGCGCACGGCCGAGGACGCGCCTCATCCAAGGGGGGACATTAACCCTAACCCCTAGGCCGGCTTCTCCAATTTCGGGGACCCGAGCGGAAGAGCTCGTGCGGGGGGCGGGGCACCAAGGTCAGCGGGGGTCGAGGTGGGGCTGTCTGGGCTGGGGAGGGTCCCGCTCGCCGCCGGCTCCCTCCGCGGGCACGCTCGGGCCCGGGCCTCCGCCAGCCAGCGTCCCGTCCCGCACCGTCCCGGCTGCTCCGCGCTGAGCACCGAGTCCCGACTCCCGCACTCACCTCGTCGCAGGACCAACGGCTCAGGCCGCCCCAACGAGCACAGCCAACAATTTGGGAAGGTCACCGAAAGCGCAGGCGCCGCGCAGGGCCTGCCGGGAGGGCGGAAGGAGCGGCGGCGTCCCAGAGCCGGAACTCTCCCCAGGCCGCGCGGGTGCACCACAGCGCCCCCAGCGGCCGCTCCGATGCCGCAGGCTCGGAGGAGGAGCGCCGGGGGAGGGGCTTTGGGTGTGTGTCACAAATGGTGACTAACCGTCGGGGTTTGCCCGGGACGCGGGACTTTCAGTGCAGTGCCGAAACCGGGAAGGGCCTGGACAAAGCGGACGAATTGGTGGAGGTGAAAAAGGGACCATCTTTATTTGCTAAAACTCGAGAAGTTGAGTCCCCCATCTCTGTGGTTTTCTTGCCATTTCTCCTTGCACTGTTAACATTTTGCTCTGCATACTTTAATGCATCTATTTGGTGCCTCCTAATTCTACTCATAGCCAATATAAAGACTTCCAGAGTCTGGACCTAGCAGACACAGGCTTTGAAAACAACTGTGCCCTGGCTGGCCTGGCTCGGTGGACTGAGTACCAGGACTGTGAACAAAAGGATCCCCGATTCGATTCCCGGTCAAGGCACACGCCTGGGTTGCGGGCCAAGTCCCCAGCAGGCGGTGCGCGAGAGGCAACTGATCCGTGTTTCTCTTCCTCTCTTCTTCTCTTTTCCCCTCTCTGAAAATAAAAAAACAACCCCCCAAAACCTACTTACTATGCACAGAGAAATAAAAACAAGAACATTGTAACAAATGAAACAGGAAAACGCTTATGTGCTTTAAAAAAGAGCAAACAGAAAGCAGATGTGGTTAGCTGCAGATTAGACACTTGAAGAATTACTGAAATGTAAAATAGTTAGAAGAAACCATTCAGAAACATAGACAAAAGAGTTCAGAGAGAAGGTACAGCAAGAAAGTCCATCATACATATAACTGGAGTCTTAGAAGAAAATGAGAGATGGGGCAGAAACATTAGAAGAGAAAATGGCTGAGAATTTTCCAAAAGCGATGAAGGAAAAGCACACCAAACATTAAAAAAGCGTTATGGAAACGAAGCATGCAGGTAGATGAAAATAAATCAATACCTTAAACCTCAAAATAAAGCCACAGAAAACTAAAGAAAATGAAAAAAAATCTTACAATAACTGCCAATCTAGAATTCAGTGCATAAGGTGTTTGCCGTGTATAATGCGCACTCATCTTTTTGGCCCAAACCTTCAAGGAAAAAAAATCTTTCATTTTAATTTTTTAATTCAATTATTTATTTATATTTAGTTTTTTGTACTATAAAGGAATTTTAGCATTTCTTTTTGAACATATTATGGTATGAAAAAATTTATGTAACAAATAATTACAAAACAACAGAACAGATAAAAGATATTTTTGTAATGGGGCACAGCCAGGGTCCCCAATACCAAAGGGTATTTGTAACAGGGTCCAGAAATTGGGGTGTCCAAGAAAAATATATTCTCCCCACCCCAGGGCGGGCTGCCATGGGGGATGGGAGCCTTGACAGGGTCATTGAGAGTCATTTTGCGTGTCAATAACAGGATAGCTTCCTTCCTCATATGCAAAGAGAATTATTTTGCATATTGCCAAAGCTAATCAGGAGGTTTAAAAGACTTAATACAGAATGTAACCGGGAGAGGAGGAGGGCAGGGGCCTGCAGGAGAGACAGAGACTCAGACTCTGGGGAACAGTGTGAAGACCACGTGGGAAGGAAGAGGGGAGAAAGGACTCTTGCTGGTGGGCCAGGAGAAGGTGCCACATGGTTATGGAGTAAGAGCTGGAGATCGCGGCGACGCAGCGGAGGGTGCTGAGACCCGTGAGAGGCCTGCCGCGCCGAGCCCCGGACTTCTGTCCTTTTTCTTCTGAAGGACGGCGCCCCTGACAGGCCTGACTGGCCTCACTGGGCAAAGGGGGGAAGGCAGGTGCTGGTGGTTGTTTTAAAGGGATTTTGAGGTTTAAGGGCAACATATAGCCATTCATCAAACCTGTATAACTTTTGAATAAATAGTTCCTTTCCTTTCCACCAAACTCTGCCATTCAGAGCCATAATTCCAAGGGCGGCGGGCAAAGGACCCACAACCGAGGGACCCCGAGGAAGTGAGGCAGGAGATAGTCAGGAAGGAGGACACTCCAGAGGTGCCCCGGGAGATAAAGCACATGGATAAAGGGCGGAGACCCCGTCCTAAGTCTGGCGGTTTCTGCATCCGGAGAAGCGTTGAATCCTAGAGAATCCGGACTGCCCCTGCGCAGAAGATGCTGCCTGACCCCTGCTTCGTTATAATGAATTAGCACCGTGGGGCCCTCTTCCCCGTAGCCAATCAAGGAAAGGGAGGCCCACCCTACGGAACAAAAGTCCTCCAGCCCCTGAGTTCCGCCCTTTTTTCTTGCCCTGCTCCAGCTGCCCCTGCTGCCCCTGCGGCTGTGGCCGCGGCTGGTAGGCTCATTTCCTTTCTTCTCTGCTCCACTCTGCTCAGAGCTGGCCTGTTCCCATGTTCTGTGCGGCTTAATAAATCTGCTTTTCTTCGCTTTCTGCTATAAACTGTGTGTTTGGTTCCATTTTTTGTCCGCGATCACCAAGAACCTGGTTACCTGTGCCCACCTGTGACAGAAGGGGGGGTGTCGTTTCGGTAATAGCATCTGGGCACCCTCCCCCCGCCACGGGTCCATTTGTTTGGTAACAGTTTCAGGCACTACCCATGTGTAACACGTGTCCTTATTTTTCCCTCAAAAACTTGAGCAAAAATGTGCGTATTATACACAGCCACATAGGGGTAACCTTCCGTGAAGAGGGCTGACTTTTCAGACAAACTGCGACTTTGGGAATAATCAGGAGATGCGCAGGGGGGAAAAAAAGAAAAGTCAGCATTCGTTATTCAGGCAGAAGTAAACGCGCTCCGGTGGAAGGGTGGTTGGGGGCAGGAAGGTCAGCGAGCAAGGTCCTGCTAGCAGCTCAATCAGGTGAGGCTGCGTGCCACCTCGGGAGGCTTGCCCTTTTAGGGCAGTGGTTCTCCAAGGGTGGTTCGGGGGTTTCCACAGCCCCCAGAGAGTCAAAATTATTTTCATAATAATGGTAAAATGTGAATTGTCTTTTTCATTCAAACTTTCTCACAAGAGTCCGGTGGAGTCTCCCTGAGGCTGTGTGACTTGTGCTGTCACAGAGAATGACTACAGGAACGGGGAGGCAGACATGAAGAGACCTTTGACAATGTAAGAGTGTCACTATTCTCACACAGAAAAAACATTGTATTCATTTATTAGATTTTGTTTTTAGAGAGAGCGGGGAGGGAGAGAGAGAGGGAAAGAAGCAACGATGTACAAGAAAGAAACATCGATTGGTTGCCTCTTGCGTCCCCTGCTGGGGACCTGGCCCGCAACCCAGGCCTGTGCCCTGACTGGAACAAACTGGAGACCTTTTGGTTCACAGGCTGGCGCTCAGTCCACTGAGCCACACCAGCCAGGGGAAATTTTAAAAAAAAAATATAGTTATTTTTTCATAAAAATAATTCTCTAACATCATGTGGTTTCATTATTTTAAAGTAAAAAAACCCAACAACAAACCCAACACCATTTTTCAGCTGTAATCCCTAATCAGGGAGATGTAACCCACATAAACAAAAACTCTTCAGGGTCTCCAATTACATTAAAGAGTACAAAGGGGTCCTGACACAAGGACCAGGTCTGAGAGCCACTATCTCAGACTAAGAATGTTTCAAAATCACAGTTAGTTAGAAAACTGCTGAGGTCCGCAAACATCCAGGTCAAACTTGAAGGGCATCGTTGTAAGCTATTTCCAGACAAAGTTTTTGAACTTCCAACCTGACTTGAGATCAGTAGATTTTTAATGTCTTCAGCTGCACACATCCAATAAAAAAACACATCTTCAAAGAAAACAATGTTTAAAGACGTCACCTGTCCATCTGTCTATTCTCCCCTCCCCGCCCCCTACTGGCCATGTCAACACCTTTATTCAAAGTGCCAGATGTTGCACTTTGTGGTTGAGAAGGTCAGCAAAGACAAGTAGGAACTTGGAGCTTGGCTTCTCCTGCTTTTTGGGAAGTGCTGCTTTGGCATCAACAGCAACAGAAATTGCCATCAGTTGTTCCCCCTTTGGGTCTGCAGCTGGCGCTGCTCCCGGAATGCAAGTAAGCAAAGCCTCCAAGGGTGCAGGTGCTCAGCGGCCTTCCCGTCTGCTCTGGCCTAGATGTCTACAAGCCTGCTGAGAACTGTCCAGCTGTCTCTTTCTAAAGGAACTTTTGACAAGAATGCAAGATCAGCTGGGCTACGTGTGGAGCACCAAGACCCACTAAACCAAAGGAGAGGAGCTCGAAGCCAGTCAGCCTGTGAGGACCCAGAATACCAACTAGTGTTTGGTCAGGAAAATGGCAATTAAATGAGATAAGATCTCCAAGTGGAAGAATCATCAACACACTGTCCTTAAACTGTAGTTAAAAACTCAAAACTCAAGAGGATGGAAGGAAATAGTAACCCCAAAGCATCAATGAACATAGAAAAAGCCCTCAAGAAAATGTATGAAGTGAACCCTTTTCAGAAAAAAAGCAACTGCTACTTAAAAACATATTCATTGTGACATTAGCAAAGGACAACAGCCAGTGGTAACAGGAACATACCAGGACACACAAATGTCAGCTAGTTCCAGAGTTGTTGGGAGTGGTTTCAACACATTTTGTGATATTTGGAACATGCGCTGGACTTCATATAAAGCATGAAGTTGAAGTATTTTCTAATCAATGCTGCACTATTTGGAATAGTCAGAATACATGGCCCAGAGCTCATAATAGTCGGGTGGCCAGAAGTCCGTATTTTTTTTTCTGTAACATAAGACACATTTTTCATTTCCACCAATAACTTTATTGATTTGGATATTTTGAGTATGTCGGCTGTCTCTTGAGTGGTGTAACATTGATTGTTCTCAATTAATGTCTTAATGTGATCGCTACTAACTTCAACCTGACCATGGAGCAACATCCAGCAAGAAATCTCCAGCATGAAACTTCGCAACCCTCTTTTGGTATGTTTGATCAGTCACAGTACCTCCTCCATATGCTGCACAAACCTTTTGTTGCATTTGTTTTTTACCTTTCTTGAAATAATAAAGGATAATATGCTGAAAACATTGCATATTTTCTCCCATCTTTAATATTGAATGGCTATACAAAAATTAACCAATTTTGACTTTTCTTTAAAAAGAGTTTATTTTTAGAGAGGTAGAGGGAGAGAGGAAAACATCAATGTGTGGTTGCACCTCACACGCCCCCTACTGGGGACCTGGCCTGCAACCCAAGCATGTGCCCTACCCTGGGAATCATACCGGTGACCTTCTGGTTCACAGGCCAGCGCTCAATCCACTAAGCCACACGAGCCAGGGCTTGACTTTTTTTTTAATGCATGCTGATATGACACCACAATACGTCACCATACAATGGTAACAAAATTGTTTTGAATGAAGGTAAAGACAACTAATTGCTACAAGAGCCATCATATGGAAAAATGAACGTTTAGGCCAACCCAATGTTAGTGGTGTGGCCAGGATTCAGACCTGAGACTCCCAGCTCGGTCCCGTACTGGGCTAATTTTTTTTTTTTTTTTTTGGTGAGACACCAGTAGGTCAAGCCTGCCTAGCCTGACTTACGCTGGTTTCTTGAGCTAACCTATTTGGGCACTTTGGGGGCATATTCCAGCCCTTAACTGATTGGACATCACACTGTTGGTCCCGAAGATTCTTTCACACGGCTCTTCCCTGAAGGCGCCCCACGGTGCCAGACAATGCACTAGGCACCGACAGTATGACAGGAGAGCTGGCAGTCGCCTCCCTTCCTTTGTACACCTTTGCAGGATTTTCCCTCTGCCTCTCCCTTCACACTGTTTCCTAGGGTTCTCTCCTCCACCTTCCTCCATTCGTCTAGCTTGGTCTGGACTACTTCAGCGGCTCAGCAAAACCACCGTCGATCTGCCGACGACCTCCAAATCTGTGCCTCTCACCCCCTTGCCTAACAGTGGGTAGGGCGGTGCACCTGAGACGCACGTGGAGGAAGGAGGATGAATTTCATTTATTTATGTTCTGGCCCCAGAGAACTTCCAGATCCTCCACTCAGCCATCGCGGATGCCGGCATCCAGGCCTCCGCCCACGAGCCCCTCCTCCGTGCTCCCCCGAGTCCTCTCCGGTCCGGTTCTTCCCCGGTTGTCCCTCCGGCGCCCACCTAGGTGTTGTTTTGTTCAAGAGGCCTTTCCTGACCTTCTCCTTGCTCCTCGCCACCAACTTAGGTGCACAGTGTTCCAGTTTTGCAGCCACGAGAAGCACAAGTCTCTTCTTTGGTTTGCTTTCCGCCTCCGCACCCTGAGCTGCGTCCCTGCTGTACCCTGCGGCCCTGCACCGGGCCAGGCACACAGGCGGTGCCCCATAAGTGCTGTGCACCGCGGCCTGGAGCCTCACGCGGCAACCCCCAAAGGGAGAAGGCGGAAACTCGAGGCCTGGTCTTGCTCGTCGGGTCCATTGACACGTTGCCTCAGCCCCGAGGGCGGAGGGGCCCGCCAGTCTGCCTCCGGGACCGCAGTCCCGCGGCCCAGGTCCCTGCGCGGGGAGGCGCGAGCCGAGCTCCCGGCAGTCCTAGCGCGCTGCACGAGGCGCAGGCAGCGGGCGCTAGTGCGCTCTGATTGGAGGGCCCCTAGCAGGGCGGAGCCTCCGGCCGCAGGGGGCGTGAGCGCGTGGACGGTGCGTGGCGTGCCGGCCGACGCCAGTTCCCGCCGCTTGGTCGGGCGGTTGAGGCGGTGCCGCCGGCGGGCTGCGACCATGTTGCGCAAGCTCACCGTCGACCAGATCAACGACTGGTTCACCATCGGCAAGACTGTGACCGATGTTGAGCTGCTGGGCTCGCCGCCCGCCTTCCCGGCAGAGGCGGCCAGGGACGAGGCCCAGCGCGGCGATGGGGCCGCTGGCGCCCGCCTCGTCACTCCAGCCCCCGGCAGGGCCCAGGCCCAGGCCCAGACGCGCCAGGCGGCGCCCTGGAGGTAGGAGCCGGGCGAGCTGCGGGGAGGTGCGGGGCCTGGACCCCTGGGGCTGGACCCCATGGCGCGCCCCTGGCCCCCGCCGGCTACCCAGGCTCGCCTCTCCCGAGCAGAGGCGCGTTCGAGTTTCCTATTAATAGTTAGAGCAGTTTAGGGCGCTCGGAAAACTGAACGGAAGGTCCGGGTGCCGGTACCCTTCCTCCCTCAGCGAGTCCCCGCTGGTAGCACTGGGCTGGAGTGCGCTGCGTTTGTCGCAGCGGGCGGGCCGGTGTGGGTGCGTTGCCGATACCCGAAGCCCGAGGCCGCGGTGCGGGCTCACTGTTGGCGTCGGTGCGCCGGGCGGCGCGGTTGCCGGGCCCTGGAAGTCCTGCGCCGCCGGGCCCCCCCCCCCCGCCGCCGGCCGCCGCGGCCCCGTTGCGCTGCTCTCTCGTGTTGCGTGGTCCGGGACGTCTGGGGGCGGAACCTCCGGCCGGCAGCCTTTGCACACCCGCGGCCTTCCCTTAGCGGCGGGCGGTTAAGGTTCCTCCGCGTCTGCTCTGGCCGCAGAGCTGCTGGGCTGCCCCAAAAGTCTGTTGCGTGTTTCCCGCACGATGGCGCTAGTAGCGCTCGGTTGTCTGGAGCTTCATTAGAAACAATCCTGTTAGACGGTATTGTGACGGTGGTCACGTCAGCGCGCATTAAAACAAAACATAAAAATTGGCGACTTTTTGTGCAGCCATTTTATTATTGAAGACAGAAGAAGGTACGGGACATTTTTGGTGTATTATGGTTTTTTATTTCAAGAAAGTTTAAAACCGAACTGAAACGCGAAAAAAAACTGTGCCGTGTGTAGAGAAGGCGCTGTGACTGACAGAACGCTCAAAAGTGCGAGGTGTCTCGGCATTGCTGACATTTTGGCCAAATAGCCCTTTGCCGTGGGGCTGTCTGATGCCCTGGAAGGTGTTGAGCAGCTCCCCGGCCTCCACCCACTAGACACCAATAGTCGGGAGAGTCAAAATATCCAAATCAGCAATTTTATTGAAAATGAAAAACAGGTCCTTTATTTTATGGAGAAAACGTAACGGACTTTTTGGCCAACCCAGCACTTCTTTTGTAAGCGCTCAGTAACACCCTGGGCCTGACCTACCGCGGCCTGCCGGCCCGTCCCCCTGCTGAAGGGGAGCCTGGCACCCAGGTGTTGGCGATGAGGAGCAAGGCCGCCGTGGGCCCGTGGCCGCGGGGCCAGAAGCCTTCAGTGCAGTTGGGTACCCACCGAGGAGCATTGCACGCGGGATGTTCAGCTGTGCTCACGCTCCGCCTCCCGCTGTTCTTTGACGTAAGTACAGCAGCTGCTGTCAGGTGCGCTGTCCAAGTGATTTTGGTGGAAAGAAGGGGAGAAGACACCTTCCGTTTTTAGAAGACCCAGATCCCGGGGGCAGAACACCTGATCCCTGGGCAGAGGCCAGCGTGCAGCGCCTCTGGCTGCGGGGTCTGCGCTCGGACGGCCCCCCACCCCCAAGCTCAGAGCCCTGTACGGTGGTTGTTAATTTTGTTAAGTTGATCTTGTTTGTTGCTCTCTCTGATCTCGTGGGTCAGGTTTTCATGCCCCTCTCAAGCCTTTGCAGAGCCGAGTGCAACTGGGGATATTTGGTAAATGCTTTCTTGGAGGCCGGAGGGGACAGAGACGCCCTTGTGAGCCTGCGAGCGGCGGTTTGGCCCCTGCTTCGTGCACCGTTTCCTCGGGTTGCTCTGCCGGTGACCTGCAGATTGCCCTTCTTCCCCCCCCCCCCGGCCCCGCCCTGGCTCCCAGACGTGGGCGGCCGTACAGTGTGCTTTTACAGAGCTCACTGCATGTGAGGTTGAAAGTAGGTTATTGTGAACCTTGTCAGAAATTGAAAGTATGGATTTAAACATCCTTTTAACTGCTAACGACCAGTTTTTAAAATGTCCAGTTCTTTATGGACTGAAACTGGTAAAATCAATGTAAATGATATTACAGAGTAATGAAAAGACAAAATACACACCCTATTATAAAAATCGTTACAGTCAACATAGGCAAAGTTAATTTGTAAAACTGCCTTGGGGGTTTCAACCTCTGCAGCTAACTAGTGGCAGGCAAACAGGTTGACATTTGTCTGTTTCAGAGTAATCCTCCGCCTGAAAGTGCCCTCCTTGACCCTTGATGTTAGGGTGGCCGGTGGCCTGGGCCGTGGAAGAATTCACCAGAGAAGGAAGTGCAGAGAACAAAGTTTTAAAAGAGAGGCAAAGAGCTGGGCGTGGAAGTGCGCCGGCCTGGGGCAAGGGGGCCGTGAGTGCTCACGGGGTCAGGAAAGAGGTGGGGGCTGCAGCGGGGTGGTCACTGCGAGCAGTGCCGGAGCCGGAGCTTGGAGGCTGACTCGGCCGCCTCAGCTTGTTCGCTGTTGTCTGGGGGTCCAGGGTCGGGGAGCTCCTCTCTGGCATGTCCTGTCTGTAAGTTTCGAAGCACCCGCATAGCGGGTGCTCTGAGTAAGCTTCCAGGTCCTGGGACCAGGGGCTCAGAGAAGCAGCAGTTCAGGGTGCCCGACGGGCTCGAGGGGAGGGCGCCGGTGCCGGCGAGGAGGGCCGCCAGGGCTTTCTGCCCCCTCCTACCACGTGCACGTGTGATGCCAGGGGCTCTGGCATGTGGAAGGCCCACAGCTCACTGCAGCGCTGGTATTTAGTCCTCGAAGCAACCCCTTGAGGTTGGTGGCATTTTTGATTACAGATGAGAAAAAAGACCTGGGTGGCAACGTGACTCGCTCGGCTTTCGCAGTAAATGGTCGTGGGAGGCAGAATGACCCCAACATCTGTCCCTGAACTTGTAAATGTGTGACAGACACAGGGATTTTGCAGGTGTGACTGAGGTTACAGACCCTACAGCAGGGAGTGTGCTGGCTGGGGCGTGGGCTGATGGCGAGCAAGGAGGCGGGGCCTCTGGCCCACAGCCGTGGGGCAGTGAGTTCGGCCGACAGCCTGGACGGGCATCCAGCAGGGGATGCAGCCCTGCTGGCTCTTGGACGTTGGCCTTGTGGGACCCTAAGCAGAGGACTCAGCGGCGTTCACCTGGGTTCCTGAGTTGCAGAAACAGAGATGATAAATTTCTGTTTTTTAAAAAATCCTTAACCTGAGGACATGCTTATTTTTAGAGGGAGGGAAAGGGAGGGAGAGAGGAGGATAGAATCGTCAATGTGAGAGAGGAACATTGGTTGGTTGCCTTCCGTACGCACCGTGACTGGGAATCGAGCCTGCAACCTTTGGTTTATGGGATGGCACGCCAGCCAGCAGAGCCACACTGGCCAGGGCAGATTTCAGTCGTTTTCAACTGCTGACTCTGCGGTTCGGCACGCCTCGGAGGTATAGCGGGTTGTGTTCCAGACCACCACAGCGAAGCAAATACCGCAGTAAAGTGAGGCATGTGGATTTTTTTGGTCTCCCGGTGCCTGTAAAGGTGTTTGCACTCTACTGTAGTCTATTAAGTGTGCAGTAGCACTGTGTCTAAAACTGTGCGCACACCTTCACTAACAATGCCAACCGTCACCTGCGCCTGCGGGCAGGCGGCTTCCGCAGACACGCTCCGTGCCGGGTTGCCCCGCCTTCGGTTTCTACAGAGCACAGTGTTACCGGGAGGCCTCCTGCCGCGAGGGATGCCTGTAACGTGTTCTGGGGCAGCAGGAAGCCAGACTCCGGGCGAGCTCATGCAGGAGGGCGGCCCCAAGGTCGGTGCCTGCCGTGGCTGTGTCTTTTCAGGAGGAAGAGCTGTGAGTGGAGTTTTGATGGCGAGACCAGGGTTGACGGGGCGGGGGGGCGGGGGGGGGAAGGCCGGCTTCCCAAGCAGAGGCCGTCCCAGTGTGGGCCAGGCTTGCGAGGGACGGCCACTCACGCGGCGAGACCCAGGGCGTCGCGTGCCGGGGGCGCAGCTGGTGAGGGGGCCAGCAGGGCGGCTTCGTGGGGTTCGTGCGCAGTGGCCACAAGCAGTGAAAACAAGAGCAGCGGCTCCAGGCGGGGCCCCAAGCGGGTCAAGGAGGCTAGTCCTGGGAGGTGCACGTGCAGCGTCTGCGGCCCCTGTGGCCTCGATGTGAGCGTCTCCCTGAGGAGTGGCCTGCGTCCCTGGTGGCAGACAGGGCGCTGGGAGGGCATCGCCAAGGGCGGGGAGGAGTGGAGTGGTGTGTAAGTTGCGTGTTTGGTGCTGTCTGGACCCGACTGTCCTTGCTCCCGATGGCGCTGCGTGTACCTGTGCGCTGGCCATGGAGCGAGCTCCCTGCACGCGGCGGGGAACCTCGGTAGCTGGCTGAGCGGTTTTCCCCCAGTGCCGTCGGGCATGCGGGCTGCTGCCCTCAGCTGTGGCTGGAGCTCATGGCGCCCATGGCTCTGGCTGCGGCTCTTAGCGCGCCCTGGGGCGGGCTCCCGGCTCCAAGGCTCACGCTGCCTCCGGGCGCAGGAGGCTCTCACTTAGTTTTCTTTGGAGGGCTTTCAAATTGCCATCGTCTGGTGCTCGCTCTCACCCAGTTGTTAAAAAAAATTATGTATTGATTTGAGAGACATCGATTTGTTTTCCACTTAGTTATGCTTATCTGGGTTGCCCCTCCTACAGGCCCTGCCCGGGGACCGAGCCCGCAGCCTTGGCGTGTCAGGGCCAGGCTCCCACCAGCTGGGCTGCCTGGCTGGGGCCAGTTTTCTTTCTTCTTAATTCCACTCTCCCAGGCTGGCCCCATGCAGTGGGGCCTGCAGAGACCCCCCTGCCCTCCTCGGCGCGCCCTGCCGTGAGCTGCTTGCCTGCTGCTTTACGCCCAGTGACCCGGGCAGTCTGCCTGGCGGGCGAGGGAAGTCCCTGTTGGTAGCTGCGGAAGTCAAGGGTCAGGCAGGTTTAAACGCCCGGCTTGCACAGGCCTGTCAGGGCGTGGCGTGGGGCCGTTCCCGCAGGGCAGGTGGGCCCCCGCTGGCCTGTGCCCTGCCGACCGCGGGCCTTGCACAGACGCCAGCGTGTGTGCTTGTATTGCCCTCCAGGGGTTTGATTTTCTGTCCACTTTGAAGGGCATGTTTTCTTAAATTTTTAAAAAGGATTTCATTTATTTTTAGAGAGAAGGTAAGAGAAGGAGAGAGGGAGGGAGAGAAACATCAGTGTGTGGCTGCCTCTCACACACCCGCCACCAGGGGCCCGGCCGGCAGCCCAGGCACATGCCCTGACTGGGAATCAGACCAGCGACCCTTTGGTTCGCAGACCAGTGCTCAGTCCACTGAGCCACACCAGCCGGGACTGGTTTGTAGATTTTTCTAGAAACAACTATAGTTGTAAATTATACCAGTACTGTTACAGGAAACGTGGTTGGTAGGTTATCGCCAAAGCCACATGAGGTAGAAGCTCAGGAAGAGCACCAGCACTCCGTTTTCCGCCCCGTCTTCCAGTCTGAGTTAGGCTTGATGCCTGCGCTGTGGTGGCTTAGAGAGGTGCGGGCTCCTTCGCATCCTGACTCGCGGGGTGACAACAGTCCTTCCTTCAGCCACTGTGAGCTTTTCGATAAGAGTTACTTTAAAAGATGCCCCTGTGAGGCCGCGGAGGAGGACGGCTCGGCCATTCCTGCTGCCCCTGGCAGTTGGCGGTGCTGTGGGCTCCTCCTGGTGCCCCGCTTCCTGGAAGACCCCGGGTGGGCGCCAGGTCTGCTGGGTTTCATGGACAGCGCCCCTATTCTCGTGACAACAAGGGTTTTGGTTTCACCCTTGAGGCGATGCTGCCGAAGCCCTCGTTTGCTCTGTCCTTGTGCGGCACGAGGAGCAGCCGTGCCCTTTTGCCGCTGCCTCTCCCGCAGACGGTTTCCACCCCGGAACCTGGCGGAGCAGGCATCGCAGTGATGGCTGTGCCACAGAAACGGGAGGAGGAGGGCACGGGACTGAGCGGCGTCTTCGTTCCAGCTGCGCCTCGGGCTCTTCCTTTCCCTGTTCTTGTTGAACCCTGGTCAGCTTGACGCCATTTATGGCACAGCCAGGAGTGAGGACCGGGTGCTGCCTGTTCACCTGGTGTGCAGGGAGACCCAGGGCGGGAGGGGTTTTCTGGGAAGGTGTATTTTGTTCCAATCTTGAGGATTTTCCTTTTAGGTGAACCTCCCCCAGTCTCCAAATATAAAGTTATAGACATGAGGTTTTCTGGAATTACCTTTAAGAGTGGTAAAGCTCTAAGCCCTGGTTGGTGGGGCTCAGTGGACTGAGTGCCGGCCTGCAAACCAAGGGTTCGCTGGTTCAATTCCCAGTCAGGGCACAGGCCTGGGTTGCGGGCCAGGTCCCTGGTTGGGGGTGTGTGAGAGGCGGCCACACGTTGACGTTTCTCTCCTGCTCTTTCTCCTCTCTTCCCCTCTCTCTAAAAATAAATGAATAACATCTTTAAAAAAAACTTTAAAAACATGGTAAAGCTTTAGCACTTTATCATACAAATAAATATGGCCAATGAATAGTTTCTTACTTTAATGAGATTATGAAATGTAAATTTAGGTGTTAAATATTTTGTTGCTTTAAACGATCATAATATTGTTTTAAAGTGCACATCAGCATTGCTTTCTTTGAGAGCAGCAGCTACTAATGTTAAGCCAGGCTCTCCTTTTTTTACCGACATAACATAGAGCTATGTTTTCATACTTTCCCTTAGTTTAGTTGAGATTAAAAGTGGATGTGAGTGTCAGGGCGAAGCTTTGTCTTCACCCGGGTCCTGCCTGTCGCTGTTCCCCCCCCGCCCCCCATGGGGATGCTCTGGGGACACTGAGCGTCAGAGAACGGGACTCTCACATTGTGTTCTCTACACAGTTTCCTTTTAGAATCAAAGTCACGGTAAATGTCCAAGTTTCACATTGAATTTGTCAAATTCCACACTAAGTAAATGCTTTAGTTCCTGTGAGATCCTTTGAGGTATAAGAAAATACTTAAAAATATTTTTTCAAAGTATTTAGGAAACAGTTTTTAAGAAACATTGCATTTTTAGAGAGGTTCAGAAAGAAACCCCATTTAAGAGAGGACATGTCCACAGGGATTTTTACCTTCTGACCGTGCTGCGAAGAGATTAGCACCGCCGCGCCGCCTTTCCTCTCCCTTGACGCGGAGACGGCTCAGGGCGCCGGGCGGTGCTGCGGCAGGTCCCACGTGCTGGGCGCAGACGCCGGGGGCCTGTTCTCCGTCTTTCGGTCCACGTAGCTGGAAATGGTGGGAATCTCGTCCTTGTCCGAGCTCCGGGCGTGGTCCCCGGGGCACGCGGGGTGAGCGGGGCCCCCCGCGGCCAGGCCCCCTGGCTGCCCGCCGTTCTCAGGGCTGCCCAGGGCATCTTCGAGAACCTGCTTGAAGATGTAGACGATTTCCCAGGGCAGCACATCATTTTCTGCCAGAACTTCTCGAAATCTAGGGGGAAAGCAGTAAGGAGTGTGCATTACAAAAGATTTCTTTGGCCGTTTCCCTTTATCTCCAACATGCAGCCAGTGCGATGGGATGGTATGGCCGTTCCCAGCCTTCTGCGTGACCTGCACTTTGCTTTACCCTTCTGCACTGAATGTGATTTGAAAACATGTCCTCGCCAGCAAGACATCCACAGATGTTCTGTCCGGCCTCCCCGTAGGTGTGTTGGTTGCTGGGAATTTGATACGTACGATCAGAGACCATACGAGAGCCCTGGCTGGTGGGGCTCCGTGGGCTGAGTTCCGGCTTGTGAACTGGAAGGCTGCCCGTTCAGCTCCCTGTCAGGCACATGCTGGGTTGGGGGACCTGGTTGGGGGACCTGAGAGAGGCAACCTGTTTCTCTCTCACACTGACGTTTCTCTCCCTCTCTCTCCCCCTCCCCTCCCTCTAAAAGTAAACAAAGTCTTTTTTTAAAAAATAAAAAATAAGAGTTTCTGTGGCAGTCTGGTGTCTAGTGTGAACACAGCGCTTGGACTGGCCGGTGCCCCCGCCCCGGAGAAGGCCGGCCCCTACCTGCTGAGCACGGCCCCCGCCTGGCAGGGCCGCAGCTGCGCGCACAGAGCTTCAAGCTGCCCTTGCGCGGTGGCGGGGATGGCTGTGCGGGGGATCTGGCGGTCTCGCAGCCTGCTGTCATCCACACCTGTTTCTTTCCCGTTTTGCTCATCTGCGATCTCTTGTACGCGTCTCTCTCTCTCCTTTAGATGCCATTGTAATTCCCGAAGCAGCATCTTTGTCGCTGCCTCTGAGCCAGGGCGGCGGTTGGGTCTGTAGGAATTGTATTTGGGCCATTTTGTCCAGCCAAAAAGTGGCATTTTTAGCCTGTGGAAATAGTCTTACTTGTTTATTTGCATAAAATGTTATGGTTCTGATGAGCAGATATTTGTTTCTTCGTAATAAATTTGCCAAAAAAAGTGTGTTTTTCACTAGTTAGATATACAGGTCAAAGTCAGATTAGAACATGGATGAAAGTCTTTTAAAATTTCTAAGTAGGTCAGTGCCAAAAACCGCCTTTGAAAACACGTTTATGTAGCTAAGCAGAAATATACAAAGTTAGAGATAATGTGCAGATTGAACATTTTCTGAAAGTAACACTTGCTATGAAAAGTAAGACTTGCTATTGAAAGTTCTTGCTACTAAAAAACATTTAACATACTAACATAAAGTGCAGCCTAGAGACATGGCTTCCCTTCGGTTTTGCACGGAAAAGGATGAAAGCGCACCTGTTAGGTCGGGGGTCCGATGTGGTGGTGTTGCCAGATCACCTGCGTCGGTGCCGGGGCCTGTGGACTTGGGCAGGTCTGCTGCGCCCGGCTGCGTGCCTCCTGTTGATGAGCAGCCTCCTCATTTATCCCTCATTTACACCCGAAACCGTGTTTGAAATACACACCCTCTGGGGGAGGAGCGAGGCTGCGATGTCCTCGGCAGGGGGAAGGCTCCTGGCTCACCTGCGGGCAGGCTGGGAGAGCCCGCAGCAGGACCCGTCGCCGAGGCCTCACAGGCGCCCTGGGCCTCTGGAGGTGGCGCGGCCACCTGACGAGGCAATGGCGGCTGTGGGTGCGGGGCCCCATGCGCCAGTGTTTGGGGGGGGCGAAGTGAACGGCGCCCCGTGGCTGTGCTCCGGCGACGGGTGGGCGGTCACCTGCCGCGCTGCCTGCTGCGCGTGCTGTGGGTCTCTGGCCAGAGCCGTGTTTTTGTGCTCTGGACTCTAAAAATAACCCTGCTGCTTTGATTCTTCAGCTTAACCTCCCCGCCTCTTGGAGGCCAGGTCACTGTCCTCTCCAATGAGAGCAGGGAAAAGAGACGCGGCCTGACTGTTGGCGAAACACAGGTCCTGCGGAGGCGCCTTCTTGCCGCAGTGGCCAGGCAGCGGCGCTGACGTCGGCGTGTGTTGGCTGGCGGGTAAGCGGACACCTGTGCTCGTGTTCCGCTCCGGGCAGCAGCGGCTTGTGCGTGTGGGCCAGTCCTGGGGCTCGGTAACGTCAAGTGCTCCCTGTCGTCTCTTTGGAAATGTGGTGTTCGGGTAGCAACAGACGAAGGCAGGAGGGCCTGGACCTGGAGCACAGAATTGAGTGCAGAAGGTCGCCTCTGTGTCAGGCAGCCGCTGGGTCCTGGGCGGCCTGGGCTGCTGCTCAGGCTTGCGGAGGGCTGATGGGCCTTTCACGCCCCCGGTCTGGGTTACTCGACTGCACAGTGGCTTTTCCACCTGTGACATTTCAGACTTTCTCTCCTGCCTTTGCCTCCCAGCGAACCGTGAAGCACAGGCATGGTTCCCCGTCAGACTCGCGTGTCGTGCGTGACGGACAGTAACGTGCGTGGCCGCTCGCAGGGCAGAGCATGCCAGGCGTTGGGCTTCACTGCTGCCAGCGGCGGGGCGGGGGGGGGCGCGTTCCCGTCACCGGGCGTGTGGTGCTCTGAACGCTTATCCTGACGGAGCTGTCCTGTCGCATTTGCCGCTGCAGAACGACGAACCGGGCCCCTTCCTCCTCTGCATGGTCTCCTTGGATTGCTGCTGTTTTTACGTTTGCCTCGGAAGGTGGCGTCTGGGGACGTGCTGGATGTGGAGCAAACACGGGATATCTGTGCTCCGCCCAGAGCACGTCTTTGTCCCGGCCAGGCCTGACCGCCTGGCCCGCGCCTTGCCCTCTGTCCCTTCTTCAGCCTGCCCTGGCGGTGTCTCCTGAGACACTTGCTCTGTCTTTCCCGTGGACCTGCGCTCCAGCCCTCTCTTCCCGGGCCCAGGTCCCTGTCTTCTCCTGTCTGTGTGAAAACATCTCCGTGCCGTCCTTGGCTGTCCCCTTGGCCTCCGGCGCGTGTCTCTGCTGTCACACTCAGAGGGCCATGGGGCTGCGATTCTGTTCTCCCCTCGCCCTGTCTCCTGGTCCTTTCTGATGAGCTGTCCACTGCAGGGGTCGGCTCCTCGGTGCCCGGCCGGCGTCCTTGCTGTACCATGGCCTGGACGCTGGCGCGGGTGGGGGTGCAGCAGCGAGCAGCACAGACCCACCTGCTCGTGGGCAGACCAGCGCCCGCGCAGGGTGACCTGGCAAGGACAGCAGCGTCCGTGGGGGTTGCCCATTGATGGGCCACTGCCACCCGGCCGGCTTCCAGCTGCCTCCCCGCTCCACCCGACGTGCTCACGCCTCTCGCCACAGAGACTTTGAGTCCGGCTCCTCGGAGCGGCTCCCCCCGCCTCGGCCCACGTGCGGGCGCCTCCCTTTGACCTTCCTAGGACCAGTCAGCTTTCCGGTGCTGAGGGCGTGCTCCGTGTGTGATCGCCCGTTTTATGACTTGTCCTGTCTCCTGAGAGCGCCAGGCTGACACAGGGCCCACGTGTCATTCTCTGATTGCGGTGGCTCCCCCCACCCCCGCCCCTCACCCACCCCGGGCACTTGTGGGTGAGGAGGGGACGCGCTTTCGCAGTAACCCTTCCCGTGTATCTGCATACCCAGGATAACCCTCGATTTCCATCAGATGCTGGTAAGTTGAAGGAGTGCATTGTGCCTAACGAACTGCAACCTCATCAGGGTATTTGACGTGGCAGACATACAGCTCAGGCTGTGAAACCAGCAGGTCAGCTTCCTTCAGGTTCTTGTCATGGTTTTAGGCTCCATCTTGTTAGCTGAATAGTGCACAGTTTTACGACTCGACGTGAAACAGGACCGTGGCATTCATCCTGTGCGAGTGTGCGCGCGTATACACTTGTGGGCTGTGTAAGGAAGTGCGCAAGGAGAGGAACGTGGCGGGGCCGGTGGGGCAGGCGCCGCGTGGCCGGCTCTCCGCCGGCGCCTCTGGCCTGTGCGGGCAGGGGCGCTGAGGGCCCTCGGAGGGGCCTCGCTGCACGGAGACGGGCGTCCTTCTGTTTTTCCCTCGGCTGCTGAGTGGGAGATCCTGGATTATTGGTTCTTTCCGGGCTATTAAGGACGCAGTTGATGTCTGAGGAGAAACTCTGACGTTGGGTGTCTTCCCATCGTTGTGCCCTCTTTAAACCGCTCTGACCGCAGCGCACCAACACGCGCGCTCGTGGAGCCAGGGCCCCCGCCGGGCCCGCGGGCCCTTCTGTGCGCTTCCCGTGACCTTTCGTCTTCTTGGTGGTAGTGAGTTTTCAATTATACTTTAAGTTTACGGATCCTTTCTTTTGGCGTTTCCTTTTTGCGTTCTTGTGTAAGAAGGCCTTCTCTGCTCTTACAGTTTTAACCTCCAGAACAACAGTAGCTTCCTAGGCTTAAACATGTAAGCGCCTTGGTGTTGGCTTGGCGTTGACCCGAGGCTGGTGTGGGATTGGTGTGAGGGGTGGCGGTCAGGCTCTTGTCCCCAGGTCAGGTGGCCAGTAGGCAAAGTATGTGGGCGTTGCTCCAGCTGGGAGGCTGCCTGGGGCGTCCTGGGCCCTGGGACCGTGGGAGCGCGGCGCTGGCCGACCCGGCTGGGGTGCCGCTGGCCAGCCTCGGTCAGGCTCAGGCCCCGCCAGCCTCTGGGCTGTGGTGTCAGCTCCCCGGGCCGTCCTGCGCTGTGGGGTTCCACGGAGCCACCCGAAGCTCTGCTCTCCACGGCGGATCCCGGCCGGCCCGGCCCTGAAACAGCCGCTCGGTCCGCGGGTGCCGCCCCTGGGCTTTCCCGTCCGGGCCTGTGGCCTTGCTCTGCCTTGTGCTCTGCGCCTGCTTCTGCCCACCTGCCTCCGGGCACTGCAGCGGGAGGATGGGGACCAGACTGAGGGGGGCTGGTCCCGCCTCTCAGTGCCTGCTGCCCCTGGAGCAGGGAGGAGGCAGGGAAAACCCCCAAATGGGGGACTGCCCCGTTTTGAGCATTGGGAACCCCTTCCCTGCCCTCGAGGCACAGCGCCTGGGCTGTGGGGGGTGCAGGCCGGGGCGTGCGGAGGCCAGGGGCGGCGACCTCGCTGCTGGCGGCTGGTGCCTGCCCCCTGGTCCGTCCCCCAGCCAGCCTGTGTTGGGCACCTGCAGAGCCCTCAGAGAGCCGTGGGGGCTGTCCGGGGCTGCAGCCTCATCCTGTGGGCAGGCGCTCAGGTATGTGTCCTTACCTGCGCTCACGGGCTGGCCCCTGGCAGCCAGCCTTGACCCCTCTCTGCTTTTTGTTCCCAGGTCTGACGCGCCCACACGGTCTGTGGGTGCCAGCTCCCCGCTGCCATGCTCCTCTGAGCCACGCGGACCCCCGTCAGCAATGACACCCCATAGGTGGTCTCCCTGTGTCCGCTGCCGGTGCCCCATCACCCCGCTCACCAGGCAGAGCCGTCTGTTAAACTAGGAGCCACACCGCCTGACCTCTCTCTCTCTCTCTGCCCGAGCCATCTCGTTGTGAGCAAAGGCACCGGGTCTGTCACCGGTCCCTGCCCGGTCCTTGTTCCCCGGCTCCTCCTGGCGCCCCTTGCCCTCCTGTGCCCTTCAGACTCCCGCAGCCGGCACCTGAGGGGGCCTGTGCTTTCCTGTGTCCCATCGCAGACCCCCACGGCCCTTCTCCCCTGTCCCCTTGACCTTCACCTAATCCTGCCGATGCTGCCTCTCTCCTCCCTCCCCTGCCCTGCTGCTGCCTGACATGCCACTTTCCTTCCTTCCCCCTTCCCCTGGCCTGCAGGGCGGTGCTGGGCCTGTGGCCCCCGCTGAGCATGTGCTGGGTGAACCAGTGAGCAGCGTCAGGGAAACCATCACCCAGAGAGCGTGGCGGGGCCGGTAGCCTCGGACAGGGCAGCTCCAACGCAACGGCGTGTCAGTAAAGCAAGGCTCTCGGTGCAAGGGTTGGCCTCGTGGCCTCCTTTCTGACAGCCTTGCGATCAAGTTAGACGGCGCTGTCCAAACCCTGATTAGTTGTAAAGGCCCACAGTTTGCACGTCACCGCGTGGTCGTTGTTCCTCACTGAGCAGCTTGGGAGGTTTTGTCTGTCGGTGTGAGGGCGGCCCCGGAGGGATTTAAACCCGGGAGGGATTGAGCACGGGTGGGCACTGCGCAGCTCACCCCTCGGTGAGACTTCAGGGTTTACCGGTCACAGGCACGGTGAAGGGGGCCCTCCGCCTCACCGCCGGGCCCTGCAGGTCTGTTGTGTCCCCTTCTGGGGATGGCAGGGTCGTGGGGCTGGACTGGGGCAGCTGCAGTGCCTCCCTGGCCTCTGCGGCCGGGGGCGGAGACGCATGCCCACTGGCAAAGGCTGCAGCCGCCTGCCCCCTGTGCGCCACCCCTCCCCCGCACTGGCAGGCGCTGCCGCAAGGCAGACACGAGACAGGACGTTTCAGAGGACGTGCCAGATCCCTTTACTGCCCTTCCCTGTGAGCTGAGAATTGTCTTCTTCCAATTTGAAGGATGAAAAAATGGTTTCTCATCATTTTATTTTGCATCCACTTGGTAAATGACTGTAAATGTGAATTTCTGTTTATTGGCCATTTGCATTTGTTCTATGATTTAATGTAAAAGTAAGCAAGAATGCCTGCAGCACAGTGATTTTCAACCATTTTCATCTCATGGCACATATAAGCTAATTATTAAAATTCTCTGGCACTTCAAAACAATTATATTTTGCTGATCTGACAGAAAATAGGTATAATTTTGATTCATTTCACACTGGACAGTTTTTGTGTTGGCTGTTATCATTTTTTAAATTTGACAGCCCAAGGGAAAAAAAGGTCAGTGCCCCGGACTGGATAGTCAGGTGTTGCGCGTCTTGCAGCACGTCAGCTGAGCATCACTGCTCAGCCCTGGCCAGGCTGCCCAGTCGGTTAGAGCGTCGTCCCTGCACTCCACGGTGTAGGGCTCGATCCCCGGTCGGGGCACCTGCAGCAGCCAGCCAGTGAAGGCGTAATAGAAGAGTGGAACAACAGACCGACGTTTCACTCTCTCTCCCTCCCTCTTCCTCTCTTCTCTAAAATCAATCGATGAAGAATTTTTAAAAGTCACTGCTGTAGCACATGGGGATGCCTTGGCTTTTTTGAAACAGTATGCTAACTTCTGGTATTCTTTGCAGGCCACCCAGCCAGAAGACTGCGGAACTGGAGCACATAAACAAGCACAGGCAGCTCGAAGCCCAGGAGTGTGGCGAGCGTGGCGAGCGTGGCGAGCGTGGCGAGCACCTCTCCAGCGTCCGGCCAGGTAGCAGCGCTGTCCGTGTCGCGGAAAGGGGTGTGAGCTGTTCATGCGTTAGGACGCTGCGTTCTTTTCTTCCAGCTTGAATTTATTGGAGCGACGTTGGTTAATACAATTATATAGGCTTCAGGTGTCTAATTCTATATGCCATCTATATACTGTGTTCTGTGTTCACCTCCCCAAGTCAGGTCTCCTGAAACATTAAATTCTTAAAGGTCTAACAAATGTAGTATTTGGTTAATAAAGAACTCATACTGTTTGTTAATTTGGGGTTTGGGGGGCTAAATTGATTACTTTTTTTCTCTTTGAAATATAGTTCCTAAATATTCTGTACTTTGGAAGACTACTAGTGGTCCTATTAATTAGGAATTTATTTAAAAATTATTACAGTTTAAAATAAAATTTCATGCAGTACATAAATATAAAAAAGGTAAAAGGTCTTTTTTCACCCTCCTCCCCAAGGGTATAGTTGTTCAGAGTTTGGATGGAACTACTTCCTATGAGTATGCAGTTTCTTTATCTGAGTTAATTCTTTTTCTTTTTAAAGATTTTAATCGTTTTTAGAGGGGGGAAGGGAGGGAGAAAGAGAGCGAAACATCCGTGTGTGGTTGCCTCTCGTGTGACCCCAGCTGGGGACCTGGCCTGCCACCCAGGCCTGTGCCCTGACTGGGAATGGAACTGGCAGCCCTCCTGTTTATAGGCCAGCGCTCAGCCCACTGAGCCACAGCAGCCAGGGCTGGGCGAATTACCTTATTTGCATCAGGCCCTACTCGTGTGCTAGAAGTCAGCTTTCGATTTGTTTGCTCCATAAAGGGCTGTGCACTCAGACTTCCTGCCACTCCAGCCACGAGGTACTTCGGTGCTTTGCTCAGTGCGTCACGCCCCGACCGAGGGGCAGCATTCGGGGTGCAGTAGTAGCTCCCGCCTCTTCCTCAGCCCCCCTGGGCCGTGACACACAACCCGTGGATAACCGCATGTGCCCTTGTCCTCCCCGGGGCTGATGTGGGCTTCTCGGCAGCATGGGGCGTTGGTGCCTCTCATCGGTCTGGACAGCTCTGAGCCGGTTATCTGTGCCGCACGCTGTCGCTTGGCTTTGTGTGTTTTCTTTTTTGTTTTTGTCACTGTATTCAGGCCAGTCTGTCGTTGTTGGTCGCCCCCCTTTGCCTTCCCCCTGCGTTGTTGCCTGCTTCAGGCTTCGGCCTGGCGTCTCCTCACTGTCCCCTCAGCCCTCTGGTCTTGGCAGGTGGCGTCTGGGTAGTTTATCTGGAGTCTCCAGTGGCCTCAAGGAGGAACGTGCGTCAGAGCCACCTGGCACGTCATTCCCAGACATGGTGGTTCAAGGGTGCGCCCGCTGTGACCAGAGTTTACTCGGGGCCTCTCTGGGGGTGGGCTGTGGGAGTCCCTTAGCTGTCTCAGGGCCGGGGGGCCAGCCTGGAGGGCGGGGGCCCGCAGCTTCAGCAGCACGGAGCAGCCACGCATGTGGTTGTGGAAAGGCATCGTCGTCTAGCGTGTCCGTCTGGGGAAGTGTGTTGGGTATACCCGTGTCCTCTGGCCCCGGGCGCCTGCCTGGCCATAGCCCTGTGGCCCGGGGCATGCCAGGCGGTGCCTGTGGAGTTGTTGCCCTGGATGAAGCCAGGCTGCAGACGAACACCGGTGACTACAAGGGTCCGCTCTCTTGGGGCTTGATCTGGAGTCATGCAAAATTGTCGTTTGCCTCCTCGGTCCCTGGTGTCCTGGTGCACGTGGGCTTTCCACTGGGCGGTGCTGTAGACCCCTAGCCGCGGCCGCTCTCAGAGGGTTCGCGCCACCCCAGCCTGAGCGAGGCGCATCGGGGCGGGCGAGGCAACGGGGCGTGCTCAGTGAGGCCCGGCCCCTTGCGCCGCCGCCGCTGCTGCCGCCCTCGCCACAGGTCATAGGCATGCACGTCTGGAGACAAGCCTGAGAGGCAGCCCTGAGAGGTCCAGTCTGTGGGTGATTGCGCTTATTTTCTACAATGCACAGTGTCTGCATTTTCAGAGAAGAAATGCTAGTACGTTGTGCGGTGAAAAGTCATCCTATCCTGTTTGGAACCCGAGCCGCTGAACTTTTTGGTTAGACCACATGGTGGGGTGGCTTCGTGAGCAGAAGCCAGCATGTTCTGTGGTCTCCAGGTTTTTCCAGGCCACGTAAAACATTTTGGTGTTGATGACTGAGGGCGAAGAGGCAACGGGCCACCGACTCGCACGTTCTGAGGTTGCGCACGTGACAGGAGGAACTCCGGAGAGGACGGTGGGCTGGAGAGGCAGGCCAGGCGCCGTCGTGTGCTTCACCAGGGCGGCGTGGCCTTTCCCGGGGCCTGCACGTGCTAGGTTGGGAGCGGGGGCTACTGCTGCCAGTTAACCGAAGCAGCAGGGTGTGAACGGGGACGCTGAGCGGAGCGGAGCTCTCCGCTCCAGCGTCCCTCAGCGCTGCTCTCTAAGCCCACCCTCCGAGTACCACTTCCAGGCGGTGGGTGCTGTGCTTCCCGTGTCTTGCCTTCGATGGTGGTGCTGGGCCAGCGGCGTCTGTGGGTGCGACGGAGGGATGGGGGCGCGCCCACTGACCGGAACGCTGGACGGTGGGACCAGGGAACCTGCTGCATGACCCCGCCTTCAGGCTCGGCCTGCAGGACGTGCGTCTGGGTGTTTGTGCGCGCCAGTGTAAACGTGGCGTGCATATAGATTGGAAAGACCGTGGGGGTGCTTGCCTCGCCTCTTTTCCAGATAAGAAATAGCCTTGTGTTTGTTCTGTCTGAATCCAGGTCCAAGGCCAACTTCAGCTAAACTAAGCAACATCACGTGCATTCCAGAGATAACCTACCAGTACCCTGACTTGCCTATAAATCGGTGTAAGGAAGAGGTAAGAGCCTTCCTGTCCCAGTGTCACTTCGCTGTTTGGATAGATGCCGAGCCCCGGTGCTTGTGGTTCAGAGCCTGAGGAGGCTGGGAGCCAGGCGGGCGCCCTGGCGTCTTCGAGGCTGTGGCTGCGGGGGAGCGGTGCCGGGGCGGGGCGGGCCGGCGGGGGCAGCCGGTGCGGTCCCCATGCAGGGGCTTCCCGCGGCCGCGGCTGCGCCCAGCTCGGTCGGCCTGTGCCGGGTGTGAGCCTGCCCTCTGACCAGCGCTGAGCAAACCCCGCCCCCCTTGTCTTACTGAGACCTCGCCGCCCTGCCTTTCTACCACGCAGACAGGGCGCCCAGTCCCCGCCAGCACCCTGGCGGGTTTCCTCCCACGGCGGCCCTGCGTGCACTCCCGCCGAGCGGTCGGCGTGGCCTGCCACGGGCGCGTCGCCTTTGAGCCGGGCCAGGCCGGACATCGCAGTGTTTACGTGCGTTCAGTTACTTCTTACCTCAGTTACGGGTCATCACACGTGGTGGAAAGTCACCCGGTGGAACCTGTATTCGCTGTACTAGTGGAAGAGGCAGTTAAGATAAAACAGAATACTCCAAATTTAATGTTTCTTTTGCTCTAGCTGGACTCGCGCGGCCCTGGTAGAGCAGATACACTTCACTAGTGTCAGCAGCTGGCGCTCACTCCGCGGGGCGTCCCCCTGGCCACCCCGGCTGGTGCTAGGCGCCTGCGCGGGTCCAGGCTGGCGGCAGGGCGCCGGCGGGCCGCGCGGGGACGGCGGGAGGCGGATGTCCGGACGTGCGTTGGGACAGTTACCAGCGGGATGCTGCAACCTCTGCGGTGCAGTGACAGCTGTGTCTTCCTGTTTTTCTTACTGAAATTCCATATTTCTCAGTAGAATTGTTTAAAAACTTTAAGATAATGGAAACTTAGACGTAGCAAGGGGTGAAGAAACCCTGGTTCGGTATTTTTATTTTTCTGTGGAGAAGCTGAGACGCGGAGAGCGGAAGCCGGCCGGTTTCCCGTAGCGCGACCGCTGCTGATCACGGCGGTCGCACCGCTTTCACTGTAGCAAACGTGGAACCTTTTTGCTCCCTTTTGTGGTGTTTAGGTGGTTATTAACTTTCAAAGATGAAAGGAAAATAAGTCCTGAAAGCCTTCTCCCGATAAAGCTTTTGGTTCATAGGTAATACTTTGTATCACTCCTCATTTTGCGGCAAGTTTGAAAGGTTCTTCTTTCAACCCTAGGTCATCTCTCTGATAGAAAGCAATTCCGTCGTCATCATTCACGGCGCCACGGGCAGCGGGAAGAGCACTCAGCTGCCGCAGTACGTCCTGGACCACTGCCTGCAGCGCTCTGCCTGCTGCCACATCGCGGTCACCCAGCCGCGCAAGATCGGGGCCAGCAGCGTGGCCCGGTGGGTCAGCAGAGAGCGCGCCTGGGCTCTGGGCGGCCTGGTGGGCTACCAGGTGCGTGGGGCCCGGGACGGACGCGCTCCTGTCCGCGCCCGATCCCGCGTGGACCCGCGTGGGGTCGCCTGGGTTCCTGCCAGGAGGGGTTCTGCTTACGGAGCGGAACTGTGGCAATCTTTATTTTCATTTTCACCTGAGGACATTTTTTCATTGCTTTTTAGCGAGAGGGGAAGGGAAAGGGAGACATGGATTCGATAGAGAAGGATCAATTCGTTGCTTCCAGTACACGCCCAGACCACAGATTGCATGTGCCCCAGTTGGGGACCAGACCTGCAACCTAGGCGTGCATCCCGACCAGGACGCGAGCCTGCCGCCTTTCGGTGACAGAACGACGTTCTAACCAGCGCAGTCACACTGGCCAGGGCAGAACTGTGGCATAATTTAAAAAATGATGGAACTCTGAATTTCTTGCCCAGGCTGGCGCGGCCCAGTGGGTTCAGTGTCGACCTGCAAACTGGAAGGTCACCAGTTTGTTTCCCGGTCAGGGCAGGTGGCTGGGTTGCAGGCCAGTCCCCAGTAGGGGGTGTCAGGGGCAACCAGTTGATGTGTCTCTCCCACTCTGATGTTTCCTTCTCTTTTCCCCCTCCCTTCCTCCCTCTCTAAATGTAAATAAATAAGATCTCAAGATAAAGTAAAATAAATTCCTTCCCAGGTGAATAGGAAGGAAGGGAGAATTCTCAGATTCGTGGCTTTTATAATTTAAACCTTTTAATTGTAATTTTGTATGTAGGTATCTCCACACATAGTTGTCTTGCTGTAAAAATGATACAGGCAGTAAGACTAGATGAGCCAAACCCCCTCCTGCCCAAACCGAACTTCAGCTTTGGTTTAAACCCTGCATTTTTTGTGACCTACAGATGTACTTGACTCTCTTTCTTTCCCTCATGATAAAGTGGACACAGCCTTGTGGGGAGCTACGCGCAGCCATTGGAACCCAAAACACTCTCCTTTCCCTGTCCCCCCACCCCCCGGTAGGTGGGCCTGGAGAAAATAGCCACAGAGGACACCCGGTTAATCTACATGACCACTGGGGTCCTGCTTCAGAAAGTCGTCAGCGCCAAGAGTCTGACGGAGTTCACCCATATCTTCATCGACGAGGTGGGTGCCCCTGGTCCTCGCGGTGCCCGCCTCGCGACCTCGGTCGCAGGAGGAGACAGCGAGGGGCCCGGGGAGCGGGCCTGTGCCCCCGGGTCTGTGCAGGGTGGGGGCTCGGGTCAGGAGCGGGGCCGGAGGAGCCGGCTGTGCCAGGTCCGAACCCCGAGTGCGGAGGCTGCGGTGCTTGGGCGCCGAGGAGAGGCCACCGCGGGACCCCCGGCGATGGATGGGCATCGTCTCCCCCGCAAGTGCGGTGCCGCACGTCAGCGTTGGGCGTGTCCCAGATGGAGGGACTGCGACCTCACGGCGGCGCGCTGTCAGCATCTCCTGCCCGCCACACGGGCCTGCCGCGCCCCTCAGCCGCCGCGGTTCCTGCTGTCCTCCGGTCCCCTCCCCCGCACGTCCGCTTCCCGGGGCTGGGGTGGGGCGGGGTCCGTGTGATGGCGCTGGACTCGGTGGCCAGGCCTGTCACTCTGAGGAGGGGAGGCCTCCTGTGTCACGCACGGCAGCTCCTCTCTCCACTTTGGCAGAAAAGTGCCCCACAGTAGAATTGCTGTCCCCCTGTGTGCGCAGGTGTCCTAAGTGACGGGAACGTAGGCTCACGTCCTGGCCCTTCCCTGTCAGGTGGCTCTGGGGCGCGGGCCAGGTGGCCAGAGCGTCTGAGTGACCCTAGGTCCTGGGGTTGGCACAAGGCCCCTGTGTGAGGAGGCCACAGGCAGCCGCCGTCCCCAGGGCTGTGCAGCTCTCCTGATGGGCCGCCGCCTCCGGGGCCGCCCCTCGCCCGGACCTGCCGCCCTGAGGCCTGGCTGCGTCCTGTCGGGCGGGGCCCTGCTGCCCTGGCGCCGCTCCCGCCCGGCGCTCGCCCGCGCGGCGCAGCGGCAGGGCTGCCCGTGTCCCGCAGAGGCGCGGTGCGGGCCGGCGGTTCTCCGTGCGGGGCGGCGGGGCCCCTCCGCCGTGTCCGGGCCCCCTGGCTCGGAGGCCCCCGGCCTCTGCTTCCTCTCAGCCAGGACGGACTCCAGGAGGAGCCCAGTCCCTGAGGAGGCCACTGAGCAGCGAGAGATGACCTGCCCCCGACCCCCTGCCCGCTCGCCCGCGACGGCGCGTGTGCTGCCCGGCGCCACGTGGGTGCCCCTTCTTCCTTCGTAGGTGCATGAGCGCACGGAAGAAATGGATTTCCTGCTGCTGGTGGTCCGCAAACTTTTAAGAACGAACTCACGCTTTGTGAAGGTAAATTTGATTCCATAACGACAGAAATATTCAGGGCTAGGATTTATCACTCAGTTTGTCTCTCTCCGTTTTAACGCTGGCAGTCCCTCTACGGGCTCACGGCCGGGTGCGGAGCCCCACGCCCGGCCAGCAGGGCGGCTCTTCGGGCCAGCGTGTGGGCACCTTTCGGTTATTTCGTTGCACGAAATTGCAAACCTTTCTCCAGCCTGTGGAAGCAAGATCAGTAACGGCGGCTCTAACGGGAGGCTGGGAGTTGGAGCGCTGCTTTCAGTTGGGCATGAGCGCGCCTGCGGCCTGGGCTGTGAAAACGGCACCGAAGCGCGTGGGCGTCCGAGAGCCGTTAGACGCGCTGTGAGCATAGAGGCTTACGTGGCCTGAACGGGCCGCTCCCACGGATGGGAAGCGCCGCTCACATCCCATGCAGACAGAAGCGGGGTGCGAGCCGGGCCAGAGCAGCGGAGGCTTCGCCCCGTGGTCCAGGCACGGGTGGCCCCGCTGCGCCCCCCAGAGGCCTTTTGGAAGCCGTGTGGGACGCAGAGGGGCAGGGGCTGGGCTCCTCTGCTGCCCGTGAAGGGACTGTGCAAGGACCCGCTGCCCCGGGAAAGCGAGGGCGGTCTGCCGGGGCCCGCCGCCCTGCCGGGGCCCGCCGCTGGTGTCGCTTCGTTTAGGGAAGTGTGTCTTCTCTCCCCCTCCCAGGGTGGGGCCCGTCAACGCTGGGCGTCCAGCTGGTGGGGCTGATGACCGGGGCCGCCCTTTGCAAGGCTCTCATCCCTCTCGCTAGAGGGGACTGTGGTGGGGAGGGGGGCGTCTGAACCGCTACTGCGTCCCTTTCAGGGTTTATCATCTTTTTTTAAGGTTTTTTTTTTTTTGATTTTTAGAAAAGGGACAAGAGGGAGAGAAGGGAGAGAAACATCTACGTGTGGTTGCCTCTCATGTGCCCCCCACTGGGGACCTGGCCCACAGGCCAGGCCTGTGCCCTGACTGGGAATTGAACCGGCGACCCTTTGGTGCCTAGGCCAGCGCTCCGTCCACTGAGCCCCACCAGCCAGGGCCCCTTTCAGCGTTTTAACTCAGAGATGACATTACAGACTGTCCAACGAGTTGGGAGCATTTCTTCCTTGTTGTTTTTAAGACCTTTTTTGCTTAAAGATAATGACTGGACTTGATTATTATTTTTTTTCTAAGATAATGACTTAGTTGTTTTTTTTGTTTGTTTTCGTTGTTTTAGTCATGGATTTTTTAAAAAGTCACCATGCTGCTGGATGGTGGCCAGGAGTCCGATACCTGCTGTATAGGTAGTAGGAAATGCTTCTCAATTTTAACGTTTTCGTAGTTTATTTGAAAATATATGGAGCAGTGTATTTTCTAAGTGCAGAACCTCTGGAGGGTGCAGGGGGCTGGGTCAGGAAATTAGGAGTCACGTTTAGATGGTTTTGTAAATTTTTTGAAACTTTCAAAAACTCATTTTTAAAATATTACTTTTTAAAAAGAGAGCTGCTGCTGGAGACCCAGGTGCAGGGATGCGGGCAGGTGGCTCGGGAGGCCCCGCCCCGCCGCCCCTGACCCTGGTCTCGCAGCTGGCTGAGCGACTCCGCAGGCCCCAGACAAGCGGGGTCTCGGGGGGCAGCCGGGCAGCCGCAGGCTGGTCTGCCGAGGGAAAAGCCCGCAGGGCCCCGGGGGCGGGGCTGGCTGTGCCTCTCTGGCCACAGGTTTGCCCTCCCATTTGCATCATCTGCTGGGACACGGCGGTCCCTTGGGGCCACTCTAACACCCCAAGTGGCTTCTCAGAGCCTTCTTTCTGCTTGTGGACGTGCCATCTCAGAGCGAGTTCTGGTCAGTATGGTTTTTAGCCATTTGTGTTTTGTCTACTGGCAACTACCGGTGATGCCCACGCTTTACTTTCCGGCTGGGGCTGACTCAGCGGGGCCCAAGCCGCCAGGTGCCGCACGTCGGCGTCACCCCCGCTGGGCGCGTGGGGCCTGGAGAGCGCCCTGCGTGGCGGCTGCGGAGCCCCAGGGACATCACCGTCACCGCTGCACAAGTGCGGTTGGCTGGCACGAGCCCCGCAGCCGCCAGGCCCGGGCAGGCTATGCGCGGCTGCTGCCTGGCTGCCTCGCCCTCGCGGCTGCGCTCGCTCCGTTCTCTGGAACGCGCTGTCCAGCCACTTGCTCTGCCCTACGCTGGCTTCCGATGCAGAGATTCCCTATAGAGGAGCCATTGCAGCTTCATTGGAAACTGTGGTTTCTCCTTCCATAGCTGATTGAAGAGAAGTAGTGAAAGTTTACATCTCTGAGCGCTGTTTTAAACCGCGGAGGTTCAGTCACTGTGCTCTGTTCCAGCCGCAGAAGTTGCCGAAGCTGAAGAAAAGCCTGGGCTTGCCCAGTGTCCCACCCCGTCCCCGCCTTCTGCCCCCTTGGCCCCTCTGCAGGTCATCCTGATGTCGGCCACCATCAACTGCAAGGAGTTCGCCGACTACTTTGCCGTTCCCGTTCAGAACCAGCTGAGCCCTGCGCGTGTGTTCGAGGTGCCCGGGCAGCCCCACGCGATCGAGGAGTACTACCTCAGCGACCTGGAGCGCCTGCCTCCCGGCGGGGTAGGCCGGCCCGCTCCCCAGGCGCTCCCCGGGGGCGCCGTGGGCCTCGACTCCGCCCCCCAGCCTTGTCAGGCTCCTCCCCCACGGCGACAGCCGGCCCCTCGTTTGTGTTTGCGTGTGTCAGCCCGGATGTGAACAGGCTCGGGAGGGATGCCTGTGTCTTTTCCTTACTGTCTCCTTTGGAAGTCAGTCACTCAGTGTGCTGGGTCCTTGGGGGGCGGAGCACCTGGACATTTCGCGTTTTCCGATCGTGTGGGGTGGGAGAGTGGTGAGGGTCCTGCCATCCTCTCCCCCGAGCCAGAGCCTCGCTGCCGCCTGCCGAGGTTTCTTTCACGCGCACTGGACACGCGGTGCGCCCGACCGCTGCGGCCAGGTGAGAGCCCCACCAGGCCCGGGCGCTGGCCGCCGAGCCCAGGCTGCGGGCGGCCGGCTGGAGGGGACGCCCCCTGGCTGGTGCCTGACAGGTGCGCGGCGCGCGTTTCAGTGAGTGGCTCTTCCAGGCGTGGCTACGTGTCGGTTTCCGGCCTTACAGGAAGAGCGTCCTGTGGATTCTGTGACAGGTTTTGGCATCAGCAGACCTTTGTTCAGGTCCCGGTTGTGTGGTTCTCCCTCCCCCTCTGTTGCCTTGCCTGGCGCACTCTCCACTGCTCCCGGGGTGTGCGACCGGCCCTCGGGACGCGGGCCTTTCCTCTGTCTCACCTGGCAGCCCCTCCTCCTGCGGGACTCCTTCTGTCCCTGCCCCCCACTCACTGTGCGAGAACATCTGCGCTCCCTTTCTTGTTAGCATTCTAACAGCGCTGCGTCTGTGTCCTCCTTAGAAGCGCCTCGCAGGTCCCATGTGTCTCTGGAGCTTCCCCCAAACCTCCTGAACTCCCAGCGTCCATCCCCCTGCGTGCCCCTCACTCCCGCCCGCCCCGCCCCCCTCAGCGGAGGGGACGCCTTGCGGGCCCCCAGTGACCCGCAGCCCGCAGCTCTCCGCTCGGACAGGCGCTTGCCTGGCCTCCGTGACAGGCCGCACGGCGGCCCTCGCGTTTCACCGACAAGCACGCTGTGTCCCCAGCGCCCGCCTGGCCCTTCTGGCCCTGGCTCTGGCTGTTCGTGCAGAGCCCTTTGCGGAGCCCTCTGCACGATTCGCTTTCACCTCTCACTGCAGAGAGCCGCCCTTACGGGAGTGCGTGCACCGTCATGGGCGCTGTTGCCCTGTGGCCACTGGGATCTGCGACCCTGCGCTGCGGCCGCCCCCCCGGCCCCCGCCCCCCGCCCTCCGCCCTCTGGCGGCTGCGGGCTCTCGCTCTCAGAGGAGCGGGCGGGCCTGGTGGCCCGGCGCCCGGCGCACGGGGTGGCGACATGCGGGGCACCCGCTCCCAGCTCCGACTGAGACCCTGGCGCTTCTGCCCCTCGTTGCTGATGGCAGACCCTCCCTCCCCTGCTGCGTCCTGTCACGCGTGGCCTGTCGCTGTCCGCCTGTCCTCTCCGCCCGCTGGGTCTCCTGATTCCCGCACACGGACGGGGCCGCAGCCCGGGCGTTTCTTTTGTTGTCTGTGCCGAGGCAGCTTAGAGGCTGTGGGGCTGTGTCCGGTGCCTTAGCAGCGTGTCCACGACGTTCTCTGCGCCTGGATTCTCGGAGGCGGTCACGTTGCTCGTGAATTGGTGACGTGCTTTTCCGTGGCTTTTTGGGAAACCGTCCCAGGTGCCTCGGATGCTGCAGCTGGCATTTGGGAGACCACCTGTTTAAAAATTGTTAGGATAAAGCAGAAAATTGTTTAAGGAAAAGGCTGACCATAAAAAATGGACTTGTTAGACATGCTACAAAAATATTGAAGTAAAATTCAGTTGTCATTCTTACATTAGTAGAATTGTCATAAAAATGAAAAGTGGGTTAGTTGCATTTTAACTGACTTGACTCATGTAAAAGTTGAAGAAAAAGTTTGTGTTTGTGGTCTCTCCTCGTCCCTGGAAGGGCTCTTTTGAGGTGCCCTTGGTGGAATCGTACGTGGTGCCTTGCACACAGGACGTGGCGAGGAAAGCTGTGAAGCAGGCGGTGTCCTGGCTGTTGGCGGAGAAGGCCTGGTGTCCGTGGCTGTCGTCCTGGGCGCGTGGAGGGGCTGGCGCGCAGCTGGCTCGTGCCACAGGTGCTGTCGGCTCTCTCACGGCGCTGCCGCTGTCGGGGAGTGGGACCGCCCTTGCGGTCGCCCCGTGTTCTGAGAGGTGCCCGAGGGAGTCAGCCCTGAGCTGGGCTGTCACACGCAGCCCAGTGACAAGGACCCCCCAGCGGGGCAGCTCGCTGTGACGCCGCCATGCGATTTCCGCAGGTTGGCAGGCACAGATGGGTGTTTCCTTTTCCTGGGGCTTGTGGTTTTAAAGGACTCGGGGCCCCTGCAGGTGGGGCTTCGACAGGAGGCCGCACCTGGACCTTGGGGGTCGTGGACCCCCCGGTGTCCCCCGCTGTTTGAGCCGCTCACTGTGTCCTCACAGTGGGCCTCTGCCCGCCGGATGCCCCTGCTGTGCCCGGCCCCGTCCGCGCCCCGGCCCCAGGGCTGGGGCCGCACAGTGTCCCAGCGGCGCCCGTGCGGGCTGCGCTTGCGTCGTGCCTGGCACCCGGCGGGCGCTCAGGTGCGGGCTGCAGGAGCTGTGGCTTTTCTTCGGGACGTTGGTCACAGTGACCCCCGAGGGGAGCGCCGCCCGTCCAGCCCCACTTCCCTCCCGACCCGCGGGGTGTCCCAGCTGCTGCTCCCCCGTTTCAGCTGTCTCCCCACGTCCCGGAGGAGCCGGTGATCACGAGGGACATGTACGAAGTTGCCGTCTCCCTCATCCAGACGTTCGATGACATGGACAGGAAAGAGAGCAGGTAAGGCAGGTCCCCGCTGCTGCGCCTCGGGCTGCCAGCTTGCGCCCCTCCCTTTGTAACTGCCTGTGCCTTTGGGGCACGAAGCTCTAGCTGTGGAGACCTTTTCATAGCCACTCTACGTAACTAAAAATAAAGTTAGTGTCTTGCGAACTTCACTGGAAATCTCCACTTCAAAGTAGTTAAAACCATGCCAAGTGTGGTTGTAGGACCGAGAGCCTTGAAAGCCAGAGAACACAGCTGAGGACAGCTTCCCAGGCCTGCAGGCGCGCTGGCCCCTGCGAGCCCCCCCCCCCCCGCCCCCCGGGTCTCTGCTGTCGCCATCTCTCACAGGCGGGGCCCGGCTCCCGGCTGCGCCTCCGGGGCGGGAGTGCGCTTCCCTCGGGGGCAGTTGGGGCTATTGGCCGTGGTCAGAGCCTGCAGTTGCTGTTTCAAGATCTTCAGCTGAAGACACATTTATTGATTTTAGAGGAGGGGAGCCAGAGAGAGAGGGGGACATGGGTTGCCTCCTGTACATGCCCCGCCCAGGGGTCAAGCCCCCAGCCTTTTGTCGCGCGGGACAGCGCTCCAGCCCACGAGCCTCCCGCCCGGCAGGGTCTGCCGCCTGTGGAAGGGGCTGCTGTCCCTTGAGCATTTCCCTGTCGCCGTGGCCTTGTTTTTCCCGGAGCATCATGTAGTTGGCATCCCATGTGTGTCAGGCTGGCTTCTCTCACTCCGCGGTGCATGTCAAAGGCTCCTCCGTGTCTTCTCCGGGCCTGACGGCTCGTTTCTCCTTGCCGGGTGGTGGTCCCCAGCCTGAACGGACCTCCGTGTATTTATCCATGGCCTGCTGAAGGGTGTTTTGGTGGCTTCCAGGTTTTGGCCGTTACGAGTAAAGTTGCTAGAAACATCCATGTGTGGGGTTTTTTTTAAAAGATTTTATTTAGGTTTTGTTTGCCTATTTTTGGAGAGAGAAGAAGGGAGAAAGAGAGGGAGAGAAACGTTGACCAGTTGCCTGTTTTCATGCACCCCGACCGGGGGACCCGGCTCGCACCCCGCACGTGCCCTGACCGGGCATTGCACCGCGCCCTCCTGCTTCATGGGATGGTACTCGACCTGCTGGGCCCCGCTGGCTGTGCACGCAGGTTTCTGTGTGGACCCAGGTTTCCAGCTTCGCGTCAGCACCGGGGAGCGCGGTGCCTGGCTCCTGCGGCGGGGACGGGCCGGGTTCTGTGGGAAGCCACCAGGCTGTCCTCTGATGTGGCTGCCGCCCCGGGGCCGCGAGGGAGCCCGTGGCGCCACGTCCCCCAGCGGGTGGTGGCGGCCCGGCCGTTGGGCGGCTGTGCACGGGCGCTGCGTTGCTGTGCCTGGCAGCCCCTAGTGACACGGGTGGGAAGCGTTTCTTTGTAGGGTGGTCTGTCATCTGCGCGTCTTCTGGTGAGGCCTCTGTCAGGTCCTTTGCCCGTTTTTACTTGCGCTGTTTGTTTTCTATGGAGCTTTCAGAGCTCTCTGTAGATCGTAGGTGATAGTCTTTTATATGCTTTTGGCAAAGGTTTCTGTGCCGTCTCGTTCCCTTGAGATTTCGATCAAACTGCGAAAGGCCCTTGCAGTCAGGTTTCTTTTTTGACGCTCGATGACCCAGAGTTTGGTCGGCGGGGCCTTCAGGAGGCGGCTCCTGTGCCGCCCGGCAGGCTGCCTCTCCTGCCGTCAGCCCGGCGGCCCCTGGTGCTTCGCCTGCTGCTGCCTCCGTGGGAGGTCGGGGACCCATTGTGTGGGTCTTTCCAAGGAGCCCGGTTTGGGCGTGGGGAGGGGCGGCAGGGCCGCAGGGGAGAGGTGCTCGTGCGCACCACGCACTGCGCTGATGCGGTGGGCGCGGGGCGGTTGGCGGTCTTGCGCTGTGACTGTGCTCCCTGGTAAGAGCTCTGACTTCCTGGAGTTTATTTGAAATGTTTTGTATTTGGGTCTCTGGATTGTAATAACTGAATTTCAAGAACTGTTACGGATAGTTTTATGGGAGGAAATAATGGGAACCAGGAGGCCCGGGGCCCCAAAGAGCCTCGGGACGCACCCCCGGGGCCCTGCGTCTCCTCACGCAGGGGAAGGGAGGGCGCCTGGCGCGGCCTCCGCCCTCCACGGTCAGGAGCCGTGGCATCCGCGCCCGGGGGGCAGCGGCCGTCCGGCCTGACTAACGCCTGTGCCCTCCCGATCTTCACAGGAGCAAGGCCGGGCCGGGCGCCCAGGTGGCGTGGGAGCGGAGCAGCGTGCTGGTGTTCCTGCCGGGTGAGTGCCCGCCCTCGTGACCCGGCCCGGCGCGGCCCGGCGCGGCCCGGTGCGGCCCGGTGGAGGTCCAGCCTGTGCCGGGCACGCGTCACGCAGTCGTTTCTCCGTATGGGCCCACGTTTTTTAGACCCTGAGAGCGTGAACACGTGATTTTCAGTTTGACCTGTTACTGTGACCTTTGTATCGCTAAAAAGATAACTTCGATCTTGAAAGCAGTCTCACCCCCATCGGAATTTTCAGTGAAAGACGTGACCTTGTAAAGTTTGCTTCATTACGTGTACGTGTGTGGTTATAAAAGTGAGGCCATTGTCATCGGTCTGCACTTAAAGCTTATTTGATAATAGTAAACATTACTGAGTCACGGTGTTGGTATTGTAACACCGTGAGAATCCTCAGGCCGGTCTTGGAGTTTCTTTCTCAGTGTTTGAGAAAATAGGCTCTTAAAATACCAGGAAGAGTAATTTGTGTATAATTGTATATACACAATTTGTGTATAAATGACGTTTTCGCTGTTGCGATGAAGTAGAATAGCTTGGTGAGTCGCTGGGGCAGCTGCACAGGCTTTGCTGCCGTAGGAGGTGCCCTGTCCGGCGCTGCGGGGAAGGGGAAGCAGGCGTGGCGGCGACTCTGCATGGGACTCCGGCTCTGGGTGCCGGGCCCTGGTCACTGCTGGCTTTGGCTGCTGTGCGTGGGCGTTGTATGCAAGAGACACCAGCAGCTGGCAGCAGAGTGGAGTTGCATTTGCCCCAAGAAATGCCTGTTGAGAACCCGTGTGTGCGTGACACTGTGTTAAGGCAGGAAGCGGCCAGGCAGAGCTGCGGCGACAGCAGCTTGACACCTAACCGGAGGCCGGTGCTGTCTGGCTGCTGGCCATGCCCGACTCAGGTGTTCACAAGTGATGTCCCACAGCTCCGTTCGTGGCCTTTCTGTCACGTGTGCATGAGAACTCAGGACTCACGGGGGCCTCGGTCATGCATTGGTCTGGCATGAAGGGCCCTGCGTGCCTTCTCCAGGGCCGCTGTCACCCAGTCCTCCGCCGGGGCCCCGGCTGTGGAGGCGAACCCACTCCCTCCTCCAGCGGCTGCAGCCCAAGCTCCGGGCGCCCGCGGAGCCTGTCGCCCCGCCTGCTCCGTGGCCGGCGGCCTGTGGCGCACCCTGGTGGGGCCGTGGCGCCTCTGGCCCTGCCTCCACCCTGCCCTGCCTTCCTCCCCAGTCTGTCTCTCTTTTTCTTAAGTATCTTAATGTTTAACAGCGATAGTACTTCACAATACTGATATTTGGTACTTTTTAGATTTTTTTTGTTTTGGTTGTAAAAATTTTCACATTCATTGCTGGGCATTAGGGAAATGGGTCGGGGAAAAAGAGAATCGTGAAGTCGCACAGCCAACATCCCCGGGCGGCCCCTCCCGCAGGAGGGGCAGCTGGGGAGGAGCAGTTTGTGTGGTCCTGTGGCACGTCTGGTGGCCGGTGCCGCTGCGCGTCTGCACTTGTCGCTGCGACGTGCGTGAGCCAAGAGAGTAATGAACACGTGAGTGAAGGCAGGGCCGTCCTTCAAAGGCTGGCCTTCCAGCCCTGGCCGGGCAGCCGGCGGGTGGCGCGGCGTCCCTTCGCCCCGGTGGCCGCTCCGCTGCCCGGCCAGGGTGCACAAGCGTCAGCTGGTGACGGCGTCCGTGAGGGGACGGCGAACCCGTTTCTCTCTCTCTCAAAATAGGTAAACAAATGTTGGTTTTTAGCAATAAATACAAATGTTTTCTTTCCTGCCTTTTTTCTTCCCTAGGTCTGAGTGAAATAAACTATATGCATGAACTTCTCACAAACATGATCCAGAAAAGGTGTGTTTAAAGGGTGCTGCCGTGTCGGCTCCCCTTTTACGGGGTCTGTGGGAGAGACACCCGTCCGTGGAGTCGCCGCGGTTTCTGGGGCAGACGCGGCTGCGCGCTCCCTCAGAGGCCCTTGCGCTGGGTCCGCCTTAAGTGGTTGGAAAGGCCCCAGCGAACAGGCGCTGGCTCGTCCTCCGGTCCCCGCGCACCTCTCTGCCTGACCGGCTCTCTGCCCCCGTTGGCCTCCCAGGCTGCAGGTCTACCCCCTGCACTCGAGCGTGACCCTGGAGGAGCAGAGCAACGTGTTCCTGAGCCCCGTCCCCGGGTACAGGAAGGTAGGAGACGGGTCATCGGAACAGGCGCTGGCCTCGTGGGCCGGGGCTCATTGGGTTTTGTCTTTGCGCTGCTGAATCAGTTTGCTGGAGGTTTTTATTTCCTTCGATTCCTCAAAGCGTGGGACTGCTCTGGCGACTGTTAGACTTTATGTAGTTTTTAGAGCGGAAGGGAGGGAGCAAGAAGTGAGAGAAACAATCGGTTGCCTCTCGTGCCCCCCCCCCACCGCCCCCCGCCCAGGAGCCCTGGTCGCAGTCCAGGCCTGTGCCCTGACCGGGAACCCCACCGGTGACCTTTGGGCTCTAGGCTGGCACTCAGCCCGCTGGGCCACACCAGCCTGGGCCGGGAGGGTTCCTCTCCTCCGGCCACGCGGGAGCAGTGGGGCCCTCGCGTTGCCCCTCCAGCGCTGCCTGCGGTGCTCGGGGCACTGGACTCCGGCGGGCGCTCTCAGCCCCTGGGGCAGCCTGGCTCCCATGTGGCTGCAGCTTCAGCCCTGCCTTGGGTTCCAGCCTCGTGGCGCCATTTGCCCCCGAGAGCGGCCCCTGCCCCCAGGGGAAGGAGGTGGCACCACCCTGAGGTGTAGGGTTAGGAGTGCGGGGACCCGGGCAGGCGGCTGGGGCCTCTCTCCTGCAGTCTGTGCGGCTTTGAGCGACTCGCTTCTCTAAGACCTGGTTCCACCGTTTGAAGGCTGAGGCGGTCACGTCGGTGCTGCAGAGCTGCTAGGAAGGTGGCCCGCGGTGTGGGCCCACGCGCTCCTCAGTGCCTGGCGCTGGGCGGGCATCCAAGAAAGGGCGACCCCACCCCAGGCGTGGCTGCTGGCGACCGGGTCCGGGCTCCCACCGGGAGCAGGCCGCAGCGCGCCCCGCGGGTCACCTCGTATGACCCTCACGGCAGCCCCCGCGGGCGGGCGGGTGGCGGCCTCGCCTCCGGTGCCTACGGGAGGAACAGCGGGGGCTGGCCGGCCCAGGGGTCTGCCCTGCGGGGCAGAGCCCAGGATCCTCGATCCGTGGTGACGGGGATGAAATAGGAAAGCGGCGCATTTCAAATTTGAGTCCAGTGTGTACACTAAGAAGCTTTGAGATGATTTTTGAGGTTTGAGGTTTCTTACTTTGCCCCGTGATTTCCAGTGTGCAGTAAGGACATCTGGTCCTTTTTTTTTTTTGCTGTTTGATAGATTATTCTGTCCACCAACATTGCAGAGAGTTCTGTCACGGTCCCCGATGTCAAGTATGGTAAGATACTTCCCTGTCTCCTCTGGGCGTAGCTGTGGCGCCGTGTGCTCCCTGGCCCCAGGACTGTGGGAGCACAGCTCTGAGGAGGCGACGTTGGAACAGGGCTTGGGTGGCAGGAGCAGTGGCCGTGGAAGGATGCGGCTCTGGCCCAGGGACCGGTCTGAGGGGCAGCAGGGAGGCGGGTGTGGCTGGGACCACCGGACGGGGCCTGCGGGCTTGTCCTTGCGCCAGGCCTTGCAGTCTGGGTCCCGGGCGGAGCGGTGGCGGAGGCCTCTGCCCCCTGAGACAGCCAGGCTGGGGACGGGGGAGGTAGAGCTGCGCGGCCCACGCAGTGGGCAGCGGTGAGAGGCGTGAGGAGGCTGTGGGGAGTGCGGGCCGGGGGCGTCAGGAAGGGAAGTCGGAGTTTCCGTTGTGCTGGCCCCCCGGAAACAGGGCTGGGGGAGGCCCGGGGGAGCCTCGGCACAGGGTGAGCGGCCTGTGGTGGCCACGGGGGGCAGGTGAAGAGGGGCAGCCCGTGGGACGCGGGCGCCCCGTCAGGAAGCCTTTGAGGAGGGGGGAGCAGGCACCTAATGCTGGTGACAGGTCAAGGTCACGGGCAGCTGACGGAGGGGCTCAGCCACGTGGACGTCATCGGTGACCTTGACGGGCAGTTTGGGGCAGGCAGGGCCTGAAAGCAATGGGCTCATGGCGGGGGGTGGGGAGAGGATGGGGACAGGAAGCCGGGCGGACGCTCTGGGGGGCCAGTGAGAGGCGGAGGGTGCGGGGTGCGGGGCTCCTTTCCTGCCGGAGACCCGGCGCTGCTGTTGGGTGACAGGAGCGGCACAGGGACGGGAGCTGGGGAGCTGCCCGCTGTGACGGGGCCGGGGCCGCGCGGGAGGGCGCAGGCGTAGCCCTGGCCGCGAGGTGCCGGCAGGTGGGGAGCTCTGCTGGCCTCCGCTCCCTCGGGCGCCAGGGGCCCGGTCAGCAGTCGCGAGGGGGGAGGGAGGGGGCGTGGGAGGCCTGAGGAGGAGCCCTGAGGTGGGCCCCGGAGGAGGGGGCGGGAGTGGACAGGCGGTGTCTCTCCGAGGGCACCGGGGCTGGCCGCCAGGGCCGGCAGCCCCCGGCCAGTGTGGCCGCTCCCTCTCTTGCCGCTTGAAGTGTGTGGGGTGGGCGGGCAGCTGTCCCCGGGCTGGGCTGGGGCTGAGCCAGCGAGTAGAGGGCGAAGGCGCGGGGGCGGGGCGCAAGGTTTGGGTCAGCGTCAGGGTTAGGGCTGGCACCGGGACCTGTGTTCAGGGCAGGAGGGGAACGAGGCCAGGCGGGGGGCGCAGGGTCGCCCCAGGGCAGGTGGCAGGGCCCCTGCAGTTCTGGAGCGTGGGGGGCACTAGACACGGGAGGGGAGGGTCTGGTGGTGCCGGTGCGTCAGTGGGCGGAGGTGCGGCAGCGGGGAGGCAATGGGTCGGAGGGCCGCGTGGGGTCAGCGGGGGGCCGCCCGTAGCCCCTCGGGCTCTGAGGGGGTGCAGGAGAGCCCCCGGCACCCTGCTGCGGGACAGCCGCTCTCTGTAGCCAGGCTTGGAGGGTCTGTCCAGGAGGGGTCGCGGGGACTTCTGCCGCCTGGGCTTGCAGGTGAGGACACAGACGCCCAGGGAGGCCCAGCGGCGTGGCCCCAGCCCTCAGCCCTCAGCCCTCGGCCCGGGGTTCCAGTCCGCGGGGCCCAGCGGCCATGGGCTGTCGGGTGCTGCCCGGGGGGCCGCCCTGGGGCGCGTCGGGTCCTGTGGGCCCCGTTCTTTGCACCCAAAGATGCCGCCCCGTCCGTAGGAGGAAGACCACAACCACAGCCACCCTGGCCTGGGCCCCGCGTGTCCCGGGCTCCTGGGTGTGGCTTGTCGCTGTGCGTTGTGATCATCGCACTGCTGGGTCCTGTTTGCATCCTGTTTACATTCTTTTTTTTAACTGACAGTTATAGATTTCTGTTTGACCAGGACTCTGGTCTGTGATGAAGACACGAATTACCAGAGCCTGCGCCTGAGCTGGGCATCCAAGACCAGCTGCAACCAGAGGAAAGGTGAGCGGGGCCGCGGAGTCGCGCTCCCCCGTCCCCGCTCTTCCTGAGGTGCCGTTCCTTACGGGAACCAGTGTTAAGCTTTAAGCAACAACACGTCTTGTTGGAAGCCTCCGCACCTCCCCTGTGGCCCACTCCGGTCCAGCGAGCGAGGTGGCGGCCTGTCACCTCCAGCGCGGCCGTTTTCCACAGCAAGCCGACACGCGTCCAGCGCTGGCTTTGGAAGCCACGTGGCTCGCTTTGTAAGCTTTGGTCGCCTTCCTTCCTCTTCCCTCCGAGTGCTGACTTTTTTGAACTGGCTTCACAGAGGGTCCACATTTGCGGGGACGTGCCCACGTATCCCGTGGCGTTGGAGGTGGGGCTGTTTTTCAGGGCCTGGGCCTTGGGTGACAGTGCAGGTGCGGCCGTGACGACCTCGGGGACCAGGCTGCAGGTGGCTGGGACGTGCCGTGCTTCCTCTGAGCCTTTAGAGAGGGCGGGTGACGGCTGACGGCCGCCTCCCTTGAGAAAGAGGAGCCACCCTGGCTGGTGCCTGCCACACACCGGTGCCTGGGCGTTCCCCATGCCCTCAGGCAGTGCCTGCGCGCCCGCAGGGCAGAGCCTCGGTGCCGTGCGGCGGAAGAGCGACTGCCTGGCCACCCCGGGGGGTGGCGCGGCTCGTACTGGAACCCTGAGGTCAGCCCAGCCCGTGGACGGGACCTGCCCAGAGGGATGTTCGGAGACTATCGCAGGGCTGTGGAGGGCGGCCCTCGGACCGCACCTCAGGCTGGAAACCGCACGTCCAGTAAGCGGTTGCCGCGAGGACAGCGAGCTGAACTAGGTCATCTCACTGCTTGACCTGCCCCGCCCAGAACCCCCAAAGCAGTGAGCTACGCTTAGAATGACCAGGAATACGTGTACAGAAACGTTGAAGGCGATTATCTTTGGGGTGGTCTTCACATTGTAGGAGTCCTAACCTTCTGTCGCTTTGCACGTTCAAAACTGTAATGGCGGGAACCGCCCGTGCAGGAGCTGCAGAAGTGGCGCGGGGAGCCCCCCGCACGTCGGTGGCCGTGCCCCCCGGCTGGAGCGCCCCGCGGCCCTCTGCCACCGCCGCCCGCTGCCCTCAGCGCTGGTGCTGCGTGCCCTGGAGGACCCTGCGGCGCGTGAGCTGTGGGGACTGTCCCCTGTCACCGCAGGCCCTAAGACCCGTCCGCTGGCCGTGCGTGGTGGCCGTCGATCCTCGCCACTGCCACGCCGCAGGGCTCTGTGCCGGTCGCCGTGCGCAGGCAACGGGGCGGTTTCTGTGTGTGGCGATGGCCCACGCGGCCCCTGTGCGAACCGATGTCTGTGTGGACGCGCGTTTCATTCCCCGGGGCCCCTGCCCGGCTGCCCCTGCCGCGCGTGTCTGAGCCCCCGCTTCGTGTGGAAGGCGCTGCCTGACGCCTCTGCGGCGGCCCTGCCCTTCCCACCCCCGGCCGCGGCGTGTGGCCCGTCCGCTCCGCCACCTGCCAGGGTCGGCCGCCACCCTGCTTTGTACTGTGGCTGCTCACGAGGTCCGCGGTCGCCCCTTGGCTGTGCTCTGAGGTTGCGCGTCCCTGGCGGCTGATGGGGTTCAGCCCTCGCCCCTGTGGCCTGTCGTCTGCATCTCCTCGCGGGTGCGCCTGTGTGTGGCGGGTGCCCCCGCCCCGGGTGGTTGGTAGTTGGAATCCCACTGCTGGGCCCTGAGAGCTCTTCCTGTGACCTGGGGCGCACGGCTGCTTCCTCCTGGGTCCCCTTGAGGTTTGTCTTTCCATCCTCGTAGCCTGGCCTTTCAGAGAGAAAGCGTTAAGTTTGGAGGCGGCCTCACACTCACTCTGGGTGTAAGGGTGGCTCTGACGCGGCGTGTCCGCAGGCTCTGGCTCCTGGGTCCGCCAGTAGGTCTGGGGCTCTCCTAGTCTCAAGCACGCACTTGGGCTCACCTCGGAGGAGTCACGCCACGTGGCCTGTGAATGTTTCTCCTTTGAAGGCCGTGCCGGACGCGTGTCGAAGGGCTACTGCTACCGCCTGGTACACAGGGAGTTCTGGGACAGCGCCATCCCTGACAACGTCGTCCCGGAGATGCTGGTAAAACGCTTGGGCCCAGGTCAGAGGTGCTTCTTTACCAACAGCCGTACCGCTCGGCCTAAGTGCTGTAATTTGGACCGTGTAGCATTGCGATCCTGGAAGATGCCCTGACCAGCGGTCAGCCCAGCAGTCTCCAGGCGCGGTGGCTGCTCACTCCCCGCGCGCCGGGTGCCCAGCGGGCTCCCCTGGGTCGCCTGTGGCGGGAGCTGGGCCTGCGGCTCCGACACTCTGCCCTCCCTCAGCCTGGGGGCGGGGGCGGGGGCCTGGTGGTTTCCCTCCCCCCACCCCCTCCTCCCTTTTTTCTCCTGCATCCGCCTGCTTGTCCACTCCCTTCCTGTCCCCCCCGCCCCCCGTCCCGCCTCACCTTCCCTTCCTCCTCTGGCTCGTCCTCTTTCCCCACCTGTTCTGGCCCCTCCTCCTACCCCTGCCTGGGTCCCTGGTCTTCCCCCCTCCCCCGCCCTCCTCGAAGTGCTCCTTGCGGGAGGGGGCGGCCGCGGTAGTGGCTGTGCTCTGTCCGAACGGAAGCTGTGTCTTTCCCAGCGTTGTCCCCTGGGAAGCACGATTCTGAAAGTGAAGCTGCTGGACATGGGCGAACCGCGGGCTCTGCTGGCCACGGCCCTCTCCCCGCCCCGCCTGGGTGACATCGGGCGCACGGTCCTCCTGCTGAAGGAGGTGGGCCCGTTGCCTGCTCGTGGGTGTGGGGGGGCGGGGGCTTCTGTGACTGATTTTCAGCGTTTCGTGATGTTAGCTTTAAGGTGTTTAGTTGTACCTGCTCAGCATTTGCTTTTAAAGCACACGTAATGACTAATTACCGATTTCACATTCCACACACGGAGTTCACGTGAGCTTTCCCAGTTGTCCTGCCAAAGCTGCGCTGTTTCCCCTGCCCTCCCTCCCAGTGCCCAGAAGTTGAGATGAGACAGTGGCAATAACGTGCAGTGACTTTTCTGAAATACTCCCTTAGGCTGGTATTGGGGTAATGAATGCCCAATGGCATGTGAACGTTCCTCCTGCGGAGGCCGGCGGGGACGCGTCTGCGGCTGCGGGGCCGCCCGATGCGCGGGTTTCCGGGGCAGCCCTCCCCATCGGCCTGCTCAGCCCCCCGTCCCTGCCGCTCACCCGCACCCCAGCGTCCCCCTCCCCTGGCTCTGGGCTCTGCTCCCAGCCTCGGAGGTTCTGCCCTCGCCCCTCGCAGCCAGGGCGTGGGGCCGGCGGGTCCTGTTGTGCGGGCGGAGTCTCGCTTAGCTCTGTGCAGGCGGTGGCGCTAAACCGGGAGCCAGGCAGGCGCTGGTGGGACTGGCCTTGGCTGCCACCCACCAGGCCACCCCCCTTGAAACAAGGATGAAACGGGCTCTGCCCATCTGGAAGCAAACTGCGAGTTTCAGTCGCGTACCCCGGTCCCAGGTTGGCCTGGGTGCCTCTTCAGAGCCCGGCGCGCGGCGCTGGGCCCTCGCTCCATGGCTCAGAGGCCGCCCGAGGGGCTGTGCGCAGGCCGGGCGTGCTCAGGGTGCTCCTCTGTCGGCAAAGGTCGGTGCGCTGGCCGTCGGCGGGCAGCGGGAGGACGAGAACCCGCACGACGGCGAGCTGACCTTCCTCGGCAGAGTGCTGGCCCAGCTCCCCGTCAGCCAGCAGCTGGGCAAGCTCGTGGTCCTGGGGCACGTGTTCGGGTGCCTGGACGAGTGTCTCATCATCGGTGAGTGCCAGGGCGGGCGCGGCGCCCGGCCCCCGACGGGCCGCCGCCGCCCTCTCGCGCCCTCTCACGCCCTCTCTGGTTTCCCTCGGCAGCGGCGGCTCTGTCTCTCAAGAATTTTTTTGCGATGCCTTTCAGGCAGCACCTTGACGGATACAGGTATTTCACGTTCGCATTTTAAAGCCACCTTGTTCTACTGGTAGCGAATGACACTGCTTGCCCTCCCGTTACAGGAACAAGGTGTTCTTCTCTGGCAACAGCAAGAGCGACTGCATCGCCCTGGTGGAGGCGTTCAGGGTAGGCCCGCCAGCCCGCGCCCCACGGCCTTCCCGGTGTCTGCCAGAGTGCGGGCGGGGGCGGGGGCGGGGGCGGGGCCGGGCTCCGAGAGCCACCTGCTGGGAGTGGTGGGTGGGTGGGGGTCCAGGTTCATGAAGCTGATTGAAAAATTGAGTTTGTGAGTTCCCTATAGTTCAACTGTGTTGAAACTGGACTTTAAGAAAACAGCGGAGTCACCAGGAAGCGCTTTGAAACCCGGGTTGTTTCTTTGCAGACCTGGCAGGCCTGCAGACAGAGCGGGGAGCTGCGGCACCCGAAGGTAGGCCCTGGCGGGGCGGGGGTGGCCCCGGGCTGCTCCGGCCCAGCCTGAGGGGCCAGCGAGGCGGGGGGCCCAGGCCTGACCCGGGCCACTGCCTGGCCGGTGGCAGCAGGCCTGCCACGTGTGGGGGCACCGCCCCTGAGCGGCGGCGACCTCCTGCTGCCCGGTGCCTGGGGGGCGCCCGCCTGCCCCCGAGGCTTTCCCTCCGTGGGTTTTAGCTACAGGCTGTGAGCAGCTTGGCCTGCCAGCCTCCGCCCCCCTTTTTGGGTCGGGTTCTGTTCTTGTAAGCAGATGAGACCAAGGGACCGGGGCAGGGGCCTGCCTGGTGGTCTGGACCCTCCCAACGAGGCTGCGGGGCCCCGCGGGTTGCCAGCCAGACGTCTGCCACGCCGCGTTGCTCGTTGGCATGTGGTCCTTCTGGCGTATGTTTTTGGACGAGTCGTACATGTCACGGTAGCCACATTTAGCTCTCACTTGCTGCGTTGATACTGAGTGTGATGCTTTTCTGTGTTTAAGGATGAACTTGACTGGGGACGGTTAAATTACATTCAAATCAAGAGAATTCGAGAGGTAAGTTGTCGTACACAGGGAAGCCGTGAATACGCCAAGAAGCATCCCAGCTTCAGTAGAACTTGTGTGTGTGTTAAATCTCTGTAATAATTTGTAAATGTGAGTACATTTATGTGAAACAGTACACACTTTACACAATTCACAGTCAATTATCTATTTACAGAACATGTAGCAGAGTCACATATAGTTACAAGTAACAGTCGCATCATTTCCAAAGGGAGAGCGTAACCTTCCTCATTCTGAGGGTTGGGTGCTGGTGTCCTCTTTGTCTTTGATTGGATTTGTATGTTAGGGGGTGTCCCCGAGACGGGCTCCCCGGGTTCTGGGATTGGCTAGGGAGGCTCACAGAGCTCAGCCAGGCCGTGTCCCTTGTGGGCTCCCGGGAGCACAGCTGAGGGCGCGGAGTCGCAGGAGCCCAGCGGGACACCCGTGGGGAGGGGAGGGCCGGGTTCCGGGGGGACCGGGGCCAGGGCCCCGTGCGCACGCCGTCTTCTCCCAGCAGCGGCGTGGGGCAGCAGGGCCGTGCCGAGGGTGGGTCGCGGGGCGGGCCTCAGTCACTCAGGGTGCAGCCCCCAGAGGTTGCGTGGCCCGAGGCCCCCAGCAGCCGCAGGCGACAACGGCTGTGTCCCAGGTCTGCGCAGACGTGCGTGGTGCCCAGAGGCGCCGCCCTGAGGCCGGCCCGCCCCTGGGGTGTGTGGGGAGGGCCAGCGGGCCTGCTGTCCCAGTCCTGCTCCGCTCGCTGTCTGGGGGCCCGGCCTGTCCCGCTGTGGTTTTAGAGAACTGCCTCTTGGTTTGATTTTACTCTGTAGGTTTTTCAGGGGAGGGGAAGGGTGGAGGATTTTAATTGGTTGATTTTGCTTTTCTGTTAGTTTAGTTTTTCTGTGTCCTTGGGTTCGGTGTTTCAGTCGTCCTGAGAGGAGCATTGTGTCGCCGATACTGTGAGTGCGTCTGATGGGAGCACGCGGGGCCGCACGTGTCCAGGGGCAGTCCACACCCTGTCCCGCTGGTCTGCGGCCGCCTGCGGCCGCAGCGTCGTCCTCAATGCCAGCACTGCTCAGGAGAGCATTTGAGCTCCCAGGGGGAGAGATGGGGTTTTAGACGTTTTGTTTTGCTGTTGATTTTTGTTGCCCGGCTCCCCGCCCAGCTCCCCCCCAGCCCCCCCGCCCAGCGCCCCGCCCCCCCCGCCCTGCCCAGCGCTCCTGTCTCCCAGGTCTCGCGCGCAGTTTCCTCCCCGCTGTGGCCGTGCTTGTGGTTTGTGTGTTTTTACTTTCTGTAGTTTATTGAGGTAACTTTGTGGACACTTAATTTGCGAGCAGGTCACAGGCCCCTGAAGCCGTGGCCGCGTGCGTGTGTGCTGGAAGTCGGGTGGTTTACGTGGTGCTGTTCTCCTGCAGTGAGGGGTGCTCTGTTCAGAGCGACTGCTCGGTCCCTTAGCGAGTTTTTCACCGTTGCGTCAGTACGCGCTGGTGGTCGTGGTTTTGGACGTGTTTCGAGGACGTTGAAGCAGAGGACTTGGTCATGTGGCCCCTTTCCAGCCTCATTGACTGTGGTTGACCATTGGCATGGCTTCATGTGCACGCGCACACGTGTGTGGGGATGCTGGGACCATGGCGGGGAGAGGGTTTGTGTCTGGCACGTTTTGTCCACACGTCGTGAGCACGCCTTCCGTTCTCTGTTCATCAGCCCCCCGTGAGGCGCCTGGACGCCCAGCAGCGCCCCCTCCAGGAGGAGCCGTTCTTGCCCCACGGTGCGTCGCGTCTGCCCTGATCTGGGCGCGCAGCTGCTCTGAGACATACCCGTCCCTGTGTTTGCCTCAGGTGGCGGAACTGTACGAAGAGCTGAAGAGCCGCATCTCACAGTTCAACATGAGCGTTGGCTCCCGGCGGCCCGCCCTGGACCAGGAGTTCACCTACAAGCAGCGGTTCATCCTGCAGGTGCGCCAGCGCGGGCTGTCTGCCGGCACAGCCCTGGAGGGGGTGCCGCCACCTCCTTCCGGCACGCGTCACGCCGCCCGCATGGAGTGGGACCCGGGGGACCGCTTCCCCCCGCAGTGGCCAGGACCACCCAGGACGGAGCCCTTCGCCATAGCTTCTAAGAAAGCAGATGTGCTCTCAGCATCCTGTGCTGCCGCTTACCCTGAAGATAGCCTGACCGTCCGGGGAGCAGGGCGGGGGCCGTGCAGGGACCGTGCGCGGGGAAGCATGTCCGCGCCGGGCTGAGCTCCTTGCGGGCCCGGGAGGTTGTGCACACCGGGCGGCACGGCGGCCGAGGCAGGCGGAGCTGGGTCTGGGCGATGCGGGAGGCCAGGCTGCCTTGGGGCTGGCGTGTGCTTCAGGCGGCACTTGGCCACTGATGCAGGGACTCCGTGCGGAGTGCTGCTCCCACGGGAGTCCTGGCGGCACCCGCTGGCACTCGGCCCGGCCCTGGGCAGGTGTCCGGGGACGAAGCGGCCAGTGTGCCACCCCCCGCCCCCGCCCCCCACGGGAGGACCGCTTGGGCTGCCTTGAGGAAAGACCATGCCTGGTGTGTTTCTGTTGTGGGAGAAGAACCAGAATTGCAACTCTGCTTGAGCGGTAAAAGGCCCGGTGTTGGAATAAAAACTCACTTTTACCCTGTAGATGTTCTGTCCTCCTGGGAAGAGTGAGGCACGCGGATAGAGCGACGCTGAGGCTTCATGGAAACGCTTTCTCCTCCAGGTCGTGTTGGCAGGCGCTTTCTACCCGAACTACTTCACGTTCGGGCAGCCTGACGAGGAGATGGCGGCGAGGGAGCTGGCCGGCAAGGACCCCAAGACGACCATTGTGGTAGGTGGGGGGGCGGCCGCCTTCTCGGGAGGGCACGGGCCGCCGGTGTGCAGAGGGCTGCCCTTGTGCGCAGCCGACGCAGCATTGCCCTCCTCCACTGTGGCTGGCTGTGCCGGTGCTTGGAGGGCCTGCCCCACGCAGCTCCCTGCTGGCCCCCAGCTGGCCCCCGACAGGCCTGGCAGGAAGCGATGTGCTAGTGGCCCACATGGGTCTGCTGTGTGTTGTCTCGAAGGGTTTAAGGCATTTTTGCGTGAATTTAAGCACGCTTTGTTAATCCACGGCTTTGTTTTACACAAAGTGGCTGTGACCACTTGGCCGCCGGGCCCTGCAGTCTGCACCGTGGCCCCCAGCCCGAGTGCCTCTTGCCTCTGAGGCCCTGCACCCCAGTTCCTCCACCGGGCAGGGGGGCCTGGAAACAGCCCCGAGCCAGCGTGGGTGCTGGGTGAGTCTGGGGGTCGGCCTGCAGGGCCCGTGTGGGGACCCTCCCTCTGCTGAGGGGCTGTGGAGTGCTCGGCTGAGTTCCTGGTGTGCCGTGAACACGGGGGCATTGCCAGCTCTTCCTGTCGCTATTCCCAGCACCACTGACAGGAGGCAGCGGAGCCAGCGAGGAGCAGGTCACAGAGCGCCATCCCGGGGGGCCTGGGGGCAGGGACGGAGCCGGAGTGCAGGCGGGGCGTTGCGGCGCGCGCCTGCGGCCGCCTCCCACAGGGCTGTCTCGTTGGCCATCAGGGGCCAAGCCTCGTGCCTGGCCCGGCTGCTCACGGGGCACCCCAGGCCAGAGCTTGGGCCGTGAACTGCGGGACGGGCAGGCGCACTCAGCCCTCAGTGTGGGCTGGTGGGACGCGGGCTTCCTTCTGGCCGTGACAAGCACATCCTGATCCCTGGGCTGTTTGGACCGGGGAGGGGTTAGCGTCACCACCTGTCTGTTGTTGCCCTTGGCGACGACTCAGAAGGCGCTGTCCTTGGCGCGTCCTGCGCCCAGAACCCGCAGGCCGGCGGCGGTTGCTGGGCGCAGGGCCCTGACGGTCCTGCCTGTGTTGCAGTTGAAGCACACGCCCCCCTACGGCTTCCTCTACCACAAGCAGCTGCAGTCCCTCTTCAGGCAGTGTGGCCAGGTCAAGTCCATCGCGTTCGACGGGGCGAAGTAAGTCGCACGCTTCTGTCCTCGTCTGCCGCTGTGAGAGCTGCGGGGTGCTTCTCGCGCCCGCGGGGGCAGCGCGGGCTGCAGCTCTCGCTCGGGGCTGCGGCTTCCCTGCCACCAGCAGCGACGGCTCTCCCTCGGCCGGGGCCTTGCAGAGCGGGCGGCCGTGGCTGGCGGCCTGGCACCAGGAGGACTAGGGGACGGCGCGTCCTGGGCTGGCGCCCTGGCAGCGGGCTCCGCTGAGGCGCTGTCCCAGCCACCCGCGGCCGTGCCCCGCGTGCCTCTGTGGCCAGGAGGAGCCCTGGGCGAGAGGCCGTCTGCTCAGAGCTGCCGGGGCCGTGCGTCAGACACCGAAACAGCGACGCTTGGCCTTGTTTCGGCTGCAGATGAGGAACAAATGTCGTGTTTTCCAGTGTCGCTCAGAGTATTTGTTTCCAAGAGGGAATGTTTACATGCAAGAGAGGCTTTATAGTTTTAAATGGATTTTTAGTGTTTAAAGTTAGAGACATACCCTAGTATTCTGTAAGTTTCTTTTAGTTTACAGATTCTCGTAAGCCTAGGGAGGAAGAAGCACTTCTGGTTTTTCTTTGACTAATTCCTAGTAACTTGGGCTGAACGCCTTGGCTCTGTTTGCCGTTTGGATCGGTTTTGCCAAACGTTTGAGTCCGTGGCTAGGACTTTGTAAACATGTAAAGGCCTCACGTGGCGGATTGATAAGCCCTCCAGGCAAAACCTTCCTGAGCACGTGAACGGCTGTTACAGGCTCAACAGCTCAGCTCCCAGCGTCCTGAGTTGCCTTCAGTGCTCGCCCGGGCTGCAGACGGTGGGAGAGCCTCAGCCGCCCGTCCAGCCGCCCGTCCCGGGCTGGGGTTGCAGCGCCAAGCCGCCTGCCTGGGACCCTGGGCGTCGCTCACCCGCTGAGGCCTGGCCGTGCAGGGGCCCACCCTGGTGCCCTGTGTCTGTTTCCTGGTCCGCGCCCTGGGCCTTTTCTGGGAATGAGATCGCTGGTGTTTTGTGGGAGGTGCAGATGGGTATTTCCACCCGCCCCGAGAGAAGCCAGCCGGCGCGCGGCTCTCTGCTCAGGTGCCTGGTGGCCGTGTGTGCAGGGCCTTCGTGGAGTTTTCCCGGAACCCAACAGAGAGATTCAAGACCCTTCCCGCCGTGTACTTGGCCATAAAGATGTCTCAGCTCAAGGTGCCCCTCGAGCTGAGCGTGCACTCGGCAGAGGAGGTCGAGGGGAGGCTGCTCGGAGGGGCTGTGTCGAAGCTCCGGAACACCAGGTACTTCCGAGGGAGGTGGGGGGGGAGCTCTCCACCTGCCTCCAGGGTTTCAGTGTTTTCAAGCCGCTGACCTCGCTTCCGCGGCAGCGCTGGCTGCGAGGCCCCGTGTCCCACCCCCTCGCCGCGCTCGAGCACAGCGCTCGGCCGCCCTGAACCCCCGTGCTCTCGTCCCCTCCTTCCACCCCAGTTTTACTGAGCACGTGGTGCTGCGTGCGTGTAAGCGTGTAAGCGTGCAGCGTGCCGCCTCGGTCTACGTGCGCCGGCAGGCGGTTACCGCGAGGGGTTCCCCTGACATCCAGCCTCCCAGAGAGAGGCCCTGAAAAGAGGAAGGAGAGGCAGCGACCCTTGGGCCAGAGCGCTCCGCCCCTCAGAGCCCGCAGCAGCGGCTTTGCCTTCCGGCCACGGCCTCTCCCTGCTGCGGGCTGGGGCTCCCCTGCTTCACTTCCGACCTGCACCTGCAGCGCGTGTGGGCCCTGGGGCTGGGAGGCGGGGCCCTGCCCGGGCCCGACCCCCTCCCGCCTCTCAAACGGGTCTGGGAGTGCGGGCGAGGGCGGGGCTGCCGTCTCCGCTGTGATTTTTCCTCTTCGCGCTGGAAGGAAAGCAGCAGGAAGGGAAACTTTCATTTTTACCAAATGTGTGTTTTGTGCCCTTGAACTTGGCAGTCACTCGCTGTCGTCCTGCTTCAAAGGATGAGCACTGATTCTTGGGCTTGTTAGAAAACTGCGTGTCTTTTCTAGTAACATGGAACCAGGCACAGATTCTCATAGTTTTCTAAACCTCGGGAACCACAAGGTAGAAAACGGGGCAGATCCTAGATTTAGAATGTATCCCCTTGAAAATAGAGATCCATGAGTGTCTTGATCTTGAGAATACATTGTTCCTGGCGAGTGCGGACGGACCGCTGGGTGCGCCCCCGCAGGGCCGCTCGGGAGCCCCAAACGCGCCGGGGGGGAGACCCAGCGCGTCCTCCCTGGTGCAGGTGTTCCCCTGAAATGATCTCGTCCAGTAGAGACGGGGGACATCCAGGCAGTCCACGTACGTGTATGTTTTCTTTTTAACACTTTTATTCTTTTTCCCCAAATCACGGTAAACAGGGTGAATGTGGACTTCCAGAAGCAGACCGTGGACCCTGTCCAAGTGTCATTCAACACACTGGACAGATCTGGCGTGGTTTCCGACCTCCTCCTGACGGTCGAGGTCACGGAGGTGAGAGTCGTCGGAGCTGCCCGCTCGCTCCTTGGAGCAGCTCGCCGTGCGTGGGTGCGGGGCCGGGGCTGCTCCTGCACCGTGCGGGCCGAGCCATCGAGGGAGGGTGGCGGGCGGGCCCCGTCGCGCTCGTGACGTGGGAGTGTGGCTGAGACGCGAAGTGAAGCAAGATGTTCACTTTGGGTTCAGAGTTGCGGTTTTGAAAGTTGAGTGTGCTTGAAATGCTGGAAATCAGCTTTAGCCACAAGATGCAGGTGAGAATATAACTGGTGTCATAGTGTATGCCTGTGTAACTCAGTTTATGTTCACAGAATTAGCGTCGCTACCGTTTTTCTGTAAGTATAAATGAAATGAAGTTTACTTTTAGAGAGAAGGACAGGGCGGCGGGGGGAGAGCGCAACAGAAACCCGCAGCCTGACCCGCAGCCCAGGCAGGTGCCCTGACTGGGAATCGAGCCGGAGACGCTCGGGTTCGCTGGCTGGCGTTCAACCCGCCGCAGCAGCCAGGGCTGAGTGAAATAAAGTGCAGCCGAGCTTTGTGATGAATTTGGAGCCATGCGTCGTTGGGAGCCGCCACGTGGAAACCCCGGCAGCCGTGGCCCCAGCTGGCTGACGGCTGCAGTGGGCGGGGCCCTCTTCCCGGGCCCTCGCACCGGCCCTCCCCGCGCTCCCCGGCACCGCTCCCAAGGGGGGCGGGGTGCTCCTGTTGGAGACCTGGGGGTGCGGCTGGGGAGAGCTGGTGGCCAGCGGGCTTTACCTCTCCCGCTCCCCTCCTCTCCTAGGTGGTCGAAGTAGGGCACTTTTGGGGGTATAGAATCGATGAAAAGAACGCCGCGGTTCTGAAGAAGCTCACTGCTGAGATAAACCGCCTGAAGCTGGTTCCCTTGGCCGTCCACCCACACCCAGACCTGGTCTGCCTGGCGCCTTTTGCCGACTCGGATGAGCCGAGCTACTTCAGGGCGCAGATCCTCTACGTGTCCGGGGGCTCCGCAGAGGTGTGCTGGCCGCGGCGCCCTGCGGGGGCGGATGGGCGCGCGGGTTGCCGTCTTCCCTGACTCAAAGTGGGGGTTAAATAGCACGTAATCACGTTTGGAAAAGTGGCCGGGGAGAGCAGACCTCTCCCTCAGTGACCAGCGCGGCTCGGCAGCGAGAGTCCCATGGTGCCGGGGGGAGCGGGGGCAGTGGTGACACAGTGTCCCCACCGACGGGGCCTTCGTCCCCTGCTAGGTGTTTTTTGTAGACTACGGCAACAAGTCTCACGTCGACCTGGATCTTCTGATGGAGATCCCCTGCCACCTGCTCGAACTCCCGTTCCAGGTACGGCCGGCTGGCCCCTGCGCTGTGCCCGGGAGCGCAGGCTGGCTCCTGGGGGTCATGGGGGACTTGCGTAGTTGCTTGAGCCATGTTGGGGTCCCCCCACTCGATTCCAAAATATAGGTTGCCATAGTCGTTTTTGCCAGTGTTGCTTTCGGAGTTGAAATACACGGAGGGCTTCACACTGTAAAACTGTCTGGTCCTGTTGAAGGAGACAGGCTGGGTGGGCCAGGGACTGGCCGACGCGGAGCCTTCCCGACAGGACGGAGACGGGCAGGGGCCGCTCTGCTTGGCCACTGCCGTGGGACCGCAGTGGCAGGGGCCTCCGAAGCACCTCACCCAGCCCCGGTGGTTGGCCGTGGGGCTGGCGTGCTGGGAGCTGGGTGGGGCGGGGCGGGCGGGCGGCCGTGCCTGGGCTCCGTCACCATCACCGACAGCCGGCCCCGCCCCCTGCCCGCAGGCGCTGGAGTTCAGGGTCTGCCGGCTGCGCCCGTCGGCCTGGTCCCTGGTGTGCGGGGAGCACTGGAGCAGCGGGGCCAGCCGGCGCTTTGCCGCCCTGGTCAGCGGCCGCGTGCTGCTCGTCAGGGTCTTCTCCGTGGTGCACTGCGTCCTCCACGTGGACGTGTACCTGTCCTCGGGGCTGCGGGACGTCGTCAGCGTCAGGGACGTGCTCATCGCCGAGGGCCACGCCGAGCTGGCGGAGGAGTGCTACGAGTCGAGGGTGCGTGCGGGTCCGCGCAGTGGGGGCGGGGAAGGGGCGGGGCACGGTTGATGTCTGCCAGGGTCCTTCCAGGCTAAACATAGTGACTGGGTGGTGGCTGCTGGTTTCCTGGTAGCAAGCTGTTTTTTTTCTTCTTGGAATGGAAATAAGATATGAAAATGTTCTCTGGGGTTTTCCGATGGGTTCCCGGCTTTAGCTCCTTGGTGTGAGTCATCAATAAAAGATTTGTTACTGGCGTTTCAGACGTTTCAAAATGCCTTTGAGCTGTTGCTTTCAGAATGGGCTCCGCAGCTGTTTTTCTTGGTCTGAGGCTCCAAGGTGCCACTTTTGAGGCTGCTGTGCAAGGTCGTGGGGGGCCAGGCTCGGCGGTACACATAGGTGCGCGAGAGCCGCTGAGTGCTGTTTCCACGCACGGGGAGCACTCCCGGGTCCTGGGGACGGTCCCCGTGGGGAGCCAGTGTTGCGTTTACAGGGAGTCCCTTGGAACTCCCTCGCAGTCAGTTCTCTGACGGCTGATGGGTGGAGACCTTAGGAAGCCCGTCTGACTTTTGTCTGAATTTACAATGCATTGGACAAAGTCACCTCCTGACACCTGAATCACCGGGAGATCAGCTAAGAGAAAGGTCGTGCCTGAGAAAATACTTCGATTCATTTGGAATAAAGGGCTTTTAATACAGTTTTAAAAAACCTTTATTGTGTTTTCCCCAGTACCACGTAGCCCCTTTATTCCCCTCTCCCCCTGCAACCCACCCCACTGGTGTCCTGGGTCCACGGGTCCTTTTTCCGTTTTGCTCAGCCCTCCACCCCCACCTGAGCTGTCCTCTGCGCTCCATCTGCGAGTCTCTCTGTTTTGCCTGTTAGTTCAGTTTGTTCATTAGATTCCCCACGGGAGCGCGCTCACACGGCGTTTGTCTTTCTCTGACGGGCTCAGTTCACTCGGCGGCGTGTTCGGCAGGCCCGTCCCTGCTCTCAGCGAAGATGAGACTTTTCCTTTCCGTGGCTGAGCAGTGCTCCCTTGTGCTAACGGCCCCTGTTGTTCCATCCCCTCGTGCACCGGTGGGCACTTGGGGAGGTTTTTTTGTAAAAGGAAGTTTTCTCATTTTGTTCAGCAAAGCCATGAAGTTCTGAAGGGGCTCTTTTCCAAATCGGGAGAAGGCGTGACCGACGTGTGCGTGCCGTCCCCGGGGAGGGACAGTGAGAAGCGCCTGATCCGGGTCTTGTTGGACAGCTTCGCCTCCAATAAGCTCGGGACCCCGAGCCACAAGGTACCGCCCTTGGCTTGTCTGCCGACACCCGCGCGCCGCGCTCACGCCATCCTTCCGGCCTCGGGCCGAGCCTTGCGCAGCGTGGTGCAGCTGAGGGAGGAGCCCGTGCTTGTCCTGGGGCTGTGCGGGGGTGGGCTGGCATGTGTGCCGGGGACAGACACCGAGTGAGCCTGGCTCCCTCCTGCCGCCTGGATGGGGAGGAGGGCCAGCCAGCACGTCCCCTCGCGGGCTGGTCACGGGCTGGTCACGGGCTGGTCACGGGCCACAGTGGTCGGGTGCTGCCGGGCGGCCAGAGACTCTGGAAACTCGTGGCATGAGAGGCTGGCGGCACCGTCGATGGCAGAGATGCGCCGTCTTCAGGGCACTGCTTCCCGCCAAGTCTGGAAGGCCGGCGCCTGAGGTGTAGCTTCTCTCTTTCCTGAGCGTGGGAGCCGACTTTGGATCTTCAAAGTGTTAACGTGACACCTCGCTGCTCGGTGACGGTGTGTGTTTGTGTGCACAGGCAGTGCTGCACGGGCCTTTCAACCCGTACGAGCTCAAGTGCCACAGTCTGACCAGGATCTCCAAGTTCAGGTATGGCTCGCTAAGTTTTACACGGAACTCTTCCCTGTGCCCCCGCGTGTACAGAGCTCGTCAGAGACGAGTCTCCTTTCCCTCTGGCTGTGGGCACGTGTTCCCTTCCCTAACTGCCGCCCTCTTCGCTGCCCCATGTGAATGCCACTCTGTGTGGGACGTTGGGGAGTATCTTTCATCCCAGAATCCTCCTCTCTGTCCTTGTGATCACCGTTGGTCGCTTGGCGAATGTGGGGCTGCCTGCTGTCCCTGGGGACGGCACGGCCTGGGGCATCAGCAGTGAGCAAAACGTAGTCAGCGTCCTCCCAGAAGTTGGGGGTCCAGGGCGGCGTTCGCAAGAGAGAGCGGTAACCACCGGGGAGGCTGACGAGGGTCTCGGCAGGGCCACGGGGCGCTGGGGCAGCACCAGGGAGGCCCCCGCTCGCAGAGGCTGTCCAGGGGAGCCGAGGCAGACGGGCGCGGAGGAGCTGGCCAGGCGGTGTGGCGGGAGGGGGCGCGGGTCCGGTGGAAGCGGCTGGCGGGGGCCGGGGCCCTCCCAGGGGAGCTGCTTGGAGAGTGGTGGAGAGTCAGCAGGGTGCACCGAGGCCGCAGAGCTGGTGCCGGGCTGAGGGGCGCCGGCGGAGGGGCTAGGGCAAGACCTTACTGTGTGCGTTGGACAGGGGCCCCTTTGGTGGCGAGGCAGACCCTGGCTTCCCGGTGCCCTGGGGCTCGCGGCGCAGGTGTCCCTGGGAGCCAGTTAGGAGTACAGAGCTCCGGCCGCCCAGGCAGCTGACCAAGCGCCTGCTGCTCCACAGGCCCCTGCGGACCTGTGGTTCGTTCGAGTCTGCACTGGATTTCGGGGTAGAAGGGTCCCTGGGAAGGAGCTCACGCCTCCAAGGCTGGCCGCGGTGTCAAGCCCGGAGCAGGGGGCGCAGAGACCAGGGCTTTCCCACAGCCGCTGGGTGTGGCATCCCCGGCAGCTCCTTGGGGGGAGCTGAGGACGCCCTCCTGGCCTTTGGGGCCTCTGCGGGGTGGGGGTGGCAGTGGGGTGGGGGCAGACCACTGAGTGTCCCCTGCATGCTCCGCAGCCGGCCTGGCGGGGGTGCAGGTGGTGGCCCCCACAAGTCGGGAGGAGGGGCAGAGACGGGGTGTTGTCTGCACATAGGTGGGCCTCGCGGCGTCGCGTGGGCATGAGCAGGAGGCAGCAGGGCCCCAGGGTGAAGGGGTGGCAGTCCAGGAGGGACGGGGGCGCAGAGGTCGCGGACAGTTGTGTTTCCGCCGCTCGTCAGGGCCCTGGCGCATGTGACCGCACCTCTGAAGGGGTCCGCTGCGGGGCGGGCATGGCACGGGGCCGGGGCGGCGCCGCAGTCTCCCTGCTGGCTCCTTGCAGGCGCGTTTGGATCGAGAAGGAGAGCATCAACTCGGTGGCCATCAGCGACACCCCCGAGGACCTCCACCAGCGGGTGCTGGTGGCAGCGTCCCTCTCCGTCAACGCCACCGGTGAGCAGGGGCCGCTCTTCGGGCGGGCCTTCCCGCCCGGCCTTAGTTGCTGGGCACGGAGGGTCCTGGAGTTCCAGGCACGTGGCTGGGTCCAGGCTGTCGCCTGCGGGACCGGCTGAGGCGGGTGGGAGGAAGGGAGCCCTGCCCCCTGCCTTCCACGCGTGGGTGCAGAGGCCGGCGGCTTGCCCCTCTTGCCCTCGCTCTGCCGCGTGCGGCCGTGAAGCGGGACCGGCCCAAGGTCTTGGTCCCAGACAGGCCCGCAGGCCGGATGAGGAGGAAGGGAGTGAGGGGACCAAGCAGAGGGCACCCGAGACGGCTAGAGGGTTGAGCGTGGAGGTGGGGTGCCTGTCTGCAGGGAGCTGTGGGAATGGGCAGCAGGGAGTGCTTCGTTGTGGGGCTGCCCGGGGGGCCAGGCCAGCAGAGGAGCGGCCCCCTGGGGCGGGGGGATGGTCTGCCCAGGGAGTTACCCATGGGACCTGGCCTCTCACCGGCTGACTGCAGGGTCCACCATGCTGCTGAGAGAGACCTCCCTGCTGCCGCACGTCCCTGGGCTGCCGGCCCTGCTCAGCATGCTGTTTGCCCCGGCGATGGAGCTGAGGTGCGTATGTGTCACCCCGGCTGTCGTGAGGGGGTGCCTGGGGAGAGACGGGCTCCCCTTCCCTCCCTCCCTCCTTTTGGAGAAAGCCCCGGGCCCCTCCCTGCATTGGGGTGGCTGGCGTGGCCTCTCCGAGTACCGTGCGTCTGATCGGACTCGCTAAGGAGGAGGCCGGGGGAGCGCGTACGGGGCCACATGGGGCCACACAGGAGCTCGAGCGGCATCTGCTCAAGGAAACGGGGTGAGGCCTGAGGCCTGAGGTCCAGAGGCCGTGAGGGCAGCCTCACCGCTGCGGGTGGGCCGTGAGCGTGGCTGTTGGGTTTCTGGCAGCCGGTCGTCGGCAGGAGGCCTGGTCAGTGCCGCTCCGGGCAGTGGCTGTGAGGGGAGACGACAGCCCGCTCTGCCCCCGGCCGCTGTTTTGGTGCCTGGGACCACCCAGGCGCTGGAGTGCGGAGAGCCGTGTGTGCGCAGCGGCCTGCGGCGGGGCCTCGGCCGGCTCTCCCTGGACCGCAGGGCTCACGGAGCATCTTTCTGTGCATGTGGTGCCCGCTGCCTGGTTTGCGGGGGTGGGGGTGGGGTCACTGGGGAAGGGACCAGGCCTGGCCCCAGGGAGCCCCCATTCTGGGGGCAACATAGACCAGGTGACTGTGACACACCGAAGTGAGGCCTAGCGCCCATGCTCCCCAGGCGGCGGGCGGTGGGGCTGCGGACGGAGGAGCCTTAGACGCCCTGTCGAGTCCGAATCCCGATAGCGGGCTGCGGAGACCCTGCTGTGGGCTCCGCCCGGCCTGCCGTGAGGCCTCGTCAGGGTCGGCCGTGCAGTCTCAAGTGTTCAGTGCTTTTTTTCAGTTGTTCTTTTTTTCTCCACTGAAACATACGTGCACTTAGAAAAATCTAGAAAAAGTTGAATGAAAAAAATGAACATGATCATTTCTAAACATTCAATGTGTGTATTTCCAATGTTTTTACATGTATACGTTTTATCTTGTTAGGTTTTTGTCATAGTACATCTTTTCCCACAAACCCCAAGCGGGTTCGTATTTTCATGACACGCTTGTCAGTGCTCACTTAGGTTGCGCGTGACACGCAACAGCCCGTATGAACGGCCTCGTCTCGGACCCGACCTCTCGCGAACTTGGGTGGTGGGGTTTGCCGCCTCTGGCTGTGCCGTTGTGACATGATCACACCCCCGTGAACACCCAGTCTCCCGCGTGGGCCTCCTGGAAGCCAGCGTCGCCCTGGGCGGAGGCGGGGACGTGCCCGGGACACACCCGGGGACACACACCGACCTCCCTCGGGGCCTCTGACAGCCGGCCCATGTTTTCGGCTGGGCCAGGCCTGCTTAGCACTCTCTTAAATGGAAGCTCTTAGAGGATGTGAGCAACCGCGTGTTATTTTTAGATCTCCAAAGTGGAACTAGTTCAGTTGCTGACACTCAAGAAGTTCGGGGTAATTGTACTGCAAATACCATCTTACTAGAAAAAGAGCTGAGGAGGAGGAGGCGGAGCTTCTCTCAGAGCTGACGCCCGGCACTCCCGGGGCTGGTTTACAGGGCCAGCGTGGGGGGCCGCTGAGCCTGCGGGGCTGCGCCCACGTTCTGGCCACCACCCCCCTGCCCCCCGTCATGCAGGGTTTGACTGCTGCGTCGGCTGCAGCCGTCTGCGGGCGGGCACCTTCCTCGTGCCCAGACGCGCGGCCTCTGGTGGCCGGGCAGCGCAGGTGGGGCTGGGGCTGCCACGGGCCAGGTGTGCCTGCAGGGACAGCTTGGCCTCGTGGGCCCGCAGCGCCCTCCACCCGTGGCCTGCCTCTCGGGCTCCGCCTGCGGGGAGCGTGCCCAGCGCAGCGCCAGCAGCCTCCAGCCCCGGGGGCGGTCCGCCGGTGGCCGCTGCTGCGGAGAGGCTGCATGGTTCTCTGTGAGAGGCACGGTCCATGGCCTCTGGGTCTGTGCCCATCCAGTCACAGCTGATGGCAACTTGAAATCTGCAGGAGTGGGAGGAAAGAGAGAGAAGTGAAGAATTGAAGTGTGACGTTTCATTAGCATTCACAGAGGAGGAGATCCGGTGGCCCCCCGCTGGCCAGCAGAGGCCCGCTGTCCCCGCTCCCAGCCCGGGCAGCCCAGCTTCTGTGTCCAGCCACTCGCTGGTCTGCGGCACCGAGCCTCCCTCCATGCTCCGCTGGTCGCCTCAGGCCCCCCGCCCCGCCCCGGGCCCGCTCCTCCGTGCCGGCCGCTGTCGGCCCCGTGTCCTCCCCGTCGGGCCGGCATGAGGTCCGTGCGAGAGGGGCCTGCCTGCGGGGCTGGCTGTGCAGCTTCAGCGGGTCCGCAGGGCCCTGGTCCAGCCTCCAAGGGCGGGTGGCCCATGAACTGGCATCTCCACACCACAAAGGTCTGTCAGGTAAAATGGTAAAAAATGGAGAGTGGATTTGCAGGGGATTTTGCTACTGTTTGTTTCCCTTGCCGTGGCTGCAGAGCGGTTCCCCCAGAAGCCCTTGTCATGCCGCAGGCGAGACGCAGACGGGCCGAGGCAGCTGGTCTCTGCAGCCTCGGGGTCTCCAGCAGGAGCACCTGCAGGCCGGCGGCTGGTTCGGGCTGAGCCTCAGTGTCCCCACGTGGGGGCGGCCTCAGGCGGCCTCTGTGCGGGCTGTGTGGGCTTCCTCACGGCCTGGTGGCAGCTGCCCTGACAAGGACCCGCTGGAAGCCGTCTCCCGTTGGGACCGGCCGACCCGAGGCCCTTTCTGTGGACAAGGCTGTCTCCGCCTCAGGATGGCCGGACGCGGGGAGCTGTGGCAGGCCCCACATGGGGGTGTCGGGGGCAGGGGCGTGTGCCCGCCAGCAGCCCTGCCCCCCCACCCCGGCAGCGGGCTGGCCTGGGGGGGCCGGGCCGCTCCCGAGTGCACTCTCTGCGCCGCGAACCCCCTGGGCTCCCGCGGGCAGGCTCCCCTGCTGCTCCCGTGATCTCCGCGGCGTTCAGTATGCGGAGGAAGGGCGCCCCACGGAGGAAGCCAAGCGTCTCTGCGGTCTGAAGGACGGTGTCCTGGGCTCACATGGGAACCCCTGGAAAAGAACCAACTGCGGGGCTCTGGCTAGTGCTACCGACCGAAGATGTGGCGCAGACGAGCAGAGTGGCGGCGCTGGTGTGCGTCAGTCCGGGCCCGGCCTCTCGGGGCCGCCCGTGTTGACGAGCAGGGGTGGGCGCGGCGGGCAGGCTCCACCCCCGGCGGCCGTCACGCGGCGCCCCCGCCCACAGGTGAAGCAGCGCGTGTCCATCTCTGTGGGCCCTGGCCACCTGTCCATGGCGGAAAGGTTTCTGTAACGGAAATAGTAGCTTACGCTCAGTCCCTGACGTGCGGAGCTCCCCGCCTAAAGGGACGCTGGTGGCTGTCCCGTGGGGGAAGCGTCTCGCACGGGGCTCCTGCGTCTGAGCCCCGAGTCTCTTCTGGGTTGGTGCAGAGTGGGTCCTGCTCAGTTGTCATCAAGGGGAAAAAGAAGTGGGTGTGTGTGTGTCTTTAGAACTAAGAAGAACACTGGTTTTGCCGAGATTATTTCATCAAAACTTTATTGATTTAGGTGGTTGGGGGAAGGTCTGAGTTGATTAAGAGTCAAGGAAAATTAGCAAAAACGTTTTTAGAGGTCTTCCACATTGACGTCTGTTTCCTTCGTTTGTAATGATGTGTTGAGCCCAGGATGGGCCGTAGCTCTGGCATTTAAACTCGTGCCAGAACGCGAGAAAGGGTTTAGGGGGCAGTTCCCGCTGTGGGGGCGCCGCCAGGGGGCCTGGAGGGGCACTGCACGGGCCAGAGAAGGCAGCTCGAGAGAAGGCGGAGCCGCCGGCAGGCGTGGCACTGCCGCGGGCCTGCGGGGCTGGTGCTCACAGAGCTGGAGGAGGCCACGGTTGCCCCCGAGCAAGGCAGCGGGGCGAGCGGGTGGGTTTGGATGCTGACGCCCGCCATGCGAAATAGGCTGGAGCCCACGGGCGGGGAGGGACTTGCTGGCAAGCGGTGAGAGGCGGCGGTGTGGCCAGGTGGCGGCAGAGAGGGCGGCACCGACCGGGGACACCTGTGGAGACCAGGGGTGGGCACTGGAGCCCAGGGTGCGCCTGCCTCGCCCTGTGGGAGCCGCACAGCTAGTTTGGGGTGGGGGGTGCGCACACGCCGTGCAAGCCTCACTGAGCGCCGGGCCCCCTTCACGCACCACACGCATGTGCGTGGCCTGTTCTCCGGGAGTCCCACTGAGGGTGCGGTGTGGGGCGGTGTTCGGAGGCGGGCAGACGGCCGTGTGTGCTAGGAGTGTTTTTTACATTCTCTCGTCTGCCGCCATGAGAATTAGAACTCTTAAGTAGCAGGTTAGTAAAAATGTATAGTTTACAGCTATACATACTCTGTTATTTCTACTGTAAAAACTGGAAGAGGAAATGCAAAAATGGAACTGGTTGCCGCACGAGAGTCGGCAGAACTCAGGTCAGTCCCGTCCGCCTGCATGTGCAGCGGCGGGCGGTGGCTTGCCAGTGGTGAAACGTTCACTCTCCTCAAAACTTCGCACGCAGGGTTGACCGGGCTGGCAAGAGCTACACGGGGGTCCTCTGTGGCCTGGGGTGGAACCCAGCCACAGGGGCCCCCGTCCTGCCGGAGCACGACATCGAGCTCGCGTTCGACGTTCAGTTCAGCGTGGAGGACATCGTCGAGGTGAGGCCGACGGGCCCTGTTCTGCGCGGGCGCCACCTGGCCACCCGTCTGACCTCGCGCGGCGACGTTCCCCGGGGCCCCCGCGCCGCTGCCCTCCCCGAGCGGAGCTGCCTCTGCCTTCCGGGCCCGGCGAGCTCTCCTGGGCGATGGGCCAGGCCCTGGGGCGGGCAGCTGTGCATTCTGCCAGCTCAATCGGGCCGGGGCCAGGTCCTGCCCCGCCGACCCCGGGGCAGAGCACAGCTGGGCTGGCCGAGCTGACCAGGCTGTCCTGCAGCCCGAGGCCTGCGCTTCGGGGGAGGGGGCTCAGAAGCTGCAGCAGGTGGACCGGTGACTTCACAGCTTTTGAGCCTGACAGTGAGAAGTTGGGGCCCCTGCTTTGTGTGCTACTCTCCTTCAATTTCATTGTTCTCGTGATTCTGTCCCATTGCATTTTCAATAGCGGCGTGTAGCCGGCCCCTCACGCGGACAGGCTGTGCCCCAGGGCTCGTCCGCCGCTGTCCTCCGCGAGGTCCTTGGAGTGGTCGAGGCAGCGCCTGGCACGGAGGGAGGGGCTGCAGCGCTGTGCCAGGCCTCTGCATCGTGTGCTGCTGATTTAGCTCAGCTCCTTCCGCGTGGAGAGCTTTAGGCTGAAAAATAACTCCTTGGATAATAGACCAAATTGTGAAACGTAAACTACAAAACTTCCAGAAGCAAGTAGAGGAGAAAAATCTGTGCAGCCTTGGATTTGACGAGGCGTCTGTAGATGTAACAACAAAAGCTTGATCTTCTGTGAAAAAATAATTGATGAGTTGGATTTATCAAAATTAAACTTGCTTTGCAAAGGACTGTTAAGAGGATGGAAAAATAAGGTGCACATTAGAAGGTATTTGCAAATCATGTATCTGATAAAGGACTTATACCCGTAACATGTAAAGAACTCTGGAACTTGGTATAAAACAAGCAGCTGAATCAAAATACGGACAGTAGCGAGCAAGCGACGAGATGCTCAATGTCACATGTCGTGGGGAAAAGGCAAGTTCAGACACCGTGGCCCACCTGCACACCCGTGAGCGGCTGAACTACGGACAGCTGCAGCGACCGGCACTGGCACGGCCTGGCACCCAGGAGCTCCATCCTCTGCCACGAGGCCCAGCCCGGCATCTGTCCCTGGGATTGGAAAACTGGCATCTGCGTGAAACCTGTGTGGGGCGGTGAGCCCTCTGTGTGGGGCGGCGGCGCAGGAGGGGCGACCGGGAGGCGCAGGCCACCGAGTGAGGGAAGCCAGGGCCAGGCCTCCTCGCGGTAGGACTCTGCTCACATGGCTTCCTGGCAGAGCTCAGCTCTGGGGACAGATACAGAGCAGTGGTCACGGGGCAGGAGAGTGACCGCTGACACGGCGAAGCAGCCACCTCTGTGGCACCTGGCGGCAGGGGTACGACTCCACGCATTTGTCGAACCCGCAGAGGGTGCCTATTGAAGGAGGGAGACTCAGCGTGTGTGATCAGCACACCCCGCACCCCCACCAGCAACAGCTGCCCTGCGTGTGGACAGCGCCCGGGAAGGACTGGGGGTAGGGTGGCTGCCGCCACCGACACCTGAGGAGCCTGGCGGGGAGCCGGCTGCTCCCAGGCTGCTCTCCGTGTGCCTGCGCTGCACACAGAGCTGGAGGTGGGAGCGAGTGTCTCGCTGGGTCCGTGGGAAGGAAGCTAGAGGGGCCGCTGGGCACGCAGGTGTTCTGGCCGTGCGCGTATTGGCGAGCTCGGGAGGCCTGGAAACAGACACCGAGGGCCAGGGGCAGGCCCAGTGTCCAGGCTGTGGTTTCTGATAGGATTTTTCCAAGGCTCTTGACGTTTGTGGTGAGGCTGGCTGGGCCTGGGCCGGGAGAGTCCAGGATGGGCCTGGCGCGTCTTGTGCCAGAAAGTAAGGATGGGCTCAGAGAGCAGGGAGGCAGCGGGGAGGGCTCTAGCCACAGCGGGGCAAAATAAAACTTAATCCGTACTGGGCTCCAGCTAGAGTAGGGAATGACGTCTGCGTGTCCATGGGGTATAAACGGTGGGAGAAGCAGATGGGAGGCGGAGGCCCAACTCCGTACAGAATCCCAGCAGCACATGCCGGTGCCCCGCCCTGAGGGCGGACTGGACTTGGTGTCCCGTGGGGAGAGGGAGGAGGGTTTCACGGTGGGGGAGCCGGGCAGGCCCCCAGCTCGTGACCCTAATGTGCTGAGCGCGCGCCGCACCTCTGTGGGGTTCTCCCCAGAGCCCGTGACCCCCTCTGAGCATGAGAAGGGCCTCACGCAAACCAGGCTCTGGACCAGGACCCAGGGCAGGACACGAAGCTGCTGGGGCGCGTCCCAGAGCAGAGGAGCCTGGGGGACACGCCGCCAGGGACAGCGCAGGGTCTGCCCTGATGGGACCCTGGGATGGGAAGGGCCCAGGAGAGGAAACGACTGCATCCATCCTGACGCGCCCGTTGGAGCCTGTGCCGTGGGCGCGGGGCGTCCTGCCTGCCTGTCCGACGACTGTCCTCGCCGCTCCCCTGTGGCGCCCGGGCCGGGGGGGCGGCCGGCGAGCCTTGGCGGGGTGCTCCTCGGGCCCCGTGCAGGCGTCAGGCAGCGAGGGGGTGCACGACCCGGGCGGAGCAGTCGAGGCCCCCGCGGCAGGCTAGGCCCTGAGGTTTGAGGCTCAGAAAGGTGCCCGACTGCGAAGTGGGAACCTTTCTTGCAGGTTTTTAATGTTTTCTTTGTTTCTGAAGTTACAATGGTGGTTATCAGTGTCTGGTGGTGTTTCAGTAATTTGCTCAGAGGCCACATTGATGGTGGCCGGGAGCGCCAACACCCCTGAATTGTTTGGATGCGGAGTGACGTGAGGTCACGGTAGAACCACGAGCATGTGTCTGTTGCGTTTGTTGCAGATAAACATTCTCAGGGCCGCTATCAACAAGCTCGTCTGCGACGGACCGAACGGGTCCAGGTACCTCGGGCCGGAAAGAATCGCGCAGCTACAGGACAACGCCCGACAGAAGCTCTTGGGGTGAGTGTGCCGTGCAGGACCTCGCCTCCCACCAGTCCCCTCAGAGCCCCACGGGGGCAGGGCGCCCGGCCAGGCGCCCGCTCACCAGCCAGCCCCTCTGCCCTGCGTGCCCCTCAGCCCCGGACATGGGCTCGTTCTAGGGAAGGGGACAGAGGCACCCTTTCAGAGGGCACGGGCAGGGCCTGGGGAGGCCACTGTGCACACAGGGCCCACGTCAGGGGCTGGGGGGAGAGGCCTGCAGGCTGAGAGCGGCCTCTGTGGAGCCTCCCCAGGGAAGGAGGCCGGGAGCACCTGACCCTCCACCCCCAGTGGGACTCCCGGGGGCCCGGGCAGGTGTCCTGAGGGCAAGGCGCTCAGGGTTGAATCCTTCTAGCAGAATCAGCCCTGGCTGGCGCAGCTCAGGGCACCCAGCGCCAGCCTGCAAACCACAGGTTGCTTGCTAGTTCAGTTCCCAGTCCGGGCACAGGCCTGGGCTGTGGACCAGGTCCCCACTTAGGGGTGTGCGAGAAGTAAACTGATCTGTTTCTCTTCTCTGTTCCTTTCCCTTTCTCTAAAAATAAAATTAAAAAAGAAAAGTGGAACCCTTTAAAAAAATCACAGCAGTATTTTCAGTTACTAATGTTTCTTTAGGGTGGCTTTTGTTTTTTAAAATTGTAGTCTGTTCTGTCAGTTGAAACCAAGAGAGACAATTGTCCCCAGGTGGCACGAAAAGCCGTATGAGTGGAACCAGGTGAGTGAGCAGCGGGGGCGGAGTGAGCAGCTGGCCAGCGGCGCCTGTGGCAGCAGGCCACACGGCACGCGCCACCTGCTCAGCAGGCGGGCGCGGGGGTGTTCCGGGGCGAGTGGGGACGGCACGGGCTGGCTGGCGGGGTGTGGACGGCACGCACTTGTCGCACCCTGTGTGGCCCTGTGGGACTGGATACAGCAGGCGGGGCCCCGGGCCGCCTGTGGCTGTCCCTGCAGTCTGCCGGGCTGCTGTGACTGTGCTCCGTCCCCGGGCGGCTGGGAGGCAGGGGGAGAGCTCTGGCCCCTCTCCCTGTGAGGGCGCGCACCCCCACCCAGGCCCTCCGGCGGCTGCGCTGGCCCTGGCTGCCCTCCCGGTGGCATCCCACCGGGGGCTGGGGCCTCAGCGCATGTGCCTGGGGACGTGGCTCAGCCCAGAGTGGCGTGGACCAGGGCCTGGCCGCGTGGGCCTTCACGCTTCCTCCCTGTGGGGTCGAGAAAACTGAGTAAAATTTGCCTTCAGGGGAAAGACGGGGTGGGGCGGGGGGGGGGCGGGGAGAATGTTAAGCTTTAATTCTAGAGCCAGGGACGCCTTTCCAAGGGAGCCCGCTGGCGGCAGCTCCGCGTCCGTCACTGCTCAGGGAGCGCGTCCGCCCAGCCCCGGGTGGAGGCTGCCCCGCGGTGACAGAGCCCTGGGGGTGTCCCGCAGGCTCCGGTGTTTGAAGCTACGAGCAGAATTGTGTTCGGGGGCTGGTGCTCCAGGAAACCTGGGCGCGGGGAGTACCCTGACGGCGAGGGGGCGGGGCAGCCCGTGGGAGCTGCCAGCCTGTCCCAGCGGCAGGAGCAAGTGCTGGGAGAGCTCTCTAGCCAGTGTTTGGACAGACTTGCATACAGCTTTTTTGTTTTGTCTCTCTCTGCCCTGGTGGTGAGCCTGACGGACCCTCTGTGCCCTAGGTGGACCCGAAGCTGGTCATGGAGCAGGCGGAGCGGGAGGGCGGCTGGGGCAGGAACACCTCCCTCTACCAGCTCCACAGGCTCGTGGTCCTCAGCCCCTAGGGCGCCCACCGCGGCCCTGCCCCGCTCGTGCAGCCCGGCCTGCGTCCCGCCCGCTCGCAGTGGCTGCACCCTGGCTCCTGGCTCTCGGTGGGGGCTGGACGGCCATCCTCCTGTTGGGTGGGGAGGACTGGGGGCTGAGTCTCTTCCAGGACAGGAAGCCACGGCACTGAGCGTGCGGGGCAGCTGGGCCGAGGGCCGCGTGGGCCGGGAGCGCCCCCAGCGCCTGGGGTCCTGCTTGTCCTGGTGGGCGCGCCAGCAGGCCCACTGCCGCACGGCCCCAGCTGCGTGTGGCCAGAACCGTGCGGGATTTCCTCATTCTTTCTTCATGAGGGAAAATGTCTAACTTTGGTAAAACTAAGTTCCGTTTTGTATGCTTTAGGTTTGTACTTGTTTTGATTGTTCACAGTTTGGAAATCAGAGAGATTATCGGGCATCCAGCGTATCTGTTGAGACAATAAAAGCATTCGACTAAGTTCCTGTTTCTGGCCATTTTTAGTCAGGTGACTGGAATGTGTTTTATCCTAAAAATCCCAAACCTATAAAACCGACGAGGAACAGAGGCCTCTTTTTCACAGCTGCCCCTGTCGGAGAGCAGAGCCCGGGGACCGTGGTGGCAGTGGGAGAGGCTGAGCCAGCACATGCCCGGCAGGGGCAGGCGAGGGCCTCGGAGGCCTGTGAGCCAGCGTGTGAGGGAGCACACGCCACATGCGCGCCTTCTGCTGACGCACGGTCCTCTGTGCGGGGCCCCGAGACCAACTCTGGCCGCGGCGCTTCCCTGGGCGGCAGTGGCTGGCAGCCCCCACAGCGGGGCTGGAGCACAGCGAGTGGGCGCACAGGCCCGTCGGTGCAGGCCTGGGGCGGAGGCCTGGGGGGCAGGCGCACACGTCCCGGGGGCTGCGCCGGTAAGGCCGCGCGGCAGGCCGACAGCGGCTGGCCCCTCACACCTTCTGGCCCGTGTGCTGACGTTCCAGACTCCGGGTCCTGCGGGGCCCATGCTGTCCTTCTGAAGAGTTCAGGCACAAGGAGCCCCTTGGGGACGGGCGGGAGCCCTGCCGATGGCCAAGCTCCCCAACACTGGCTGGGGGCCAGCCTCGCGAGCAGGCCCTTCAGCCCAGTGCTGGGCCCGCCGCCTGTGCCCTCTGCGCCACCTCGAAGACCCTCTGCTGTGATGAGGCGCAGTGGCCCCTTGAACAACACACGCTCCGAACACGCAGGCCCGCATGCGTGCAGGTGGTTTCAGCAAATACTGTGCTTGTTTGGCGTCCATGGTTGGCGGCCTGCGGGTGCCGAGGGGCGACTGTGTGGTGCTGCGCACAGCGTGAGCGTCCATGGGCCTCGGGGGCCCATGGGGGCCCATGGGGGCCGGGGGGGTCCTTGGGCCCATCCTCTCCGAGGCGGGGGGTCGGCCAGCTTTCTCGGGAGTCGGGAGCTCGGGCAGGTGTCGGACTGCGAGCGCGGCGTCAGGGTGCCCACGCTGGTCCGCAGGGCTTGGCAAGGCTCCTGGGCACAAGCAGAGAAACGGCCACCGCCGTTCCCCAGCGTGGCGGCCCTGGCCGGGGAGGCGCTCTGTGCGTGGGGACAGACACGTCGGAGGGCGGGCACAGGGCCTGCGCCCGCCTGAGGAGGCGGGTCTTGCCGAGAGGCGCAGCCGGGCCAGGCCACCGTGGAGGTGAGCGCAGTTCCAGCCGGGGTCCTGGCGGGGCTGCCCCTTGGCGTCGGGTAAAGGTGCCTAGAGGTGTGTGTGCACAGGCAGGTGCCCAAGGCCTGGGGGCGTCAGTGCCAGGGCCCTGCTAACGCGGACACGGGCGGCCAGAACAGGTGAACCGACGGGAACAGGGGTGATGGCTGTAGGTAACAACTTCGTTTGGCAGGAGATGCCACAGCCACTCAACAGGTGGGGAAATTCTTGGGACACAGGTGGCAAGGGCTTAACGTGGGCCATACAGAAGCCCTTCCCAGATAAGAGCAGCAGCGAAACAAAAACAGGACGACGAATATGGCTGGGTGGCCCGAAGGAGGACCCATTCACGCGGCCAGGGAACACGCAGACGTCCCAGTTCCCTGGCATGAAAAGAGCCTCGTAGCCGTGTCACTTGTTGCGGGGGTAGGGAGGGGAAATGCTTCCATGTTGCGGGTAAGGTCGCACGTGTTCCAGCTTCTTGGAAACCAGTCTGGCAACATCTGTGAGAGCCGGAAACAGCCCCCTCCCGCCACTCGGCTGTGTGAGGACCGCAGCTTCGGTGCCGCAGCAGGAGGGGCTGCGCCGCCCACCCTGGGGTTAGCCGTCCCTCCGGGAGCAGGGCGGCCGGGGAAGGCGGCGTGGCAGCCGCCGCTGCCCTGCAGGGGCGTCCTCCAGGCACGGCGTCTAGGAGCAGGAAGACACGGGAATGCTGCCTGCTTTTAAAACCATTAATCCCCTTCCCCCCTCACACAGAGCGTGTGTGTGTGTGTGTGTGTGTGTGTGTCGGTGGGATCCAGAGCACAGAGAAAAAAGCATGGGAGGACACACACTCCATGATGACCCCTGTCGCCTGGGTAGAGGCATGGGGCGGGTCTTTTCCTCTTAGACACCTTTCCTGCCGCTTCCCTGGACCACAGACCTGATGGCTGGAGCTTCTGCAGCCGTCGTCAGCCTTGAGGGAAACCACCCCCAAGCAGTGGCAGAATCTGGGTCCTCTCCGCCGCAGTGCCAGCCCGCTAGCCCACCCCCCGGCTGCCTGCTGTCAGATGGACTGCCTTTACGTGAGGGGAATGTCCTTTTCAAAGCCTCCTTTATTTTTGGTCTGTATTACAAGCAGTGAAACATAGTTGCTTTTTGATACAGTATATACTTTCTAAAAAGTTAGAAAGCCCTGGTATAGATCAGTGGATTGAGCGTCAGCCTGCGAACCAAAGGGTTGCCGGTTCGATTCCCGGTCAGGGCCCAGGCCCCCAGGAGGGGGTGCAGAGACAACCACACATCAGTCTTTCTGTCCCCCTCCTCCCCCTCTGTAAAAAAAACCTTACAGAAAAAGTAAAACAACATCAACTGCCTGGAGGACGCACAGCGGTTTCCCGGGCACTCGTGCTTGGCGAAGGGCCCTCCCCGCCGGGAAGGTGCCCCGTCCTGGTCCTGACAGTGAAGACCCAGGCGCCGAGGGGCCCCGGGTGCTCTGGGTCGCGCCCTGCGCGTGCCTCTGTCGGGGTCCCGATCGTAGGACGTGATGGGAGAGGGCATTTTTCAGTGAAACAGGAGGAAATGTCGTGAACGGAAGTGGCGCAGCGTGAAAGGCGGTGGGCCCTGTGTCCGTTGGCGGAACCTCGCCTGAGGGTGAGCTCTGGAAGACCTGGAGTCAGAAGCTGCAGAGCATCTCTTACGTTAGCTCTCCGGCCTGGGTCTCCTTTCAGGAGGAGCTCGCTCTGTAGGCCCTGCGAGCGCCGTGCCGGAGCCGGAGCCGCGTCCTCCTGGTGGGCGGAGAGGTGGCGGCGGCGCCGGCGGCGGGGACACACTGCCACCTAGCCCAGTCCCTCAGAAGTGCAGCCTTTGCCTCCGCCGCAAAACCAGGTTCCCCCCTGTGAGCTTGCAAACGACCAGCCATCGGGAACGCTTTACACAGGAAGAAAAAGGTGGGAAATATGGAGAAGTTTTGACAAAGCAGAACCCCCGATTTTGTACAAACATTTTAATGAAGAATTTGGAGAACTGTTACATAAGTGGTGTCTATATGTTACTGGTAGTTCACGTTTATTCAGGAACGGCTTTTAGTGGACGCGAACCCTGAAAGACATGGGCAGGTCAGGCGGCTCTAAAGGGAAGGCGCTCTTCCCCGTCTCAGGCCGTGCGAGGCCTCCGTTATGCCCGGGGCTGAGTCCCAGCTCCGGGAGCTCCGAGGAGCCCCGCAGGGCGCGGCCGCGGCCGCCTCTGCCCTGGGGCGCCCGACGGCTCTGCAGTTCGCCAGGGCCCCAGCATCTGAGCCTGCGCACGGGGGCGTGTCCCAGCTGCTGCCGAGGTCACGGGAGGGAAGCCTTCCCGCGCCCCCCCGACCCCCGTGGGCTGCGTTTGCCCCCGCCAGGTTTCTGAGCTTCATCCTTGGTCCGCTGTGCTCCTGAAGGGCGCTGCACCTGCCCTCAGTCCGGCCCACAGTGAACGAAGCTGCTCCAAACAAGTCTGCAGACAGACGATTGCCCTTCTCTTGGGTCACAGCCGGACAGGTGGGACCGCTGCGTCCTCAGCCCGGGGCGGTGTAAGTCTGCCCAGAACTGGCCCATTGTCCAAAGTGACTGTGGCGCTTGCGCGCCCTGCTAAGTGGAGCCCCCCGCGGCGGCGCCTGGCCCCGGTGCGGAATGCCAGGCCCTGCCGGCAGAGGCCGCTGCAGCGGGCGTGGCGGCGAGGGGTGAGGCCCCCGTCGCGGCACCTCCCGCGCGCCCCTTGGGTGGCAGCTCTTTGTTTACTCCGGATACAAGTCCTTTGTCGTATCAGTTTTGTGAACACTTTCGTAGTCTGTCTTGCCTATTGAGGAAAACCGCAGAATTTACCGTCTTTAACTTTTTTGTAAGTGTTTTACCACTTTGTTGATTGTGTCCTTTGATGTACAAAACTTTTCAAGTTCGACGTTGTTCCATTTGCTTTAGCTTCTGTCGCCGGTGCTTCGGCGTCACACCCAGTAACGCATCGCCAAGTCCGCGCCCCGAGAGGCGGTTGTGGCAGCGCTGCCCACGAACAGGTGCGGTCGGAGTGGAGCGAGACAGACGGCAGCCCGGCCTCCCGCAGGCCCCAGCGGGGCGCTCAGCGCCCCCACCCCCCCGGGCTCTGGCGGCTCCGTCAGGCTGGCGGCGAGGCTGCCAGGGACGGGGCGGGCAACTGCCGGGGCGGGGGTGTAGCCGGGGGCCGCGGCAGGCACAGAGGGGCCCAGCCGCGACCCCGCGTTCCGGGGCGCCCCGGACCCGGGCGCGGCGCTGAGGTCGGGGAGGGCGGGACCGAACCCCTCCTGACTGTGACCCGGAAAGCCGAGATTCGGACACAAGCCGCCCGCGGTCACGCTCAGGAGGCGGAGGCCTCAGGGGGGGCCGGCCCGCGCGTGCGGGCTGTGCGCCTTCGTCACTGCGGCCCCCGCACCCTCGCTGGGGCTCCTCCGCCCGCGGGAGGGACGCGGCCCGCTGGGCAGCGGAAGGATCGCGCCGCCACCCCAGTGCCGGCGCGGCTCACGGAGAATAAAGTCGGATGCGGGCCGGCGGCTCCGTCCAGAGGCGGCGCCGTGCCCCGGGGCTCCCGCGGCCTGGGCTGCGGGCGTCCGCACTGGGTCCGCCAGCGTCGAACCTGCGCCGCGCGCTCCCCGCGGGCTCTCGCCCCGGGGGTTGGCTCCCTTCGGGGACGGGGCGGCCTGGGGCCTCCGCCCACCCTCGGCCACCCCAAGGGGTGGACACCGGGCCAGGCAACAGCGCGGGCGCCCGGGTCGGAGGGGCACTGGAGCCTCCAGCCCGAGCTACGCCCCAGTGGCTGCCCCGCCCCCGGACAGGACGCCCCGCCCCAGGCCCCCGCCCACCCGTTTGTCCTGCCCACATGCTCTTTCTCCTGCCCTCAGTCCCCGAGGTCCCGTGGGGTCGCCGCGCCTCTCCCAGCGCCCACCGCCTTCTCCGGCCCCCGGCCCCCGACCCGACATGGCGCGCGCGGCGGGGCCCGAGCGGCGGCTCCTGGCCATCTACACGGGCGGTACCATCGGAATGCGGAGCCAGAGCGGCGGTGAGTCGGCCTCTGGGCGCGCCGGGTGGCCCTCGCGCTGTTCCGCTGTCCCGCGGCCGCCCGCCGCACCCCGAGCCCTCTCGGCTCCAGTAGCCGCCCGGGAGGGCAGGCGCAGCACGCCGGCAGCGGCCCGCCAGCCCCGGGGGCCCGGTGCCCTGGGCGCCGTGGGCCGGAGGCCGCCAGAGCACCTGTCTCGCCGCTTCCCGACCGGCACGCCCGCGGGCAGGTGCTTAGGGGGCCAGACTCACCCCTGGGACCGCCCGGCGGCCGCAGTGCGACCCGCCTAGGCGTCCACTGCCTGTCTCCAGCGCCGGGCCGCCCCGAGGGCTCTGTCCCCTCCGGGGATGCATTTGCTCACATGCAGGTGGCTTTGGGGCATGGGGCCCCCTTAGTTTTCTCTTCCTCTGTGGTATCGGCCTCATCGGAGCCTGGAAGGGGCGACTGCTCTGCGTGGGGGCGAGGGTCTGGGCCGGCACCCGGTCCACAGGCTGCTGGGGCAGGGGTGCCGCCTTCATGGAGGGACCCAGTCCGGGGGGCCTGGCGCCCCACAGGGGCGAGGGGGGCCCCAGGACGTCCCTGCATTCCCAGGACAGCAGGAAACTGCAGGTGCCTCCCACAAGGCTGCTCTCGGCGGCCGGGGAGCCCCCGCCCGCCCGCCCCAGGTGGGCCCAGTCACCCCCTCAGCCACCTCCGTGAACCCCCGTCTGCTCTTTCGCTGTCCACGCGTCAGCCGTGCCCAGAGAGTCCCGCTTCCCAGGGGCGCTGGGCCTTCTCCCTCCCCTGCTCCCTCCGCTACCCCAAGTGCCAGCCACACTGGGGCACCTTCCTGCCCGCACCCCCTCCCGGCTCCCCTCCCCAGCGGGCAGCCTGGCCTCTCCGTCCCTCAGGACTACCCCAGCTCCTGCCCCTGCCCGACGTCCAGCAGAGAACTCTCTCCCTTGCCCTTGTCAAGGGGGGGAAGGGCCCCTTCCCCTTCTGTCCTCTTACCCAACCCCTTTCCACTGAAGCAGCTCCTCACACACCCTCCGCTCTCTGACAGCTGCTCCTCCGGGCCGGGCCCCTGTCCCTCCACCTCCCGCCCCCAGGGGACTTTCGGGAGGCCCACTGTGTGCGGGGCCCCAGGACCCAGAGCCGTGTGGAGCCCCATCCTGGCAGGCTCGGACGCCGGCCACCCCAGCTGGTGGCTGTGCCGGGGCTGCCGGGCCCCAGTCGCCTGCTACGGCACCTCTCACGTGTCTGACCAGCGCAGCTTGCCAGTTGGTGAATGCACCGCGGGCCCGTGCGGCGCTCTACCCGCCCTAAACCAGCAGCTGCTCCGGAGTGAGGAGCGGGTCCCGGGGCCGCCGGCTGCGGGACCGCGGGGCTGCGGGCGCCTGATGGCCGACCAGGCGCCTGTGTTGGGAAGGGCCGCCCCGGGCGGGCGAGCGGCGCTGGGGCGGGCAGCGGGCGGCGGCCCCCTGGCTGGCCGGCTTGCCAACTCCGTCTGGAGTCCTGTCCACGCTGCTGGCCCCCCCGGCTTGGCAGGGGTCCACCTGCCATTCTGCTGAGCTCAGCACGGCGTTCCCGAGGGTCCAGGTGGCCGGAGAAGGCGGGCTCTGGCCCCTCTCCTGCCCGCACGGCGTCACGTCCCACGCGCTTGAGGCAGCAGCCCAGGGAGGCCACGGAGGCCACGGGCCCGGAAGGCCACCTGGAGGCCTCAGCCCCAGAAAGTGGGGCCCATGGGACAGAGACCTCAGGTCCCCGGAGGTCTGCTGGGGCCACTGGGGTTGGCAGCCCGTGAGGCTGAGGTCAGCAGGGGTCCACCCCAAAGCCAGCGGAACCCCAGGGGCCAGGGGCCTGACCGCCGGGCTCAGAGCAGCCAGCCTGCCCGGCAGGAGGGGACACTGGTCCTCTGAGCCCTGGGTCTCAGAAGAGGAGGAGGTGGGGCCCCCAGCCTCGGGCAGGGCCTCCTCGTCCACAGCGGTCACGGCGGAATCTCCCAGCTGCTGGCAGAGGGAGGGCTCAGCTTCCCGAAGGAGCCCGCCACCCGGCATCAGGCCTTCCTGTGGCCTGACCCTGCATTCAGACCCTTCCCACCTCACGGGGGGAAGCCCCGGGGCGGAAGGGGGAAGACGCCCAAGACCAGGTCCCTGCCGGCCCCGGAAGAGGAGAAGCCGGGGAGCCCCGGGCCAGGGCTGCGCGGCCCCCTTGGGCCTGCCGAGGCACGTCTGCTGCTCGGTCTTCAGGGACAGTGTGTCGCCCTCTCTGCATCCAGGGGTGAGGGCAGCACCCAGGCCGGGGAAGAAGCAAGATGGGACCGGACTTGGGAGCCGGGCCCGGGGGCCTTGGGGAAGCCCCTGCCCCGTGAGAGCCCAGTGGGGGTCGGTGAACTTGGGACCACAGGCCGCCCGTGTCAATGATTAACTGGCCTGGCACCCGGGGGCAGGGGTGGGGGAGGGAAGGAGGCTGGTCCCAGCGAAGCTGTGGAATTCACGCCATCGAGAGCTTTTCTGCACCTGCTGGTAAACACTGCCCTGCAGGGCACGCCCTGCCCAGGGTCAGGACAGAGGGGAGGGCAGAGGGTGGCAGCTAGGGACAGCCTGTGGCTCATCCCCTCCCGGAGTTCATCAGAGGTGTCACAGGGCAAGGGGTATCAAGAATCCAAACACGGCTGACACCCAGGGGCAGGCCAGGCAGCCTCGCGGGCAGAGAACCCGGAGGCCCCAGGCTTCGTGCTGTGGCGCCACCTGCCTCGGGGCGGGCGGAGCTCCTGGGCTGGGGAGGCTGCAGGAGACCCCGGAGCCGATGCCAGTCCCGCAATGTGGTGTCTGGGTCCCCGGCCTGGACCTTCTTCTGAACAGGTGCTCAGGCTCCCATTTGTGTGGCCTCCGCCACAGGTGGTTCCCGGGGACCCGACGTGCTGGGGCAAACCGTCCCTCACGGAGGAGCACATGCGACCTGCGCCAAGGACGCGGCTCCTTGCGTGCACGGCAGCCCTGACCCCGGCCCCGGGCAGGCAGGGCAGCCTCTGGTTCTGCCTGAAGCCAGGAGGCCCTTGTTAGGAAAACAATACAATTTTGCCCTGGCCGGGCAGCTCAGTTGGTGGGAGCATCGTCCCATAAACCAAGAGGTTGCGGGTTCAGTTCCCAGTCGGAGCGCATGCCTGGGTTGTGGGTTCCACCCTCCGTTGGGGTGTATACAGGAGGCAATTGATCGATGTTTAATAAGCATGTTCTCAGGTGAAGATAAAAAAAATAATAATACAATTTACAAAAACCAGACTTAGGTGTGAAAATAGATATTTATTTAGAAGGATGAGGGAAATCACATAAAGCCAAGAATGTCACAAAACCCAGAAAAGTATTGTTTTTCGTAAGTAAAAATAAGCACGTGCAACATGTATGTAGGGGGACCTTGCACACACAAGAGAGTTGGGGCCCCCCACACACGGGAGGTCCCAAGATCCAAGGAAGGAGAGCGGAACAGGCTCCCTGAGCTGGGGACAGGGAAGGCGCCCTGGGGGCTTCAGAGGGCGGTGACAGGTGAGAGGAGCAGGCGCCAGCTGGGGGCCCGGGCTCACGTGGGGGCGGGGGTGGTGCTCCCCCAGGCCAGCCCTGGCTGCTGCCCCACGCCCGGCCCGGCCCGGCCCCCCACGGGCCGGCAGCGGGGGAGGGCCCGTGGCTGCAGGAGCCAGCAGGGGCGGCCGCCCTGACCCCGCCCCCGTCCCCCGCAGTGCTGGTCCCCGGGAAGGGCCTGGCCGCTGTCCTGAGGGCACTGCCCATGTTCCATGACGAGGAGCACGCCCGGGCCCGTGGCCTCCCCGAGGACACCCTGGTGCTGCCGTGAGTCCCCTGCAGGGGCGGGCGGGGCAGGGCGGCCGTCACGGGGGAGGGCCCTTGGGCCAGCTCCCAGCCAAGCCCTGGCAGGAGGCCACCGCTGTGTCCACCCCACGGCTTCCGAGCCGACCGAGGCCCCTTCAAGGGAGCCTGAGGCCCCGTCCCTCAGCGCGGCCCGGCCATGGGTGCCCCTCCTGGCCGGACGGCCAGCGGCGTGCGGAGCGGCCCCGGGTCGCCAGCCCCCTCCTGCCAGCCCCCCCCCCAGGCTGCCTCCCACCCCGCCCCGGGCTGGGCCCGGCCTCCCTCGGAGCTGGGGGTGGGCAGGGGGCCGCGCCCACCCGTGCCCTCTCTCAGCCACCACGGTCCGGCTTCCGGGGACTCCTGGCGGGAGGGAGGCCGGGCCCTGCACTCAGGACGCCAACGATGCGTGGGGGTGTGGGGCGGAGGGACGCGGGCCCTGCTGGGCAGAGGGGCCCGGCCCGGTTGGGGCAGGGGGCCCGCGTGGGAGCCACCCTCCCGCCTCCCTCAGGCCGGCCAGCCCCGAGCAGAGGGTCATCTACACGGTGCTAGAGTGCCAGCCCCTCTTCGACTCCAGCGACATGACCATCACGGAGTGGGTCCAGATCGCCCAGACCATCGAGGTAGCCGGGCGTGGGGGTGGGGCGGAGGCCCGGGAGGGGGCGGGGGTGCGGCCCGTGGGCGGCGCTGGGCGTGTGGGGTCCGCGGAGGCCGGTGCGCTGGGGTCTGCGGTGGGGCCCCAGCCTCAGGGAAGTGCCAGGACGCGGGCCGCAGCTCGGCTGCAGGGCCCCCGAGGCCCCGCTTCCGGGGCGACGGGAGGGCGGGCAGCGAGGGCGAGGCCCTCCCGGGGACGGGAGAGCGCCGGACAGCGGCTCCGGTCGGGTCGGACAGCCGGTTTGTCCCGTGAGTGTCCCTGGCAGGATGTGCGCTGCCTCCCCGCAGACGGAGGAGCGCCACGCCGGGCCGACCCCCCGCCCTTCCCCCCGTGCCCCGCCCCCAGCCGTGGCCTCGGTGGGTTTAAGACCCTCCACGAAAGGGTGCAGGAGGCATTGGCTCTCCGCGTTGAGCGTGCACGCCTTTCCTGCCACCGGAGGGCGCTCCACGGCGTCCCCAGTGTCCCCCCTACGCTGCCCTGCACGTGCTGGCCGGGCGGCCCGCCCCGCCCCCTCCAGGCCCATTTCGCACCTGCCTCCTGGAGGCTCACCTGGCAGGCTCCCTCCCGGGGCCACAGTCCCAGCTGGTCTCCTGCCTGGGGCCGGACAGCCTCCTGGGACTCACCACGTCCCCCTCATCGGGAGCGTCTGGGACCGTGTGTGGCCCTGGGCCAGGCCATGCTGTCCCTGAGCGGGGCGCCGGCCACCCGCGGGCGTGTGGCTGCTGTGGTCTGGGGCCGTGTCCCCGGCCAGGTGCCGGAGCGCTTTGCACGTGCATCTGCGGTCCTGCCCGCAGGTGGCGCCGCAGGGACGCAGGGGCTGCGGGGGAGCCCCGCGTGGCCAGCAGATGGCGCCCCAGCCCGCCATGTGGTTCAGCTCCGCGGTCCGGGCCAGCTTGCCGGTCTTTCAGTCCCCACAGGAGGGGCCGGCCGCTGGGCCCCTCACAGCTGCAGCGAGGCCCCATCCTGGCCACCCTCCAGGAGGCAGGGGCAGGGGCGTCCAGGCAGCTACCCTCACCTCTGCAGAGCTGGCCGGCGTGCCAGTGCCGGGGAGGACCCTTCCCCGGCTTGCCCCTCAGCACCCCCCCGCCTGCCCTGGTTGCCAGCCAGCTGGCCCCCAGGACCAGCTGTGCCCAGGCTGGGCCCGCCTGCTGGACCCCCAGACGCCCCCATGGCTCCTGCTGCCCTGTGGTGCCGGCCCTCAGTGGGGCTCTCTGGACCACTGAGCCGGGCTCTGTCAGGTTCCCACTGGCCAGCGTTCTTGGGCGTCCTGACTGGACAGCGCCTGGGGGTGACCCCACCGGGTGCCTGCCTGTCCTCGGGGAACATCCACAGCCCCCCGTCCGCCCCCCGCACGGCGGGCTCACACCAAGTCGGTAGGGAGGCCTGGAGCCTGGGGCAGGGAGAGACGCGGCTGCTTTCCAGCGAGGGCCTTCGATGCCCAGGGCGCGCCGGCGCCTCCCCGGCCCCCCGGCGGCGTGGGGGGCCCGTCCGTGCGGCGGAGGGCCAGCCCCCGTCCCCAGCCTGAGCGCCCCCGCCCTGCAGAGCCACTACGAGCAGTACGACGGCTTCGTGGTCATCCACGGCACCGACACCATGGCCTTCGCCGCCTCCGTGCTTGCGTTTGTGCTGGAGAACCTGCAGAAGACCGTAGTCCTCACCGGAGCCCAGGTGACGCCTGGCTCCCCGCTCAGTCCCGGGAGGCTCCTGCGCTGCTCGCATGGGCTGACCGCGTGGCGCGCCCGTCCTGCTGGGCCGGAGGGAGCCAGGAGCCGGGCCGGGCATCGGGGGCCCCGGGGGGGCCGGTGGACGGGGGGGGGCCGCCCAGCGTGGGGGCCCGGCTGGGCCGCAGTCCTGAGGCGGGGCCGCGGACCCCTCCCAGCAGCGGAGCCCGCCCCGCCGGCCTCCCGCGCCGACTCGGCTCCGTCCGTGGCCCCGTAGGTGCCCATCCACAAGCTGTGGAACGACGGCCGGGAGAACCTGCTGGGTGCCCTGCTCATGGCTGGCCAGTACGTGATCCCCGAGGTACCTGCCCAGCCTGGGGCGGGGCTGGGGCCTCAGGGAACTGCCCTGCGCTGAGGGGACGCGTCGCGCAGGACAGTGTGGGGAGTGGGCAGCGGAAAGCGCAGCCACCCCCGGCTCCCCGGTGCCTAGTCAGTCCGCGGGGCCCCCCTCCCGCCCCCGTTCGCATAACTGCGCCGCGCGCGTGTTGGCGCCCACGAAGCGGGCGTCCCCGGCGTCGTGTGGGCGGCTTCTCCCTCCTCCACGCTGTCCCGGGGCAGCACCCCCCGCTGAGACGCCCGGCCCTCCCGGCTGGGGCAGGGGCCGCGCGGAGGGGCCCTCCCGCGGTCTCACGCCGCGGCCGCCCGGCCGGCAGGTCTGCCTGTTCTTCCAGAACCAGCTGTTCCGGGGCACCCGCGTGACCAAGGTGGACACACGCGGGTTTTCGGCCTTCTGCTCCCCGAACCTGCCGCCTCTGGCCATCGTGGGCACTGACGTCATGAGTAAGCTGGGCGGATCAGGCCCGCAGGGAGGCGCCTGTGGGCCCTGCAGGAGGGAGGCCCCAAGGGGAACCCCGGCTCGGGCCAGGGGGTGGCACGGAGGAGCAGGTCTGGGGGACTTGCCCCTGCGGGCCACGTGGCCCCCGGCTGAGGAGTCCCTCTTAGTGACGGTGCCACATACTCGGTCCCCAGGGATGTGGCTCCTGCGGCAGGACCTCCTCCTCTGCCTCCTGAGCCTGGCGGGCAGCCCAGCCCCCGTGTGTCTCCCGCAGGCCAGGTGTCCGGGGGCCACTCTGGGGAGGCCGTGCCCCTCGCCCTGCGCCCCAAGCTCAGGCCTTGTCCCGTGCAGGCCACCCCTCTCTCTGCACCCCGTGGTGCCTCCCGCTGTCTCCTGGCTCCTCTCTCAGTGGCACCCCGGCCCACTCCGTCCGAGGTGGGTGTGGCCAGCTCCTCCAACTCCCGTCTGGCACGGCAGCCCCTCCCTGGGACCGGCGGGACCGTCTGCGGGCTCCCGTGAGACGTGGGTCTGCTCCGGTGGCCCCGCCGCCCGCCTGGCTGTGGAGTGAGAACAGCTCCAGCGCAGCCTGTGCTTTTCACTTCCTGCCTGAGCCGGGGGCCCTGGAGGACCTGGGCCCTTCCCACCGCAGCCCCAGCTGTGGGTCCCGGGGGCAGGGGCAGGGGCTGGTGACCGGCGGGGGCGCCAGGCCTGGCCTCGCCGGCCTCGCTGTCGGGAGTGTGGGGGCCGTGAGGCCTTGCTCGGGACGGGGCCGCGGCTGTCGCCGTAGAGGACCCTGGCGTAGAGGACCCAGGCGGCGCGTCCGGCGGGGCTGCCGGAGGCGGTCTCGCGCCCACCAGGGCTCTGCCGGGGCCGAGGGGAGCCTGCTGGGGTCTGGGAGGGGCAGCTCCTGGAGGCCGACTGCGAAGAGGCTCTGGAGGTCTTGGGGTGCAGCAGGTGAAGGACTGGGCTCTTCCCCGGGGCGGGGGGCAGGCTGGTCACGTGACTACGAAAGCCCTGAGAGCCTTGGGATCTGACGTCAGGACACACGACTGTGGGGTCAAGGCCCAGGGGCAGGCGGGCCCTGCTGGCTGCCCTGGTCCTTCCCAGGGGTCATGGGGCCGAGGTGGCCAGGGCAGGGGGAGGTGCCAGTGGGGGAACCAAGGTGGGAACGGGCGGGGCCCCATGGGGGCTCGCTGGCTGGGCTCTGAGCCCTGACTCCCACTCCGGTGCTCGGGCCCGGCGCCCCCCGCCCCTGCCCACCCAACCTGCTTCCCTGGTGCCTGCCAGGGGGTGGGAGGCCCAGAACACCCCACACACCTCGCGTGCGTGTAGCACACCCCGGGCTCCACGGGCCCGCTGGGGACCAGGGCAGTCCGGGAGGCTTCCTGGAGGAGGTGGCATGCATGCCGGTTTTGACAGAGGGCTTGGCTTCCCTGCCCAGGCTGCGTGGTTGCGCTTGGCCCTCCCCCTCCTCCCTGGGCTGCGTCTGAGTCACACCTTATCTGCAGCTCCTGAGAGCAGCCTCGGGGCGAAGCCCGCTGGCTGGCAGGTGCGGAGGAGTTCACTGGGTCCCGGGGCCTCTGGCTGCACCTCGCCAAGCCCAGGCAGGCCACTGGCGCAGGGATGCCGCTCTGCCTGGCCCAGCCACTTGGTGGGCGCAGGGCTGGGGCTGGCCCGAGGACAGAGGCGCCCCGGGCCCCCGGGCCCCTGCCCCCGACGGCTTCCCACTGGCTGGGGTGCCGTGAGGGTGTGAGAACCCGGCCCGCCCACCCAGGCCCAGCCGGTTCGGCAGCTGATGTTGAGAAACAGCAGCTCGGCCCAGGGTGTGGCTGGCGGGGCCGGGGAGGGGCCGCGGGGGCCGGGGAGGGGCTGCCCGGGCTCGCGCGGTGTCTAGCAAGGCAGTGGCAGGCCGATGCCGCCAGCCTGGTCCCACTCCGGGGGTTCCTGTGTTTTCACTGTCCCCTCCCCGCCGAGGCCCCTGCGGACGGAGCGCTCAGGGCTCAGGAAAGGGCGTGACTCACCCCCCCGGGGGGGGGTGGCGAAGGCGCGCGGGGTCCGCATCGGGCCTCGGGGGGACCGCGGGCGCTCTTGGGAAGCCCCAGGCCCGAGCGCTTGCCGCTGCCCCTCTTCCCTTGCTTGGCCCCTCTGGTCCGGGGTCAGCCGGCCCCTGGCTGGGCGCAGGGCCGGGTTCCCTGGGCTCTTGTGGGGGCGGCCCACCACGGAGGGCGGGCCCCCTTTGTCTCTGTCGCAAACCCCCCTGCGGCTGTCCCTCCCGGGCGGTGTCAGCCCCCCGCCTCATGCCCACTGACGCCTTATCTGCCGGCACAGCTGGGGCGGAGGAGCCTAAATCAAAGGGCGTCTGATGGATGCCCCGGCTGGGGGCGGGTGCTCTCCTGGCCGGGCCGGCTACCTCTCCCCGCGGCCCCCGCCTCCGACTCCAAGTGCGAGGGCAGCCGCCTGGAACGTCCTCCGTTTGTTATCCCGTGGGAATCGCTCCGGCAGACACAGCAGGGGCGCGCAGGCCTCCGCCCCGGGGTGTGGGGGGGCTCTGGCGGGAGCCCTGAGCCCGGCCCCGCCCCGTCTGTGCAGCCTCGGCTCTTCTCCTCTCTGGGCCTCGGTTTCCCTGGGGTGCAGGGGGCCCGCACCTCAGGCGGGCTCTAACAACAGTCGGTGCCGGCAGGGCTGCCCCCCACCCCTGCCTCTGCTGACCCGAGCTGCCGGGGGGCTGAGGGCACGGCCGGGCGCTGGGCGCCTGAGGGTCGCGGGCCGGACCCGCTGCCAGCCTGCCGTGCACCCCTGCGGCTGGGCCCTGGCCGGGCGGCGGCCATCACACCAGAGAGACTGACCCTCCGGGAGCCCTCCGCACGGCAGGCCCGAGGGGCACTGGCCCCGAGTTTTTGCCCCTCTCCATCCACAGGGCTGGGACCCACCGCTACCCCGGCGTGGGAGGTGGGCGAGCCCATGTTAGGCCGCTGAGACTCTGGGTGCCTCAGACGGAGGCTTTCTTTCCCCGCACGTGGAGTCTTGCGCGCTCGCTCCTGCACGGACTCGCCGGGCTGTGGTGCGGGGGAGGGGGGCGGGGGGCGCCCCGACGGGGCAGGCGGGGCTGGTGCGTCTGAGAGCGCCGTCGCCTCTCCCGGGGTCCACGGCCGCCAGCTCACTGGGACCCCGCAGCGGCGCCGCGTCTGCGGCGTGTCCTCGCCCTGCACGCCCTCCCCGCACCCCTGCCCCGCAGCCCGCGGGGCCAGGCAGGCCTCCGTCCCTGGGCGCCCTCCTTGCCCGCTGAGCCCCACGCCCCCGAGGCGGCCCGGCCCGAGCCGGGGCACACGTGAGCCCAGGGCTGGGAGTCGGGCGGGCGGTGGCCCAGAGGCCTCGGGGCTCTGAAGGTGCCAGAGGGAGTCCGGGAGGCACGGAGGGGGCTGGGCGGGGGTCTGGGCCTGGAGACGGCTCCTAGGTGCCACCCGGTCCCCTGCCCTCACAGTCAACCGGGAGCTGGTGCGGAAGGCCAGCGGGAAGGACCGGCTGGTGGTGCACAGCAGCATGGAGCGGGACGTGGGCCTGCTGCGGCTCTACCCCGGGATCCCCGCCTCCCTGGTAGGCCCGCCCCCGGGGTGCCCGCTTTCCTCTCCTGCCCTCTTCGGCGCCCCTACTTCCCGCCGCGTCGAGGCCACCTCAGGCCCAGGCACAAGAGGGCGACAACCCGTTAGGGCCCCGCCTGCCCCCTGCCTGCCCCCCGCCTCCCCGGAGGCTTCGGGGCCCAGCTTCCGCTTTTCTGGGACACGGCGCGTATCAGGGGAGCCGTGCATGTGTGGGCCAGCGGCTGGGGGCACCCCGCTGTGCGGGAGACGGGTAGGCCGGGGCCACGGAGGGTGGTGGGGCCGCCGCGTCCACGACCTCCTCCGGCCTCTTCCCACGGTGTCCTGGTCACCTCTGCCCCAGCCGTGGCCTCACACACTTGGAAGGGACAAGGAGTTCCGCTGGGAGGGCTTGGTGGGGAGCAGCCTCCCGGGACCCTCGACGGGGCTGGCTGGGAGCTGGGCACCCCGCGAGTGCAGCGGCAGCCCCACGGCCTCCGGCCGACGCAGAGGGGCAGGCCGGCCGGCTGGGCCGCGGCTGGTGCTGGAAGCCAAGGGCCCCCATCCCGTCCCGGCCCGCAGGTGCGGGCCTTCCTGCAGCCTCCCCTGAAGGGCGTGGTGATGGAGACCTTCGGCTCCGGGAACGGGCCCACCAAGCCCGACCTGCTGCAGGAGCTGCAGACGGCCTCCCAGCGAGGCCTCCTCATCCTCAACTGCTCCCACTGTCTGCAGGGCGCCGTGACCTTGGACTACGCCACCGGCATGGTGGGGGCGGGGCGCCCCGGCGGGCCGCGGGAGGGCCGGGCCGGCTCGGGGCACGTGGGCGGGGACGACCACGCCCCGCTGACCCCCGCGCCCCGGCCCCGCAGGTGGCGGCGGGCACGGGCGTCATCTCGGGCTTCGACATGACGTCCGAGGCTGCCCTGGCCAAGCTGTCCTACGTGCTGGGCCAGCCCGGGCTGAGCCTGGACCAGCGGAAGGAGGTGCGAGCCCCTCAGGCCGTGGGCTCGGACATGGGATCCCGAGGGCGTGCGGGGCGGGGGGAGTAATACGGCCGACGGTGGGGGCCAGTCTGGGGGGACGCGACGGGTCTGGAAAGGGCAGGGACGCGGGGCCCCCCAGGCCGCCAAGCCAGCGCCGGGGCCCGCGCTCCCGCACCCTTCATGGATCCGAACGCAGGCCCCACGTGGCCTTCGCCTCCCCGGGACCCCCAGGCCTGGCACATGCCCGCGCTCCCCGGGCGGGCCTCCGACGCGGCCCGGCCAGGCCCCGGGGCCCTGAGCTACGAGGCCTGGAGGCTGGGGCCGGCCGCGGGGCTGACCATGGCTGCCGCGTCATGGCTGACAGGCCGGGTGGGCCCTGGCTCTCCTGTGCCCCCTTCCCAGCTCCTGGCCAGGGACCTTCGTGGAGAGATGTCGCTGCCCATGACGGACGAGGGCCCTCCCTCCCTTCGGAGGAGCTCGCAGGGACTCGGGGTGGCCCAGCTCCTCAGGCTGAGCCAGGTACTGCCAGTGCTGGGCAGGCCCCACAGGGTCACGGGGTCTGCCACGTGCCCGCCACAGCCATGGTTACGCCGGGGCACGCGCAGGGAACCACCAGGCGTGGCTGGGTTCTGGGCCCGGGTCCCCCGCAGGAGGGTGTGCAGGGGCTCGTGGAGCAGCGAATGGGGAGGGGCCGGGAGCGTGTGGCCTGGACGGCAGGGCTGCCTGGTGGGGTGGGCGCCGAGGTTCTGGGTGCGGGAAGGAGGGGCCCCCTGCTCAGGGGCCCCCGGGCTCTGAGACCAGGCCCCACGGCCTCTCCAGTCTTGAACCGCCCCCCATCCCAGCCAGGCTGCCTGGGCCCATGAAGGGGCCGAGAAGCAAGGATGGGCGTCAGGGTCTGGGACTGGGGGTCCCGGCTGGACCAGCCTTGCAGGGGAGGTTGGGGCCTCTCGCTGCCCCCGCCACGTACCCGCCCTGGCCTCTGGGCGAAGCGCGTGGGCCCTGCATGGGCACCGGAGGTCGCAGAGAGCGCTGTGTCCAGGGTGGCCCCAGGCTGTGCCCCGCACCTCAGTTTCCCCTCCGCGCAGCGGGGGGCGGGGGCGGGGAGGCCGAGCTGCCGTGGTGTGCGCTGTGGCTTGCCAGGCCGGCAGTGTCCAGAGGGGAGGCAGGGTGGGTATGTGCCGTGAGGGGCTGCGTCGGGGGGGCGCCTGCGGGGCCTCTGCTGGGACCCCTGGCCTCCTGGCGTCTCGGGGAGCTGAGGCAGCCCCCACACACCTGGCGCTGGGGACTGGGGAGGCACGTGGGGCTGGGTCTTTCCAGGGGCCGGGCATTCCCTCCCACGCCCCCACGTTGGCGCCTGTGGCGACTGCGTCCCTGCGTCCCTGCAGCAGTGCTGGGGACCCCAGGGAAAGGCATGGGCCCAGCTGCTGCTGCTTCCCACCCAGGAGACCGATGCTGTTCGGGACGCCCTGGCACCCAGGCTGGCCTGTGCCGCGGCCCATGCCGGCGACCTGGAGGCCCTGCGGGCCCTTGCAGACCTAGTGAGTGCCACCTCCCTGGGGACGCACCCCAGCCATGCCGGGCTCAGGGGCAGAGCTTCCCCCGGGGCCCTCACTGCCCCGTGCCCTGGTCGCCGGCCGGGTAGGCAGCCGCGGGGCCTTACGGCAGCTGTGGGGCCCGGGGCGGTGCCGAGCCCTCCCTCGGGGAGCACACCGACCCTGCCTGTCGCTTCCCTGGGGTCTCCCCGACCCTGCTCAACCCCTCCTCAGCGGGCACGCGTCCGTGTGTCCATCCAGGGCAGTGACCTGAGCCTGCAGGACTTTAATGGTCAAACTCCGCTGCACGTGGCTGCCCGGAGAGGCCACGCTGGCGCGGTCACCATGCTGCTGCAGAGGGGGGCGGACCCGGGTGCCCGGGACGAGGATGGCTTCAGCCCGCTGCTGCTGGCCGTGCGGGGCAGGTACCGGGGCCCGCGGTGGACGTCCGGGCGGGGCGGGGCGGCCCGGGCGGAGCTGGACAGGGCCCAGGGCACCTGCTTCCTCACCCACCCCCGGCCTGGGGAGGGCTCTCTGGAGGAGGTGACCCTTGAGCTGAGCCAAGCAGGACCAGCAGAACCCAGGGAAAAAAAACAAAGCTGAGGGGTCTCCCGTTTGCTCCCAGGGAACACCTGAGGGCCTGGGGGTGGGGCGGAGGGAGGAGCCCCCCGCCCAGGTGCCGAGAGACACGCTCAGCCTGCACGGCTGTGGGACGGGGACCCCACACTGGCCCCACACCCCGCTTCTTTAAAGGCATGGCTCCCGCCTAAGGTGTTCCTGGGGGGCCCTGCGGGGTCTTGCAGAGTTGAGCTCTTGCTGAGGTCGCCTTGAAGGAGGGGCAGAGGGCCCTGGGCAGAGTGGACACCAGTGTGTCGTGGGTTGGGGACAGCAGCCTTGCCCTTTGCCCTGTTCCCAAAGGCAACAGCCGGGAGCGGGGGTGGGGGGGTGGCCCACAAGAGCCTGGATTATTTCAGGGACGGGGTGTTCGGGAGTCCCAGGAAGAGCAACCCTGGGCGCCCCTCCACTGGAGCCCTGGGCTGGGGTGCATCGCTCTGCGCGAGGGGCCCGGGGCACGCCTTCCCTCTCGGGGCCTGAGAGTGCAGGGAGGGCAGAGGGCGAGGCCTGTGGGGCGTGCCCGGCCCCCCAGGGACCTGGCTGGAGATGGCGGCTGCGCGTCAACCCGGCCCCATGTGCTCACTTGCCTGCCTGCGTCCCTCCCCAAGGGCAGGGCCTGACTCAGTTTCCCCAGCGGGGGTGGGCATGTGCAGAGGGCAGACTGTCCTCCAGGGCGGGCTGGGCCCGGGGAGGGGGGCAGGGGAGACCTCGTGGGGCGATGGAGGAGCTCCTCGGCCTGGGCAGGCTGACAGCACGGCCTGGGGCCCGAGGCGGGGGCCCCCTGCACCGCCAGGTCCGCCCTGCAGAACCGGGCGTCCTGGACACGCGGCGGGTGCGGGGCCCGAGGAGGTCCTTATGGGCTGAGCAGAGGCTGTGGGGCTGGTGGCCAGCACGCCCTTTCCCCTGGCAGGCACCTGGGTGTCATCGGGCTCCTGCGGGCAGCCGGGGCCTGCCTGTCCCCCCAGGAGCTGGAGGACGCGGGGACGGAGCTGTGCAGGTGAGGCTGCGGCCTGTCAGCTGCTGCACGGAGGGGGCCGGCTGCGGCGGGGGGCTTCAGGGCCACAGCCGCCCGTGGCCAGCGCGGTGACCCTGACGCCGCCACAGCTGCCCCGGGAGGCAGGCGCAGGGCTGGGCGCGGGGCGGGGAGGGGGCAGAGCTCGGCCCCGCCCTCCGCCCCTGGGACCCCTCCTCAGCGCCACTGCCCAGGCTGCCCCCGGCCGGAGGGGCGGAGGGAGGGGCCGAGGGGGACCTGGGGAAGGCGGAGGGCGGAGGCCTGTCTGCTGTGGCTGGGGGCCGGAAGCGGCCGGGGCGCGTGCTCCTGGAACCCAGAGCCTCCGGCCGCGGCGGCGAGGTCTCAGGATGGCTGTGGGGTGAGGGGGCTGCACCGCCTGCCCCGGAACAGGACCCCTAGCCCCGGCTGAGCCCCCGCCCCGCCCCCGTGGCCCTGGAGGCCCGGGCCTCTCTCCCTCCAGCCCTGGTGGGGGTCACATCCTGCAGAAGACCTGCCCCCTGTTCTCAGAGAAGCCGGGGAAACGGGTGTGAAGGCGCTAGCGGAGGGCGGGGGCCGGGAGGGCGGGGCTCGTCCGAACCTGTGGGGCCTGCCCACATCACTGGTCTCGGCTTTGAAGGGACTTCTGGTTCCGGGCTGCACCCCCAGTGGGCCTTGTTGGCTCTGTTGACAGATGGGGAAACTGAGGCAGAGAGCAGTTGGGTCAGCTAAGTCCCCTGGGAGTTGCGTGGCTGGATTGGGGAGGCGCCGGGTCGCCCCTTCCCAGAGTTAGTGTGCGGGAGGCAGCGGGCGCGAGTGGTGGCCTACCCTGGGACGCACCCCAGGAATCTCCCCACGCCGCGACGGGGACTGCAGCTGCCGTTCCTGATGTTCCTGAGTGGGAGTGGGGTGGCCGGGCCGCTCTGCTCGGGGGCGCCCCGGTCGGCACACCTAGCGTGGCCTTCCCCAGCGGGTCCCCGGTGGGAGCCGGCCTCGCGACAGCCTGGGCGGTGGAGGACCCTGCTGCGCGCCCGGGGGGGGGCCTCCTCGCCCGCCTGCCAGCCGCTCCTCCGGGGCGGGCCCGGGCCCTCTCCCAAGCGGCCCCCCCGCCCCCCCACGCGGCCCTTGCTGCCCTGGAACCACCGCTCTGCCCCAGACTCCCCGGGCCTGTGGGGCCCCGCCCAGCGAGAGCCGGTTGTGAAATGTGAAACTGGCGGCCGCGGTCGGCAGGCAGGGTGCGTGCGTGTGCCCGTGCATGCTTGCCCGCGTGCGTGCCTGTGTGTGCCTGCTCGTGCGTGCGTGTGCGCACACCCTTGACCTGAGTCAGTCCCCCCCGCGGGTGGAGCCAGACCCCAGGCTGCCCCACTCCCACGCTCCTGCCCCGGGGCCCACGCTGCTGGGTCCGCTTTTCCGGCCGCAGGCGCCCAGCAGGCCCCCCTCCCCGCTCCCCTCCCAGGCTGGCCTCCAGGGCGGACGGCGAGGGTCTGCGGGCGTGGTGGCAGGCGGGCGCCGACCTGAGGCAGCCGGGCTACGACGGGCGCAGCGCCCTGCTCGTCGTGAGTACCCCGCTCCCCGCCGCCTCCGGGGGGGCCGCCTGGCCGCTCTGCAAGCTCCCCTCCCTCTGCCCCTCCTGCAAGGGCCCACACTCTCCTGGTGGGCACAAGTCCCGTCGGGGAGCCCAGGCGGACCCCGCCCCCTGCCCCAGAGCTGCGGGACGAGGGTGGAGCCCTGGGGCCGAAGGAGGCAGGCAGGGTGTGCTGGGCGGGGGTCAGACACAGACCAGGCTGCCGACTGCGGGCCCCTCCCACGGGCTACCCCCACAGGCAGAAGCCGCTGGGAACCTGGAAGTGGTGGCCCTTCTGCAGAGTCTCCAGGGTGGGGCTCCGGTAAGTGCCCCCAAGCAGGGCTGGCTCCTCCAAGCTCTCTGGCTTGAAGCCTCCCTCCCCTCCGCCCCCCACCCCACTCTCTGGAGAATGTGGCCTACGGCTTGTCCGGGAGGAGACTGTGGTGGGCAGACGCACACAGCAGGGGAAGCCGAAAGCGCTGGAGGGAGGCAGGCGCAGTCAGGAGGGCTTCCTGGAGGAAGGGCTTCCCCCGACCTCCGAACCCTGTCCTGTGGGCCGCCCCTGGATGCCCCCGAACACAGCGCTGCAGGGCCCCAGCCACGGCCAAGGAGGCCTCTGGGCCTTCGGGGGCTCGGGTGCCTCTGCGGTGTGTCCTGCCCTCCTGCACCACCTACCCTGGGACCCACTGGGCTGCGTGCCCCGCCTGCTTCCCGGCTGTGCTGGCTGGGCCCCAGCTGACACCTCCACCCCCGTGCCATCCCCTGGCCTTCTGGAAGGTTCTGGAGGCTGGCTAGATTTGTTGGGTCCTTGAGTCCCTCCCTCCTGGAAGGCTGGGCCCCACTGACAGGTGCCTGGACTTGCCTGTCTGCCCTGGGCCTGAGCAGACCTCTCGTTTCAGGAAGTGCTGCCTGGTGTCTAACCTGAAGCCATCTTGCTGTGGCATCAGCCATTCCTTCCTGCTGTGACCGGCTGGAGGGATTGCAGGCCCCCCATCCCATGGCTCTGATCGAGATGCACTGCTCCTGGGACTCCTTCCCACTCTGTTGTTAAGACACAGCCTAAGTGTCTTTGTTGGGCACAGTGACAATAAAGCCTCTCTGAGGCCATTCCCTCCTCGGGTCCCCAAAGCCCTGTGCCGGTGGGTCTGTCTGGGTCTGGGGCCGTAGGGACGTGTGCGGGGCGTCTGGCTGTGGCTCTGGTTCAAAGGGTGGTGACTCCAGCACCCTGGGGGTGAGGGACGCTCAGCTCGTCTGTCCCCAGGCAGCGTGAGGCGTGAGCATGTGCGCCAGGCCCTGTGGCAGGGCAAGCGCTCCCCTCCCCCGCCGCCCTGCCCCCCCCCGCCCGCTTGGGCGAGCCCCCTCCTCGCAACAGCCCTTGCCCCGTGTCTCCTCTGTCCGAGCCTTCTTAGTCGGGAGGCTCGGAGTCGCCTCCTCCAGGCAGCCCCCCGCCCCCAGGGGAGTCTCCTGGCAGTTGCTCCCTGCTGCCATCTGGTTTTCAGCAGGTCTCCTCTGCCCCCGATCTGCTGGAGGCCCTGACCCAGCACCCCTGAGAGCCGGCCCGCCCAGGCCACTCGCCTGGGGAGACAGACAGGGAGCGACCAGCGCAGCCCTCGTGCCTGGGGCGGGGGTGGGGGGTGGCGCCGGAGGGGCCCAGGCCAGGGCCCTGGCCCCCAGGAGTGGCCCTCCAAGGCCGCCCTTGTCAGAGGCCCAGCTGGGACGGAAACCAGGTGCTCGGCCCCTTGGCCAGCTCTCTGTCCCACTGTAAGTGGGGCAGTGGGGACAGGACACCCCCTAGGCCTGGCTCCACTCTGTGCCTTGGGGCCTGGGCTGCCCAGGGCCCCCTCCAGCCTCCCTCCACGTCCCCTGACCCGCCCTGCCGGGGCCTGAGCAGCCGGGGTGGGGACGCTGCCTCCTTCCGGGTCTGCGGGCGCCTTACCACCTCGGACGGCCCCCGAGAGGACTCTCCTCTGTCCGTCCACCTGTCCGTCTGTCCCCTGGGCCGAGTGCCTGTGCCCTGCAGATGCTGGGCGCGAGCGCACCCTGAGCTTGCCCTTGGCGCCCCCCACAGACGGGGCCTCGCCCAGGTGGGCCTGGTGGGCGGCCCGCCAGCTCCCCGGGCCTCTCAGCCTGGTTCCCAGGCCCGGCTGGCGGCCTTCCAGGTTCTCACCCAGGCTCGGGTGTGCCAGGGCCTTGCACAACCGGGTGCCACCGCGTGAGCGTGGTGGGTCCCGGGAACCTCTGCCTCACACCGATGAGTGGGTGCGGGGTGGTGGGGGGTGGGAGGAGGGGCCGAGGGGCCGCAGCGCACTCAGCAGGGCTCCCAGAGCCCCGAGCCGGTGGTGACCGCTGTCCCAGCGCAGGTGCGAGCCTGCCGGTGCGAGCCTGCCTGGAAACGCCCACTGTGCCGTGTGTCCCTTGCAGGAACACGGCTGAGCTGGCCCTTCCCCAAGTGGGTCACTGATGGCAGGGCGGCCTCCGCCAGCCGGCAGATGGGGGCCCTCCCCACAGGGTGGGACAGCAGTCCCCGCGCTCGCCCCCCTCCCCGCACTGGGGACGCAGAGTCCCAGGCTGGGCAGGGGCCTGGACTCCTGCCCAGGAGTTCCCGGGGCGAGGCCAGCTCCCGCGAGGTGAGGCCAGCAGTCTGGGCTCCGAGGACGCTGGCCGTGCCGGTGGGACAGCCCCCTCGCGGTGACAGGCCCTGTGCATGCGCCTCAGGGGCCCTGGGTCCTGCTGGGCAGCTGGGGAGACGCAGGCCCAGTCTGTGCTCAGGGCTCCCGCCTGGGTGGCCTCCGCGTCTCCCGAAGGTGGTGCCGTGGCACACGGCTGGGGGGAGACCCGGGAGCAGGGCTCGGCTGGGAGCGCCGGCCCTGGGGTCTGCGAGGGACTGGGCTTCCCCACGAGCCCACACCCAGTAATTTCAGGCTGGGTGGGGCTTTGGCTCCTCTTGAATCACGGAGATCCCAGGGTTATCTCTGGGAAATCTCTCTCCCTGGAACTGGACGGGCTACCCAGGGTCTTCCCTCACACAATCTGCTGTCAGGCCCCGCCCCCAGGCCACCTGACCCGGCTGCAGGGAACCAATTTCTCCTCCTGCCAGGGATGCTCGTCCCGCCTGCCTTCTCACCGGTCCCCTCCGGGGCTGGAGGCTGCCGGGGTGCGGGGATCGGTGTGCGGGGATCGGCCTCGGACCGGGCGGTCGGGCTCCGGGCGGGGGTGGGAGCGGTGGTGGTGGGGGGGGCGCTCCTGAGCTCCTCCTCTTGGTCACGAGCCTCTGTGACCGTCACACCCCAGGCCCCTGCCCCTGCCCGGACGCCCCCCCACGGACTCTCAGGCCTTCAGGCCCGGGCACGAGGCCCGGCTGCACCGCCGGGCGCTGTGCGACCTCCAGGAAGTCGCTGCCCCGGGAGCTCGGCCTCCCCAGGCGCAGTGGCCCCGGACTAGGTGAATGCTGGCGACCCCGCCGCCCACAGGCGTCCCGTCGGCCACACCAGCGGCTCGAGATGTGGGCTGAGGCCTTCAGGGGCCGTCTCCCTCCACACTGCCCCTTTCCCGACTCTTGAGCCCCCGGCCGCAGGTGCCTGCCACAGGCAGCTCTGCTGGGACAGTCCCCGGAGACCCCGCCGCTCAGGCCCCAGCCTCTGCAGGTGGCCCAGTGGCCAGGCCAGAGGGCGCGGGGGCGGGCGGGCAAGGAAGGGCGGTGGAGGCTGGGCGGCTGTGGGGAGGCGGCCGGAGGGGCCGCCCTGCCCTCGGGGACGGCTCGGCCGAGACGAGAAGAAACCTGCTGGACACGGTCTCTCCAGCCTCTAGTTTCACTTTCTCTTTGTTCCCCTCCCACGAGGTTCTCTTTGAAGAGACAGGGACCGGGAAGGGTGTGGGCGCCCAGCCTCACCCCACCCCCAGGCCGGACCTCTCAGGTCCCCGGCTCCGCGGGCGTCACCCCAGCTCCCCGAGCGCGCACGGGCGCCCGGTCCCAGGCCAGGCGGTCCGGGCGTGGCCCCCAGACCTGGGGCGGACCCCGGGGACGCCAGGTGCGCTGGGCGGGGCGGCGGGGCCGGTGAGTCAGGGCCACCCCCGCACGGGCGCGCCGCGCAGGTACCGGCCGCGGACGACCCGCCGCGCGACCCGCGGGGCCGGGAGCCGCCTGCCCGGAAGAACCGGTCGGGCTAGCGCCGCGCGGGCGCATTCCGGCGGCGGGGGCGGGCGGCCTGCGGCTTAAAAGGCGCCGCGCACCGGCTGCCGCCGCACGGACGCAGCGCCGGCCGCGAGGAGCCGCGGACCTCGGGGCCCGGCGGACAAGACGGCGGGGCCGGGAGGGGCGCCCACGGCCCGCGGCGAGCGTGGCGCGGGGCAGGGCGCGGGCGGCCGGCTCTTCTCTCCACAGCGCGGCGGCTGCGGACTCGCGCGTCGGGTCCAGTGGTTCTTAACAGTTCAACAGTTCTGTAGCGCAATTGTGAAATGTTTAGGACCACTAGACCCGGCGGGCCTGGCAGCGGCAGCGACACGACGCGGCGTCCCCCGTGCGGCTCCAGCTCCGGTCGGGCAGCGTTGCGCCGGGCCCCCCCGCCAGCAGCCCCGGGACGCGGGTCTGCGCCCCTGGCCCGGCCCGGCCCCGCCCAGAGCTCTGCGCGCCGCGCCCGCGGACCTGGCCAGGGCCGAGGACCGCCTGCGGCCCAGAGGTGGTCGGACGTGGAGGTGCCGGGCGCCGGGTCCTTCCCAGCCCCCATCCCCACGCTCCTGGCGCCTCGCGGGCCTGGAGATGCGGCTGCCGCCCTCCCGCGCCGGAGGGCCCCACCCTTCCCGACGCTGCGCGGAATTCCCAGCCCAGACGTGGCGCGCCGGTCCCCGCGGGGAGAGTGCGCGCAGCCTGGGCAGCCCGCCTCCTGGCCAGGAGCGGTGCCGTGGGTGCCTGCACTTCCCGGGGGCCTGTCGGAGCTAGCGCGGGCGTTGGGAGAGCGAGCGGCGTGAACGAGGGGTTCTGGGGACAGAAGCTGGGGGCGTGGAGGAGGTTGGGAGCCGCGGCGGGCCGTCGGGTGGGCCCAGAGGCGCGGTGGGAGCCGCCAGGCGCTGGGCGTGCGCCCCCGAGGTGCTGGCTCAGCGAGGTGTCATTCCGTTCCCACCTCCCGCCGGGCGAGGCCGCTCCTGCCTGCAGCAGGGGCGGGAGGCCGACCCGCCCCGGGCCTGCCTGGACCGCTGGACCGGCTGCACCCTGGGGGTGTGGGGCGAGGTGCTCTCCCCCGTGGCCCAGGGCTTAGGGGCTGCGGGTCAGAGGGGCCGCCAGGGCGTGCTCCTGCTGCGTGGCCTTGACCCAGTCACTGCCGGGCTGGAGCCGCCGGCTGGCAGGCCGAGCTGCCCGGGCAGCGTGGCCGGGCCGTGTCCCCAGGCCAGGCGGCCGTGCCTTTCGCTGGCCAGCGTGGGAGGGGGCTCTGGTCTCCCGAGGGGGGTCGATGCTTGGTGGGCACCTTCCTCTTTCACAGCAACGCCCCCGGCGGCCTCCTGGAGCTCAGCAGCTCGGCGGAGCCAGGAGTCCGGAGTCCGGAGTCCGGCCGGCGCGTGCGTGGCGCTCTGGGGGCCTGGGGGCCTGGGCAGCGGGGCCGCCCTGCGGGCTCCGTGGACGTCCTTCCACAGCCCCCCCGCCCCGCCCCCGCCCCGCCCCCGCCCCGCCCCACTGTCACCGCAGCGCAGCTCAGGGAGAGAGCTCGGGCTGGGAGTCGGGGTCCCCTGCCCTGGAGTGGGGCCGTTTCTTCCGCCGAGGTTTCTTCCGCTGTTACAGTTGATGGAAATAAACATGTGTCCTGACTCTTGACCGTGTCCCCGGCTGCTGTCCTTCCCCCCGCCCCCGCCCCGTGGCATCTCCCCGAGGGGGGGACGTGGGCCGGCTCGGCCTGCCGCTGCACTGAGGTCTCCGGGGGGCCCCCACCCTGCCACCGGCGTCCCCTCCCTGGGGAAGGGCTCCTGGACTGAGCAGGCCCTCTCTCGCCCCCTGAGACGGGCCCTGGGGTCCTGCTGTCCCTTCTGCTTGGAGGGAGCAGGCGGGAAGGGGACCTGGTCCCCTGGAGGGGGGAGGTTGGAGGTCAGCCTTGGAGTGACCGAGGACCCTCCGACAGCACCCCGCCCGGCTCCG